TCCTTAAGTTTAACAGCACGGTCTGAAATGAGTTCCACGGTGATATTAGCCAAATGTCAGGCGTCAGTGGGGCCTCTCTTAGTGCTTCGCCTTTTGTAGCTGTTTCTGACGTGGAGTTTTTTCGCCCATCTGAATTTTGTCCTGTGATGCATTTTGTTCTCCCTCCTCGCTTTCATTTCTCTCTTTTCTGTCATATCCCATCCATGTGTTCTACTCTCCTGAATAGGAATAACACCCCTTTTTTTATTTTATTTTTTACCTTGTTTAAGATCTTTGCGCTTCTCCAACAGCTGCTTCAATAAGTCGTAGGTGGCCCGAGTCAGTTTTCACACCTTTCTTGCTGCCTGTGTCTTATTGCTTTACCGCTGGAAGGGACATTTTGTTAAATCTCTGCTATTCAGCCACATAATTAGCCCAAACTCCTCTGTGGCCGAGCTTTTCCCAAGATGCAAAGTCCCCTGAGCTGGGTAATGTGGACGAGGCGGGAAACAAGCAGAGCCGCAGCTCCGATGCAAACAAATAATTACCCTTCACTTGAAAACACTCAATTAGCCTCTATTTCCAAGTAGAATAATGACTTTCCCCAACTAAGCAGAACGTCGGCTGTAATTAGTCCGGACGGTGGAAGCTCGGCGTAGACGATAAGTACACGACTGTTTTATTAAGCCAACAGCGAAAATATCACAACGCACCAACGAGCCGGCTGTGTATGCAATCCGGAAGCGACGTGAGTTGTGTGAATAGGCAAAGTAAAAAGGAAAGGCTACATGTAAGAGGAACAGGACACCGGCTTGGCTGCGCGTGCGGCGATCAATGCGCCGCTGACACTTCTGTCTCTTGGCACCGCGCACGCCGTTTTCACATGAGCGAAAGCGGCATCGTGTGCGTCGCCGTGGATACCTCGCACATCGATTTGCTCACAGTAGCATCGTCCATCAAGGTTAGCAAAGTCATGCTGCATTTTGCGGCCTGTCAATCAAGGGGCTCACTGTTTATAGGGAATAACCATTATTTCTGTGTCTCTAACCAACCATTGATGGTAGTGTTTTGTTTTGTTTTTTCCCCTAAAAGATGCATCCGATTGCCGCTAGTTCCATTGAGGACGTTCTGCACATCTGTGCACTGGGGAAGCATAAGGGAAGGAATATTTATTTTCAGCTTCCATCCACACACACACACACACACATACTGACATTAAGATACACGTCTACATGATTGCATCAGTCGGTGGGAATCCACACTCGTACTCTCTGCTGCCTCTACGCCGCCACATCTCTGAGTTCTTTTAAGTCTCCCTGCAGAATTCCAGCGTGTGTCGATAAGATGAATTAGATTTTCTCTTTTTGTCATCCCACATCACTCAAGACAACAGCAGCGTGTTTGGCACAAAACAAATTTCAGGCGCGCTTTTCGACGAGAGCGCTGCATCATTTTATCCTCGCTGCTTTGACGAGAACAAACTTGTCACACAGGTTTGTGACATCGGAGGGGGTTGCCGCGACACTTGTGCGCGTACACACGCCGCAATGTGAAACAACATTAGGCCACGGCCCAGTGACGGCTCGCTCCCTTCCTGTTTTCGGCACCGCTGATCTGAAGCCAATCCCCTGTGGCCAATATTGACTTGACAGCTGTGGCAGGAGGTGGCACGAGCCCAAGGCAGCCCGCGCACCGCCCGAGAGTCCAGAGCAGGACGAGGACGCGGCAGAATACGGGATGCAGAGGAAAAACACCATGACGTTACTTTCAGTCACCTTGAAGTCTGAACAACCGAGTCTGACTTGATAACGTCGGCAGATGGCTTGAATTCCCCCCGTTGGAGTGACCTTTTGCAGCGTAACATGTAGAGGCTTCTTTTTCTTCTTTTCTTTCATTTCCCAATGGTGAATAGCAGGTGGAGAAAATAGGCAAGGTAAAGGATTATTAAAGAGAAAGGAAAAAAAAATTTGAAACATTGAGTCGGCTGAAGAACTGGTGGAGAATAACAAGTACACCTGGTTGATTCCTCTGACGCCTCACCAGCTCACGGACTGACTGAAAGCTTTTAATAAGTGATCATCTGAATCTCAGTCTGATTCAAACTCAGCCAACGGGGAGACGCGCGTGAAAAGTCTGCTCAGTTCAAAGTGTCTCAAATCACGACCTTGAAATGATGTCTGAGTTAATTGACCTAAGAGGAATAAATCTATAGTGGCATGTTTCGCAAAAAGGTTATACTTAATACTTTATATAACAGAGTGTGTTCATAATTAATGCTGGTATTGTTATATTTAATGGATAGTTTCATCAATCCAGGGGTTTTAATATGGAAAAAGCACTCAACTGATTCTCAGTGGATTTCAAATCTAAGATGAAAGGCATTAATATGGTTAAATGTGAAGTGTGAACAGAGGAAGAAAATGAATTAATTATCCGTCATCAATGATATCTTCAAACACAGAACAAGGGCTTCTTTCATTGGAGTTTAACTACAAAATGATGGTATTATCTGAGAACATAAACTTCCCTGACTTATTCCTTTGGGTTTAGTGGAAATGAGAAAAAGACTAAATAGGAGGACATTCTCTGCTCTTATAGAAGAAGGATTTTCAGTAACCGGAGCTGTTTTTATTCTCCATTCTGTCCTCCGCTACATTTTATACTGTAAAGGTGACATCTTTACATATGTTAGCCACCCCTGCAAGATGTTCTGCATATTATTATACATTATACAAGTGGAATAACACAATATTCTTAAATTAAATTTAGAGTTAATTTGATTTTCTATCGTAAAAGGATTATTTAGTGTTGGCCATGTTCATTGGACTTCATCCAAATAATTAAATTTAATAGATTAGCGTTTTTAACGTTGGGTTATTTTCAGTTATATACAGCATGCAGCTTTTTTAATTTCATACCTCAGGGCTACTGGAAGGTAAAGGCAAGATAGAGATGGCGGCGAGACCCCCAAAGATATGAGACATGAGTGTAAAGGTCAGTATTCCTCTATAGCCGACTCACAGCGTAGCGGCAGGGTGACTAATGGCCCACAGCGCACTCAATTATTATCACCAGCACGCACGCACGCACGCACGCACGCACGCACACACACACACACACACACACACACACATATTGTGATTATTTCGGGTTGCGTCTTTAGGGATGCATGACTCCACACATGTGCAGCTACACCAACACTTCTATCTCCCATCTTAATTTCCCAAGACCCAAAGACTTTAGGTCTAAATGAGCACATCAGCACTCTAGGAAATAGGTTTGTCTCGCCTCTGGAAAAAAACACGGCAGTGCGACGCAAACCAGCCTCCTGCCCCCCTGCAATCAATGTGAAAATTGGTCCCACTCATTTATTTGGTTACAGCCGTCATCACATCTAAATCTCCATCTCAAAGCTATTTCCTGTGATGTTTTATTGGAGACGGGGTTTCAGTAAGTTCAGTGACTTTCTTTTTCAACTCCAAGTGTTCTGTCATTTTATGTGGTGATTTAAGTTCTACTTTCTGTGCAATGTTACCTGTATCGCCTAGAGCCATATTAATGTATGTGGCCTATTTCGCCTTACGTTGGCTCGATGTGTGAAGGGCGTTGTGTAAGTCATCAAGTAAAGAAATGTATTTTTTTTTGTGTTGAGATTTGTTTTCCTGCTCTCGCCCCATTTTGAAGGATTTAAGGATTGCTGTTCCGCAGAGCTCTCACTTCAAACGCAGAATGATTCATTTTTCCCCACACACAAGTTGTGTGCGACCTGAACCTCCGAAATGGATCATTTTTCGCCGAATAAATTGACGATCACTCCGTTTGTGTGGAAATGAGCAAGGGATTTAAAAAAACGAGTCTTAATTACAGATATTTCACAAATCAACTCAAATTGTGAGGCGCCAGCCGGGCGGCTTCGTATCCGTGCTGCCAGACTTCAGACAACCAGTCTGGTTCGGCTTGCAGGATCGGCCCGCGGGCCCCAGGGGAGCCTTCCATCCTGCTGCGTCTGCTCTTCTCCCACCTCACGCACTTCAGCAGGGCTGGTCGCCATAAAGGATCCTAGTATCCTAAATATCTAGCTCTGGCCGTATGTGGATGATCTCCTACTTGTGAGTAGGAGACTAGGGAGAGAAGACTCAGTCCCTGGCGAGGCTACTGACAGAATTGCCACGCTTCTTTTCAAATGAGCTCTTCTGCCTCGCCAATACCTGTTATAAGAGATTCAGAGCTGTCTCTTCCCGTCTTCTTCGTGCGTCTTCTTCTGTTTTTGTGATTCTAGGGCTTCGCGGGAGAACTCACTTACTTTCTTCTGGCTGTCTGTTGAATTTATTCTCAGTCTTGGGTCTTGGGTCGGCTGCCCTTGGCCGCGATGACTGGAGGGGGGGCGCAGACTGCTCCGTGCGTCACGTGAGAGCAGAGCTGCCAAAAAGAAAGCCCCCCCCCCCCTTCCCCCTCCTCCCCCCAGAGGTGTTAGGCCGTTTTTTTTTTGACAGCTGTCCTCCAACCGCTTGTCCTTATCTGTTCTTTCATGAGCGAGCTCTGCAAAGGGACAAAGACAGCCGCACGTTGAAGGCTCCAGTCGAGCTCTGGGTTGATTGATGCTCGGTCTAATGGATGCCTCTAATCACTTTTGAGAGATCGTGTCCTTCTGCGGTTGTGTAATGGATGTTGTTCTTTTATACCTTTGCGTATATCTGTGTGTGTGTGTGTGTGTCTCACATTTTATTCAGTCTCCAGAAAACCTGGCGCTCGCGACTCTCCCGTGGCCAAGGCTCGTGCAATATGTTCTGGGTGCCAATCAAAGAATACAGTTTTTTTTTCTTCTGCAGTAATAGATGCTCCTTTAGCTTCACGTGTGAGAAGAGAATGCCACACTCGGTTTCTCAATAAATGTGTCTTTTCAGCCCTTTTTGAAATGACCACGGTCTGCACATTTGCTCTCGTGCTCATGAGTGCTTTGGGGGCGGCATTGAGCGTTATCAGTAGCTGAACTCATTGCCTCTCCCTTTATGTCTGTGCAGGTTTTCGGTGATTATTATCACTTCAGGCATCATGCCGTGGAGAAGAGGGCTTTGTCCGGCCACAGGGGGACGCACAACCGACTGGAAAAAGAACCCAAGGTAAAGCTGCTGTCAGTTCTCGCACACCTCATTTCCACACTCTTATATTGGTAACAAAAGGACAAAAGACAGATTGGATTGGACACATAGAGTGTATATATCACAGGAGAAAAGGATGCCAGCGTCAATGACAGCTTGTCAAACTCTGTGTTCTGTTCAGTCCATGCCGGTCCTTCCATCTGTCCCCATGACCCAATCTGAGGTACCACCTAGCTGTTTAATATGCAGAATAAACACGGCACACAACACAACAGCTGAGAGAGTCTCTGTGTTTTGTCTTGAAATTGACTCCACTCCAGTAGATTTATTATTTGCATTTAGATGTTGACTACAGGAGAAAATTGGCATTCATCATTGCAAAGTAACAAGAACATTTCCTGTCCCTGAATGTTGTTTCCATTTGGACATCTTGAATTTGCATGCAGACCAACCACCAATTTTATACCCGGCGCACTATTAAATCTGCGCTTCAGTAGATGCATCCCGGATGTAGTTGAGTCAGCATGGAGACGCCAACAGACCAGGGATTAAGAGATAAGCAGTCTTTCTCCTTGGGAAACATGTCTGGCAGTATCCATTGTCATTTATCCTGTAGGTAAAAAAAAAAAAATATATATATATATATATATATCCATTTTCTAAATCCATTTTATTAGTGGCAGACAGTAGAGGGGGTGGAGGAGGGAAGAAAGCTTGCATTATGTTATGTTGTAAATTAGCCCTCCAGCAAGAGCCAAGTCTCGGGGTTCTTTACATAATTACGTTCACGCACTGGTTTTAATTAATTGTGGTGGTTCATTTAGTCTAAGACGGTCTTGTTATTACAACTAAACTCACACAAATCCAGCTGAATTCGGATAAAAACAAATCCACCTGAGCAGGCTGACTACAGGAAAAATAAGCCTCGGAGGAACACTAGATGCAATCTTTCATTCCCCCGTACATACAAATGATTGTTAGATGGGAGAATTATAGATAACCGCATCGCTGTGTTGTGAGGGCAACAAGAGATAAGCTGAGGAAAAATAGAGTTTACTCACAATACAGGCTCTCATTACTCGGGTCATGTGATGTAAGCAACGCAGAAGAGATCATGAAACTGAAGAAGTTAACCTTTTCATTTCAACACCTCAGCGAGGAAATGTTTTTGTCTGTTTGGACCGGAGTGGGCAGAAAGCCACAAAGGTCTCACTACCAAAAATGATACTCTGTGTGTGTGTGTGTGTGTGTGTGTGAATCCTCTGTGGCTGGAATAAATAAATCGATCCGCACAGCAGAAGATACAGCAGCTCTTTGTTGTGTGACTCACTGGGTGTAGAATGCGTGCATGCGATTGCCATCGGTTGTGTATTTCACTCTTTATCTTATTCCGAAAGGTTCATTATATAGCCGCTTCTCGTCCTCGACCCCGCCCGAGACGGTGGCGATTGCTTTTGAGGAAATACAAGCAGCCGGTCCTTTATCGCTGACACGGGCCCGTGGGGACGGGCGATGCGAGACTACACACTCCTGGGTGCGTGTTGGTGAACAATCCGGACCCCAAACACCCTCCCTTCTGGAGCCGCTGCCACCTGACTCCTCTGCTGTCGTGTTTACATTGCAAACACCGTCGGCAGTTGTGTAAATTGCCTCTGTTTAAAAAGCGTCTCACGAGGTACCCGAATGGTGCTAAAAGGGGGAGGTGGGGGGGCGGCATTACCAAGTGAGAACCGACGTGGGCCATCTGTAGCGACGCAGGGTCTGCCAAGTAGCTAACCAAGTAGGTCTGTCGGCTTCTCCACACAGCGAGCCAAGCCGGCCCGAGGAGACCGCCGCTGAAGCCCCCAAGACGGCGTTAGTGAGATACGGCGACATTCAGGGAGGCCGGCGATGTCGGGCTGAACGAGTGGTTCAGAGGCGCCCGCTACGGCACAAAAATGGTTTTGTTGTTGGCAACAAACGAGAGCTGGAAGTGACCGAGGCAAAGACGTTTGTCGTTGTCAAGGTTTCAAAAAAATGTACCGTTAGAGATTTTAGTGACAATGACAATGTTTCTGGATGAGGCACAAAGCGTGTTGAATTTATACCCGCCGCCCCATCGGCAGAGCTCAGGAGAGAAAGACGTGTTTGACCAATGAGATTCCATCTGGTTGGTTCATCTCTGTCAGCGGTTCACGTTAACGTGTGATTTAACCCCCGATGCTACTGAGGGCGCCACAGGTCACCTGCACACCTACACAACCAGAAACAGACCCAGCCGCAGGCCAAGCGTGGCCGCTGCCAAAAAACACTACGGCACCAGTGAGTGGGTTAGTTTTTATCTTTAGGAGAATTGGTCTATTCATAGTTGTGTACATAGTGTGTGTGTGTGTGTCTGTGTGACCATCCGATTCTTGGAACAAAGGGAGAAAGAAGGTTCTGCTTTACTTGGTTCAAAGCAAATACATTTAAGAACGCGGGGGAAAAGCGTAATGGTTGGATTTAGATTTGTCAACGCTATGAGCTTTGAGCTCGCTTTAGTGTTTCCTCTCTCATCCGGCTGCCGACTCTCACATTACCTCCTTTGTCTCTTTTCCACGGCACCGTGGTGCTAACGTGCCACTTATCACCATCGCCTTTGAATAATCACGCAGTGGCAAAATTACATTGGCAGCTGTGTAAGCTTTCACCATTATGCTTCCCTGGGTTGTTTTTTATCCTCTTCTCTCTTTTCCCCTTTACCTTCTCTGTGAAGGATAAAATTGATTTGTTTTGGGACGGCTGCTGTTGCTTTTATACAAACGGCAGGGTAAGGCAGCTCCCTGCGTGCGGTGTCTCTCTCTCTCTCTCTCTCTCTCTCCTATTTGTAAATTTGACATTGTGCGTTTTGAGGCCGTGCTGTTAAAGGATAAGGGTGGAAATAATATATGTGTGTGTTGCTGTCAACAAATCCCATCAAAGAACCAAAACCAACAATGCTGGTGGGTTTTTTTTTTTCTCTCTCAATCCGTAGATTGTCTGTTGTCTGAGCTCGGTGCCGCGTCCGCTACCAAAAGGCATAAACGCCTCACTATGAGTCACAGGAGGGTCATGGAGGAATAATGTATTTGTTGGGGACTATTTTCAGCAGCGGATTAAAGGCACTAGCAAGGGTTGGAGGCATTGTCCCATGTCACAGTTCTCACATGTCGACGGGTTGTGGGCACTTGATTGAATGATTTGAAAGAAACGTCTAAACAAGCACACTTTAGTTTTTCAGGGGTCCTGATCCTCAGGTCGCGAAACATCAAGTTCCAGTAGTAGAAAAATGGACTCAAAGTGAACTTTTGTGCCTCATTCCGTCGCAGTGTGTTGCTCATTGATGGGTTTTCTTTAGTCGAACTAATGAAGATCATATATAAGCAATCATATATACAAGTAAGGCTTTGAATAAACTGTCTGTTGGATCAACTCATTATTAATTTGGGTCTTTTCGGGGGATTTGTTGATAATACAAAACAAACACCACCAGACTCCTCCTTCTAACATGTCATCTTTCGCCATAAACCGTGGAAACGGGTTCACAGATACAAAGCGCATTACACACAATACCAGCGTGCGTTCTCCTTAGTCATCAGACGGGAAAGCCCTCAGGACGCTGTGCGAGAGTCGGAACAAATAGTTTATTTGCTCAAGCGGATCACGGACCTGGACCACCTCCAGACCTCATTCCTGCCTCATGATTGCTTCCCTCTGAGGTCGCGTTTGGCTCCGTGTTGTCCGCCTCCCAGATCACAGGGTGCGGTCCAGGACATTAATAAATGTAATGAAATGAGATTAATGTTAATTCGTCGTTGAATAAGGTGAATGGCTTCATCCCGTGGGGCAACGTTTTAATCTTGAAGCTAGACCAACGTCGGCACCTGCACGTCGGCACCGCGCGCTTCAGACTGTGAGAGCACGTAATCATGAGACAAGCACTCGCTTCTAGAAACATCGCCGACAGCCCGAGAGAAAGTCGGGGGAATGAAAAAAAAAAAACCACACAAAAAAACATAGAAAAGGATCCGAATACCTGAATAACAAGTTGGACTTTCACAATCCTCTGGGCAATGTGCAGGAAGATTCCTGGTTTAGACACAAGTTGCTTGAGGGCTCTTGACCTAGAAGCAGAATCGGTTTAAGCTTTGTCACCTTCAGCAACAACTCATCGCTGACAGTAATAATGTCCAACAGCATTTGCTGTAAGCGCTTCAGAGGACAAGTATCTGTTCTAGCAGCTCACTTCAGCTTTCAAATATTATATTAATTCATTTACTAAATCTGATTGGCTTCTACTTTAGAATATGGTTTATAAAAAGCAATAACACAAGTACGTTTATTTGTGGTTCCTTAATGACTTCATGTATCATTCTTACATAAAAAGTGTTACAAACTCCCAGCATTTATATGATTTTAGTGATCAGTTATCAATACACCTCGTCAAATGTGCCAAATACTGTATATGTTTGATTGCCTGGACAAATATGGACAAATTTGTCTATGGGTGTCTTTCATCCTTCTTGCCTCACAGAACAAAGTACCTGTCAAGATCTATAGATACAAGCATGGCAGGAACAAGATCTCTTAACTGGTAACATTCAATTATTTCCCATTGTTTGGCTGCCGGCGATAGCTTCTTTTTTTAAATAATGTACGTATAACCAGTGTGTGTGTGTGTGTGTGTGAGTGTGATATGACATTTGTCATTTGCCATTCTTACGAGCCTTTATTCTGACACCCAGCCGGTCCTGTGCATATCCCTGCAGCCTCCGTGACTTCAAAGGCCCCCTTTCCGACACAGTCAGCGTGGGGAGCCACTTCCCCTCAGAATGAAATGAATTAGATCTGCCTCACATCTCTGCCTCGCTTTCTAGATATTGCTTTTTGGAGCACAGCTGGGATTCATCTCCACGTCTACTGTCTGTGGGACAATGCAATATTTTGGGAAATTAGAAAAAATTGGTAATTTCACAATAGGATGCGAAGATGTCTGTGTGAACTGTGGATGGTCACTGATTTGTGTGCGTGACTCGCAGGTCCAGTGGGCAGAGCAGCAAGTGGTGAAGAAGAGGAAGAAGAGGGACATCTATGAAGATCCAACAGATCCAGATTTCCCCGAGCAGTGGTACCTGGTGAGCGGCCTCTTGTCTTGATAGTCTACACGTAGTTAGTCTGTCGTTGTAGCAGAGTTGACGATGACATTTCTAAAATATCTCACTCAGTGTGTAACATACAGTAATACATATACAGCAAACACATTAGTTGGTGCAGTCCGTAGAATGTTTTTTCCTTTTCTGTATTCCATTCAGAAAGCCCTTTTAGGATTTTGAAGCCAAGGAGAACATCCCCCTCTGCATTCAGATGTGTTAATAGCAGTATTTTTTTCATATTTCAGTCTCTGCTCTGCGATTATTTCTAATTAAACCTTGATGGCCTTCTTATTCACTCACGTATGAACGGCTCTCAATAGTTTCAGCTCTGCAGAATAATCTTATTTGAGGCGTATTCATTATCCCAGCAAGTCCTTTATTTCCCTATGGTCAGTCAGCATGAATGGAATTTCTGTCTTTTCAAGCAAACATAGAGGCTTTACGGGTTATAGCTTCACTGTATAAACAGTCAAAAGTACAATATAATGTATTCCAGGATGCCTGGTTCAATGGAAAATGAAACGTAAGGACAGATTGAATGGTGAACTGTGTGATCTGTGAGCCGCTGATAGCAAACGGTTCTGGCTCTGTCTGTTTGGTTATTCACACCTTTTCTCTGATACCCTTAAATTAGCCATAATCTCCCCTTTTTACCTCTGCCGCTGTCAGGGATTAATGACAGTGACTACGCCAGACAGATCACCGCTGAATAGAAGTTGTGAAACCAATTCTGCCATTCAGCACGAGACCTCTTATCGTCTCAGTACTCACACCTTTAATTCTCATGTATTTAGTATTAAACACGGATGTGAGTCCAAAGCCAAACAGTAGTTTTGGTTTAAGCCATACGTTCTCACGCTGACTTTTTATTTGCCATTTATTTATTGTACTCTGGGGCTTTCATCTTGGCTAATTCTGGGGCTTTTGTTTGAGGCAAATATTTACTTAAAATATGTATTGAACGGCATCTCTGCCAGTTCCAAGCCTACATCCAGGAACTCCAGCAGCCCATGTCGGGGGCAATGCATCAAAATTGGATTTGAAGTGTCGATGAATCACCTCTGATTTTCCCTTCTTTTTTTTATGTTGTGGTGCTTGTGTTTGTATTGAGCACATTTGATTTTGACTTAGTCTTTTCTGCGGGGCAAAGGCCTTTGGCGGATGATTTAAGGTGTTCTCACAGGCACAGACCCTTTCTGTTCTCCCCGGTGTGTCACTCACCGCAGACTGACAGCTGAACAAAAGCCTCGCGTCTCTTTTCAGTCCACGCCAACGCATCAAGACCTGAATACCAAAGCAGCCTGGGCCCTCGGCTACACGGGAAAAGGGGTAGTGGTGACCATCCTGGACGACGGCATTGAGAAAGACCACCCGGACCTCATCGGCAATTATGTAAGTCCCAAAAGAAGTGCATTAAAGACTAAACATAGGAGAAAAGTGTTGTTGTATTGCCAGGGATTGGATTTCTTTACTGCTTTCCTTCCTGTCTAAGGACCCTGAGGCCAGCTATGATGTTAATGACGGAGATGCTGACCCCCAACCGAGATACACGCAGCGAAATGAAAACCGGTGAGTTGGCGAAAGCAGAAACCCGGCGGCGCCGAACGTGATTGGTTCCATCGTGAGGCCGATGACGAGCGCATTCTTGAATTGAGAAGTAATTTGCGCCGGGATTTAATCGTTTCTTACCAAACCACCCTTGTCCAACCCTTGTTGTTGTTTTCGACTCGGCACCAGCCGCCTATAAGCGTTCGTCGACAGCGGCTTTTGGTCCACTGCTCTCGGCTCAAGCATTTACATTTAGAAACCAATTATACAAAGTTAGAAAGCGCCGGTGCAGTCATTCTGCACAAGGCTTGAAAGATACTTCCCCATTTTCTCCTCCTTTGCTTCAGTACACAAGAGATTCAGCCTTCGCACCCCCCCCCCCCCCTCAGTGTCTAACACAATACTGGGGTTACTTGCCCTCGGTGGTTCAACGTTTCACCCCAAATGTATCGATGGAACACTAAAGCGCCAGCGGGGGCAAATCCTTCTCCCCTGTTCCTTCAAACACTGTGGTCTTCTGCCATTGTCCAATCCCCCCCTCCCACCCCCCTCCAGCAGAGGAGAAGCTGCACAGCAGGATTTCTCTTAAATCGATTTATATTTTGAAGGAATTCCACCCCAAAGTCTTTTGTGTCTGATTGTTTCGTCCTTTGGTATACGGTTTCAAAGCGCAGCCACCTATCTGCAGTCGGTTGGGGGTGGGGGGGGCTGTAACAGCAACTGACTTTTCATTAGATAATAGCAGAATTGCATCTCAGACGATGTTCTGAATTGAACTTTGTTTATCCCACTAATCTATATATCCTTTTTTCGTGCCCATTCCTCATCATGAGCTATTCATCCTCAGCATTTATTAATCTTGAAAGAGCCGCAGCTGCTTTATTTAGCATTTCTCGTCCTTGCCGACAGCTTGAGCGGCCATGCGGAGCAGCCCTCGCCCGCTCTGTCAGTGTAAAGCGGATCCCGCTCTGTCCTGCAGATAGAACAAAGCACTACCGGTGCCGCTACTACTACTCACGTTCAGTGAGCTCAGACTCTGCGAACCCATGTGGGTGGAATTGCCAGAGCAATTACCTTGGACTGGATCAATGTATTGGCATGGGAGGGGACACCCAGGGTGTGTCTGATACGCGGCGTAGAGCGGCGGCGCTTGCTGTGACCTGGAAACGAGCTGCGTCCACTGAGTTACGTAAATCATCGAGAAATACAGGCCCCGACAGTGAGTAATGCCCACAACCCCCTCACAATGAGATTATATGAATATATTCATATGACAACACAAAGCAGAGAGGGGAGTCGCAGGCGTTTTCCTTTGCCGTGACGGCCCGTTCGTCTGTACTGGCGACAAGCGGGGCTGATTTTTGAATTCTCACATCTGGGTTTATCCAGCAAGATGCTGCTCTGTAGTCTGGAGTTGGCAGCTCTGGCAGATCGTGTTGAAGGGGGTTCGGTGTAAGTTGAAGGTGCTTCATCGTTTTGTTGTTTTTCTGTTCTTTCTGTTCTACTTTCCCCCACTTTGCGTCTGTTACCCCGGTATGATGTTGGTGTATGGAGGGGCCAGCAGAACAACACCCTTCTTTTAAATATGTATATATGTATGTGTGTACATATATATGTAAATCCAATTGTACAATCTTGTTACTAATCTAAATAATACAGTCATACATTTTTTTACTTGTGGATACATGATAAACCTCCACTCCTTTAAGTCAGCCCGACACCTCTGGGCTTCTTACTGGATAAAACTGATTAAGCTCACGTGAAGGATAACGTCTAACTGCTACCATCACATGATTAACTCAGCATCTGAAACGGCACTATACTATATTTTTCTTTTATTTGAGTGGGTGCTTTGGTGTGTGGATTGATTTTCTTTGCTCTCAGGTGGTTTTACTGTCTCGATGCATCTAACTTCCCCTCGGAAAGCTATTCGCTTCTGTTGAGAACTTTTCACAGGGGGCCGTTATTGAGATGCACCGTACGATTGTGCAGTGACGGGTTTTATTGGAAAATGATTGGCATGCCTCGTCTGCCCTTCAGACCAACCCCATCAACTCCCTGATACTAAAGTGACTGAAGCTCAAGGCTGGGAATAAGAAGAAAGACACATTATGGTTAATCAAGTTGATTGCATTGTGAAAGACCAACAGAGGTTTTTTCATGCTTTTCTCTATCAAATTGCTTTGTCCTTTTGTGAAACAAAGCTTTGTTTCTCCGAAACAAAGCTGCAAAGACACACTGCAAAGAAAAAATGGTAAATGCACCTCCAGCAGCCGCCGCTGCAGAACAGACACATGTTTTGCATTATCTCATCTCATTAAATTCTTGATTACTTATAACATTAATCATCGGGCAGCTATCCCCTGTCGGCTTAAAACCTTGCAATCATTCAGAGGTAAAGTGGCTAGTGACTTTTTGCAACGCATTTTAAGGCATCAAATTATTTGTATGTATTTTGGCAGTTTGAAAGTTGGATGCAATAATCACTAATATTAGTTAATATGTTTATGCAGTAAGATAATATATAGGCAGAGATGACCTATTTCTACAGCGGTACACTTCTCTGCAGTGTCATTAACAAAATATACAAATTATTTTAAAAAGTAATTACTCCTTAAAGCTAATCCTTAAAACCTTCATGAGGGAAATCTTGATTCGGCTTTGAATAAAGATCTTATCTCTTACTTAACCGAGCATAACTGTGACAGCGTCAGGGTCCAGAGGTTAAATGTCTATGTGCTTCACTGTAAAAACAACATTTTAAATGTGCAGTATTTTGTTTACTTACCTTTACAGAAAATAACCCTCAATCCACTTGGAATTCAAGCCGCAACAACCTGAAAATGGCAGAAGGGTCAAATACTGTTTATGGCCAAACGCTGGCAGACACGTGGCGTCTAAAGCCTGAGATGTTCCCGGTCTAAGTATATGAACGCAAATGGAAACGCATAACTCGCACACACTGCATGCGTAGATGCATTATGTTATTTGACAGTAGAGTTATAGTTTGTCCTTGGTGGTTTAAGGAGTAGAAGGCATCTTTCAAATAGTGCATAGATGAACAAATGACCTCTGAATTCAGTGAGTCGAGAGTGCGAGCAAATAACTTTATGAGTCTTCATTTCTCCTTTTTCCATTCACGCTGTTTGCGCGTGAACGGATATTGGAGTTGGAAAACAAGAGAATGATATTTTCTCCATTTACCTCTGCACACTGTAAATAAATGCTTTCCACTGTTTACACTCAGTTTATCAATTATTGTTTGCAAAGCTGCCAGCCGTCGTCTTGTTTATTCTGCCTTTTAGTTTTACAGACAGCCAGGTGGTTTTTGAAGGGGAAGTCGGCGGGTACCTCACTCTTAAATCCAATTTGTCCGGCTTCCTGCCTTCTCTCCCGCTAGTCCTTTATTTGACGTGATGTATTTTTGTCTATAAAAGCGTGATTGAAGCTGCTGTCTTGAAACGTTTGGACAGGATACTGTTGAACGGGGTGTTGAAGCGGCGTAAACATATTCCAGCTTAGACGTAGTCGACGATGTCCTGCTCATTATCCACCTTCCTTTGACAATACTTTTAAGTTATTTGCAATAACCTCAAAACGCTTTATTGCTTGACAGACTGTATCTAGTTGTTTTTCCGTAATCGCAGTTGCTTTGCATATCCTTCGTGTTGGTCATTCCACCCAGAATAGTTTATTGCCTCTCCAGAGCACCACGGTGCTCCACGCACTCATTCATTGGCCTCGCAGGAACAGATCCATTTCAGTTCCCGACCCCCTTCTTCTTTGAGTTAGATTTTATTCTCTCCCTGTCCACATGAGTTTCTTCCCACATAAAAATGTGCCAGTCAGATGGATTGGTTATGACCGTTTATGTGGCTACATTTGCATGAGGACGATCAAAAGTTTTTCTCTGCCTTTCGGGGACGTTGCTTTGCACTCGTCACTTTAAGTATTGAGAAATGCTAACGATCTAATGTCCGTGATGCAAACGAACCCCAGACATCAAAATATGGAACTTTAAAGACACCGATCCTCTTCCCTGCAAGCTGAAGACCAATCTTTCAAAGCCTGCTCACATCTCAAAGTTAAAAAAAAAAAAGTTGACACTGTTATTAACAGGAATATAATTAAATCACAAAAACTCCCGTTTAAATGGAATGCACGGTGAAATTATCCCGTTATAGCAATTTTAAAAATAATTACTTTTAGTCTTAAAAAAATAAGCAATGTTTTAATTTATTGTTACCACAACTAATGATGTAATTACTTGCTTGAATGCGTAAACGCTTACGGCTGACATTAGGATTAGACCAACATTGAGGCTTACTGCACATTAATAGACCGCTGAACCGTTGAGAATATTGGCACGCGTCCGCCCTGAGTTCACGTCGCACGGCAGTCAGAACGTGGCATCCCAGTTACTGTGAGCCATGACTTGCACCTATCCTAAGAAGAAAGATAAAAGCATACTCACTCGTCCTTTGCTCCATCCGATAAGATAAGGGAGGTCACATGTTTTGTGAATAGTGTCTCTAGTCCAGCGGGCTTTCATCGATGCTTTGTTGGGTCTTTTCTCCACGGCTCGTCTTCGAGACAAAGAATGCATCGTCTTTTGCCGTCCTCTGACTCTCACTCTGATATTTACCAACTTCGCTTCTTTCTCCCGGATGAGGCTGCATTGTCGTTAAGCTTTTGTTGTTTTCACACGTCCCTCGAATGAGCTCTTTAGACAACGCGCGCGCGTGACCCCGAGGGTCGCTGCCTATGACACTTTTTTTCCAATCGCTTTTTAATGGATATAGAATGGAGGCATGCAGCAAAGCGTCTCGGAAGTTTCATTTTATGGACACTTGACAAATGGAATTGTGGCTTCACCTCAAACCCTTTGTCTGCTCTGCAACGTCCGAGCCTCCCTGGATGTATTAAGCTGTCTGGCTGGTTTAGCTGCATTTATTCCAGGCCAATAACTCCTTCGCACACAAAACACAGCTCCATTTGGATGCGTAAAGCCCCTCCGTAGACGTCTGCCCATCCTGTTCCAACTCCTTGACTGGGACCACATCTGTGTCCGCAGCTCCCCGGTCCGAGGACATGCGCCACCGGGTCGGAAGACACATTTTTTCACGATGCCGTTTGATGAAACATAACTTAATGTGCGAGTATTTGCAGCTAAAGGTGTACCACACTATCGATGTATTATTATCATGGATTTTTATTTGAATATTATACATGACTCACACTATTGTTTGCACGATTTGTTTGAATTATATCTTTTAAAGAGAAGAGCTTTGAGCCAGGCATTTGTTTGTTTTTTGAACGTGAGTCATTGAAATTTGAGATTTGATTTGCAATTCCACTGCAGGTGGCTGCTCATTGCAGGGGTGAAGTAGTTTGGACCGAGCAGTCTGGCTGTCTGTTTGTGTGAGTTATGTGAGACAGGGCGAATAATCACACACTCCTTTGATAGTGAAAGAATGTGGTGCATTCGCAGTTTATTTTCCTCTCTGTTTGCTCCGTACAATTAAGAACACTGCAAAATAAATTCGAGGACCATATTGCTTTAAAATGTAGCTCGATAGTATGTTTTACAGCGTGAAAACAAACAGGTGTAAACCTTAAGTTGTGTTAATCATTTTGAAGTATCATTTCCAAGACAAATAGCTCATTAGAAACTGCACGGGTTCGCTTTAAAATGGAGAATGCTTCTGCCACATTCAATTATAGAAGCACTTAGAGTAATTTATTCTTCATCTGTAAACCTCGTTTAGTTGTTTTTATGTTAAGCAGCCACAGCACTGCAGTGAAATTCAGTAGCACTTTCACTTCCTCAGCATCATTTGACTGTCCTCTCGCTCCTATTCCTTCACTGGGTTTAACAAATGCTACTTAAAAGCTACTCACACGAATGACTTTTTCTTTTTCTTTTCTGGCTCTAGATGACTGACGGCCACCATTCGGCTCCCACTCGTCAGCGTTCCAGCACATAACAACGTGATTGATCCGCGCCAGCCAGTCAGACGTTGTAGGCGGGGAGCTAAAATGTAATGAGTGGGCAGTTGTTTGCCTCTTTAGCGCTCTGATAGTTTAAAGGGCCGCTCGCCACTTCGCAAGCACCTTAAACACATACATTAACACGCACATGCATAAACACACACATGCATAAACACACACATGAACACAGGGGGAGGCTGCACAACTGCGACTGCGCTGCTATTCCTGAAGCTTCTTCCATTCACTCGGTTTTTGCTCTGATAATCAGCCAAATTGGAATGACTTGTGAATTCTATTGATTATCTAATGCTTATTAGGTCATAATGGCGTTTGAACGCTGCAGCTACGTTACATAGCGCTGCCAAGGAATGTCCTCCCCGCCTAATAAATCTCAATTCAACCCCTGAGTACATATATATTGTTCTTGAGGGAGCCATCAACCTCTCATTACCAGCTGCCGTCCAAGTTAGTTAGCAATAAAACAGCGTAGTTCAACCTCTTGATAGCGCCGATAATAATTTAACTGCATCTGTGATGTATTAAACTCTGCCATATGTGGTGCCAAGGTCCCAAGGTGAGTGCATCTCTGTCAGTGAAAGATGTGTCCTGTCAGGCCAGTTGATTAAATCCCTTCCACGCCTGTAGTTGTTGACAGCTGAATTAATGATTTCTCAGGAGGTCCACGTTGCCTCGTTCCACACCGTCTTTGTTTGCAGTTGTTGTGAGCAAGTTGTTCTTGTTGTTCTTCGACGCCGTAAATCCCGAACAATTAAAAAAAGAGAAGGAAGACGGCTGTGCGCATCCTGCTAAAATGTTTAGAAGTGGGAATTGGTGGGTGGGTTGAATATCACGGACCTACACGCAGTCCCATCAGAGTCCCGGCTCTGATCCCGTTGGAACGACTTTGACTTTCGGCTCTTCCCAAAACTATATCGCGTACATAATTAGCTGCGTATCCGACTCACACAGTGCGTGTTGCTTCCTCAGCTCTCTCTACTGTAATCAGCACATGATCTTATGCAAACGCTGCTTTCGTCCCATCACGCCGCTTTAGCCCCTAAAGTCAGGCAAACATATTAAAACGGTTTCACCAACGATTACCTTTTGGCTCGGAATGAGGCAAAGCTCTTTAGTTAGAGACGTTTCATTGGATTCATTTTACATTTGTGGTTGATAAAGCACGATTTACGCGGTCTGAGTTGTTTTATGTTTGCAGAGCGTGGTTGTGATTGACACCTGGTCGCTCTGTGGGGGACTGGTTGAAGGTATTAATGAGGGACTCTGTGAATAATTCATTTACATCGATAACATCTCCTCTCTCATTCGTCTGGCTTTTGACCGCCATGATACATTTTAAGTCTTTGTGTTGCTCCCCTGGTTTCACCTCGGTTACTCTTTGTAAGTGATCAAACTGAAAGGATTAGATGTTCACCGGTCTGAAGCTTTGTACATGCCGATGTATAGAACACGCAGAACATTTGTTCATTCAGAGGGTTTATGGTTCCACAAAGTTGAATCTCTTAGGAACCCTTTCTGTAACTCAGCATCCGATGAAGACTTTCATCACCCACAATTCATTGCAATGTGATGTTAAACACCGGGGTTACCAGTGGAAGCACGTAACAATAAAAAGGTAAACCAAGAGGACGGCATGTGTGTCATATTAAAGATGTGCAGACACATTAAGGATACGTGAACAACCAAATTAAAGTATTTATTCATTAGTAAAGGACAGAAATACTCATGTAAAACTACCAAAACTGCTAGAAAACTGATTAACAAAATGTGTTTTCACTGATTTAAGACATTATAATGCAAATTTGGGGTTAAACATAGCCCTAAAAATCTGTTGTACGTAATAACTGTGGCAACTTTGACAGACAGTGCAGTTCTTACACCTGCGTTGGCTTCTTTGTTCTCCTTGTGCTGTGTGAAAAAGAAAGCCAGTGTGTCCTTGACACGGCGTTCTAGTTATGCTCAGCAGGAAGGTGTTTTTCCTCCCTGCGTCACCGTAAGTAATGCTCGAATTCTAAAGCTTACTCTAACGAATGTACCCTCCATTGTGAGACGACTCTGGTGCAGCCACAAAAGGGCCACTGGCTTTTGTTCTGTGAAAGCCCTGCTCGGTTCACCAGGTCGCCATCGCCCGCTGCTGTTTTGCCCGCGAGCAGACAGTCGAGTTATTGTATCACGATGCTCCTGCTTTATGCGTGAATTGCCCCCTCGTAATCTCCCACCCCCGTCTCTTGTGACACCTTCCTCTCCCCAGACACGGAACGCGATGTGCAGGAGAAGTTGCGGCGGCGGCCGACAACGGCGTGTGTGGCGTCGGTGTGGCCTACGACGCTAAAATAGGAGGTGAGTGGGTTTTTTTTTTTATTGGGACAAATGGTTCATTAGAACTAATTTATGATTTAAGGTTGATCATTGTTTCAATGATAAATAATATGCAAAAAAATACTCACACAATTATTAACGTACTGTAGAGGGGATTTTGCATCTGCTACATTGCAACTGATTTTGGAGCCGATATCCTTCACATATCTTTGCGTTGGCCATCTTTTGCTGTCTGATTGATAGTTTTTGACATGTTTTTTTTTTTTTTCAAACCAAAAATTATAGTAACACACTCAACCTTGACATTCCAGTGATTGGAAGAAAATCACATTTTTCAAGTGTTTTCTTGTTTGTTCTGTTAAGAAGCAACAAAACACTGTTAAAATAAGATAATCTTTATTAGTCTTGAAGCGGGGCAATTTACAATAATGCCTACATTTAATGTTATGCTGATGCCACAAAACTGAGAGCCGTCCCCCTGATGTTTGCACACGATAAAGTACTCCAAGGAGGCTTTTACTAACTTTGTTCACCAGACAATCTGTCAGTGACATGATTGCAGCCAACAAGACTCAGCGGAGCCTCGTGCCGCCCTGAGCGGTCCCGTTCACAGATGTTACTCATAATTCTCCTTCTTTGTCTTCATTACCATTCATCTCCCGATGGAGAACGGCCTCGTTCTCGTAATTTACTCCTCCCTGAATCTGTTCACGTCAGGAGATTGTTCATAAACAGCTGTGATTTGCTCCCAAATTCCTCCGTGTGTGTGTGTGTGTGTGTGTGCGTTCCTGCCGCCTCTGACTCTCACAGCAGCGTCTTTATAAGGAATCGTTGAGCTGCAGGACGTTGATGACAATCATTATCGTTACCGCCGCATTACAGCCAGAGCAAAGCGATCAGCCCGGCAAACGCTGCGCTTGTCAGGCTGCTCACTATTCAAACTTGCGGTGTGAACAATCTCCATGCCAACACAGTAATTACTGCTTCAGCTGCATCTCGTCTGCCGCGTTTCTTCTGAATGGCTTATTTAAGTTTCGAGGCGGACGTCGCCGGTGGCGCGGCGGCCTCTGAGGTCCGGTGGTCTTTTCCCAGTAATGGAACCTTATTTGAGGTTGGTTCGTTTCACGTCTCTCTGCAGCCATTAATGTTCAGAGGAGGGATCTGAGGGCGCTCGCTTCAAAGGCTCCGACGGGGTTTGGTTCAGGTATGATGAAAGGTTGCATTCAGCGCCGCCCCCGCGTGGGCCCCCACAGTCGGTCCAAGGCTTTGTAAGCGCTCCGCTCGTTTACGCCAGTCGGCACCGCGTGTTCCCTCTTTGGTTTGCCTACGTGTCCTTTCTCGGTTGTTCATTGGGGTGAGGGAACTAGCCGTTCCTGGTTTGATAACCAGCTGGGTTTTCATATTTGACTGTTAAAAAAAATATATATATATATATTTATACCCCCATCAGAGCAGCATCTGCGGGTGAAGACTTTCAGATCGTTTAAATCTGAATGCTGTTTTTTTACAGTTAAGGTTGTACTGACCTGTTCTATATATACATATATACATTTTGGGCTTAGTCGCCTCTGTTTAAAACATGCTGGTATCTGATTTATTATGTTTATTATTAACAGGGATGGAGCTGTCTCTAGGTTGGTTTAAAGTTGGTGCAAACACCACTATCCCTCCGTCCTCTTCTCGTAACGTATGCAGAAGTTACACGGGAGCAGACTATGCAAAATCTCCGGTCTTATCTCGTGGCCGTCATTTTGATTTACTGGCGGCCTCGCTCTAAAACAGTGCACGTTCCGTTTGAGAACACGTCACCTCTAAACTTTAGGCTACTACTGATACACAATAAGGCTGTTGGGTGCTTGCTCTGGGTAACCAGTTCTGCTCTGCGGGTCCTGCTCGCCTCACAGGAGTTCGTATGCTGGACGGAGAGGTGACGGACGTGGTGGAGGCCCACTCTCTGAGCCTCAACCCGCAGCACATCCACATTTACAGCGCCAGCTGGGGCCCGGAGGACGACGGCAAGTCGCTGGACGGCCCGGCCAAGCTGGCGAAGGAGGCGTTCCTCCAGGGAATCACCAAGGTTAGTCGCGGCATGAACTCGTACTTGTCAGAGCGTCTGACAGCGTCAGAGTCAGAGTGCGTCTGCTCGTGTGTTTGTGTGCTGAATATGAGGCAGCTCCTGTTGAAGTAGGGAAAACACAGCGATCAATTGGGAAGCAGACGGAGACACAACACCACAGCTCTTTAGGGTTAGTCAGAGGGACGGGTAGTATGTGACACTCTATCTAATGTCATCATTTCTCACGTGTCAGCATGCTGCATCAGCTGGATGATAAATGGGAGATGGAAGGAAACAGAATCAAAGCAGCAGTCACCGATGCGCAACAATAATTCAAACCAAAGACAGCTGTGATTTTCTTTTGCGTAAAAGAATGATTCATACGTCACATTCCAAAAATGGGAATTGCCCCACACATCATGGTGTGTTAGTGAGGAGGAATCGGCTGACAGCGGCGCAATACGGCCTTTCTGGTTCAGCGTGTGTTCTCCTGGCACTGAGATAACTGCTGGCATCCAGGTTTCATCATCCGGCCTCCTGCGAAGGCAGCGTTGGGTAGTGAATCGCGCTCGAGCCACAAGACTCTGATACGATCCAACGGCAACACATTCATTCAAATTAAATCCTCCCCACAAACTCATGGTCAGTTGTGACATTATGATATATATATATTTCATAAAATGAAATCATAATCAAACAAGCTTTTCTTTAAAGTCTGCGTTCAAGTGGAATTCAGGTCTCTTTGTATCTTTGCAAGCTGTCAATAAATAATAACAGTTTTGCAACATCGGTCATAAGCACAGATTGAAGTATCTTTAAATTTGTCAGGACTGCTACAATACTGGAACTGATGACGTGACAGGACCTTTATTTTGTATCATTATAAATTATTAATAATGTTTTTTTTCTTCTAATTATTTCTGCTCGCAGTATGTGGGATTTTAGAGACCTCCCTCCACTCTTTTATCTTTTTTTGCCATCACACAGTATTGTTTTGTTATTGAAGAAGAATATTTTATCCGCCCACTTGGTTTAAACTGTACGTGGTTGAAGAAATGCTTTAATTTTTCAGTTTTATTCTTTAATGTCAGTGTCTGGGATATCATTTCATTTCATTTTTTAATAACATGTGATTAATGCTGAAAATAAATGTATTGTAACGATAATTATACCTCTACCTATAAAAGAGGGCAGCTCTCTACAATTATTTCTTTGAGAATAAATAAAAACAACGAAAAGGTCATTTGAAAATCCATCTCGCTTGAACAAATGGACGTTGAAGTTGACTTGCATCCAGAGGCATTCCAGAGCTTCGCCCTCCTGCAGATGACCTCCTGTCCTCCGTCTCCAGCTCAGGGGTCAACAACCAGGCTGCAGACCTCAGGCAGAAATCACCCCGGTGGTGAGCGATGGAAGGTCGATACTGCAGACCAACCAGGGCCTTAAAAACATTACAAATCAATTCTCGGGATCACAGCTAAATAGTGCAGGATGTGCAAAAACAAGTCCATCCCTTTTGGGGGGCATTTAAGCGATTACAGAGTAGTAATCCAATCAGCTGGAGACAAATGCATGGACGAGGTTCTGTGTGTCTTGGAGTGAAAGGAGCAATCCAAACATGTCGACAAACAACAACCTTTGTTACTTTGCTAAAATGTTACCAGCGTCCTGTTGGCAAGTCCAGTGTGTGTGTGTGTGTGTGTGTGAAGCATATAGTCTCACTGCCAAATATAATGTTGTCATTTATCATGTCCTCATATTACATTCTGCTTGAGTAGATCTTGTAATTACATTTCTCCTGTTTGTTATCTAATGTTTCCCGACATTATGATGCATTAATAAGAGTTGGGCCTGCAGCGGTTCACTGCTGGTAAGCGGGAAAAAAAGCATTCAAGCGACAAAGCGTTCGAGCACACAGACAAACGTCTTGGTCAAGGACAACGTTTAGTCTCTGCTTCTGCGCCGCAGGGACGCGGGGGACAGGGCTCCATCTTTGTGTGGGCCTCGGGCAACGGCGGCCGGGAGCAGGACAGCTGTAACTGCGACGGCTACACCAACAGCATTTACACCCTCTCCATCAGCAGCACCACGCAGTCCGGCAACGTGCCGTGGTACAGCGAGCCCTGCTCCTCCACCCTCGCCACCACCTTCAGCTCCGGAAACCCCGGGGAGAAACAGATCGTGAGTGTTCGCGCCCACGCGCGCTTTGAACGTCTCGCCGGTTTTTGTGTGGGATTGTTTTTTATACTTTGAATGTCTAACGAACTATAAATGTCAGCACTGCAACAAAATAACCGCCGAGCTCATACGTGGATGGAACCGTTTCAAGTGTGCGTACGCATTAATTTAAAATATTGCCAGGATCTGAGTGACTGATGTAACGTACAGTGAGCGCAAGCTGACTGACAGTGAGAAATGCCACATGCTTCCTTCAAGATGCGTGTCTGCTGAAGGAAGAGTTGCCTCCGAGACGTTGAATAACCTAAAACAAACCAAACATCTGCCATTTCCCTCAAAATACACCAGAGACCTGCTGCAGGCGAGCAGACATAACTCATCAAATAGATGAAATTGAAGTCACTCTAAAATGCACGGCAGCTGTTGGGTTGTTGCTCCGGTAGTCAGAAGCTGTCGCTTGCTCCATCAGTGAGTTCACACAGCTTTCGTTTATCAGAAACTGGGAGTCTGATTTTTGTTTTTTGTTTTTTTCACAAAATTAATTATTCAGCTTAATAATAAAAAAAAGAAGTAAAAGAAATGCTCATCAGAACGATTTAGTCAGATTTATCTTTTCGACGGATGAAGGGTACAAACCCAAACGATTCCGTTCAGAACGATAGAAAACTGAAACGAGCAGCGAAATCTTGATAAATGACTACTGACTAATGATGATAACCCAAAACTAATGATGAAGTATGACAGCCTTCCAGTGTTGTTTCATCCGGCTCTGATAGAGTTGTGTGCCGACATCTCTGTTTGTCTACTGCTCTAAAACGTAGACTCCTTCCCACAGATGATGGCCGTCAGTGCCACGATGTGTCAGGTCAAAGGTTGTAAACCAAACCTCGTGTTCCCATCGTGACCCTCATTGCTTTCTGGCAACGGCAGGGACTGAGAGCAGAGGTGCACGTGGAGCGCTAACACGCTCCGCCTCTCCGTCACCTGGCCCGGGCTGATTTGGCTGACTTTCACTTCCCCCGGCTGTGACCCTTTGGCGGGGATCCACAGACCTGAGACTGAACCTACTTGCTCCCCCGCCCCCATCCCCCGCCCCTCCCTCCCTCAATGTGTCATATTAACCGTGTCTAACCTCCTGTATTCCTGTTCCTGCTCTCTGCTCTCTTCTCCTGTCTCCAAGGTGACCACGGACCTGAGGCAGAAATGCACAGACTCGCACACGGGAACGTCCGCCTCCGCGCCGCTGGCTGCCGGGATCATTGCTCTGGCTCTGGAGGCCAAGTGAGTGAGAATAACACAACCGCCTCCCAGAGTAGAACCTCAACCCCATTGGCAATCTGCTCTAACGGTGAACGTGGATGCCGTTGACGTGTGAAGGAGGAGTTGCCTAGTGACACTCTTATGGGAAGCCGTTAACATAATTGTATTCATATAAATGACGTGCGATAGGTAAGTTGAGTAGACTCGCCCGTCGATGTCAGCGTCGACCTTGGAGGACCAATTTAAAGCAGTGTTATTATAATTGCTACGTCAATATTAACACCAGCATTTCTATATTTTATGACAGTACAATCGTGTCATTTAGTTTCACAACTCAAAAACGTTGATTTAGAAATTTGTTCTGCTCTTGTGTGTGTGTGTGCGCTCACGTCTGGAAGTTGTTATTGGCTTAAAATGGAGCCCAGTAATTCTTTCTTCAGCAAATTAAGCTTTAAATAATGTGTTAATTAGTCGGACGAATCAGCAGCGCCAGTGCACACAGACACCTGAATACCTGCAGAACGTCTCTCATCATCGCTCGCCAAAAACTCCAGGTGTCAGAATCAAAGTTTCTGTCGGCAGCGCCGCAGCGTGTTCATCATTTCGGTCGTATCTTCTCGTCGTGTTAACTCCTCATCAGTCAGCCGTGCTCCGCGCTGCATAATTTACCTCATTTCCACCTCCAGTGTGCAGCCTGACAGGTGTCGAAAGCAAATCCGGCATTACCTCTCTGTTGCGGCCCTACATGCTCAGCATACAGCATGTTTATCTCTGCGCCGTCACCTCACGCGTCATGATTGACAGGCCTAAAGTTTACAACACTCAGGTTATCTTTCACTGTGGAACAGCGCGGCGGAGTCGGCTCTGCGCTCCCCCGGCAGGTAGCGGTAATAACAGGGCGGCTAGTTTATCAAAGTGGGACCACACGAAACATCACAGAGATGGAATCATTTAATAGGCAGTGAGTGTTTTGGCTTTCTGGTGTTTCAATATTTCACTTTCCCCTTCGGAGGTGACATTGAGTGTGTGGAGGGTGCGGGTGGGAGCGGGGGGGGGGGGGTGAGATGTGAATGCTGATACGGAGACCGGCAGAGTGAGTGATGCAAAAGTGCAATCCTGAATCTATGTGTCTGCGGTGGCGGTCCGCTCAGGAGGCACCATCTTAAACCACGGCGCCGTTTTCTCACCATCGTTTTTTTCAAAGGCTGTTTGTCCCAATTCTTCCCTCGCTGTGCTTCCTTAAAATAAATTGTACCGGTGGAAGGTGACCCCCCCCCTCCCCCTCCCCAGTCCCAGACCTCATTAGAAACATCTTTAATGAGAGGTCTAGACACAGTACTTCGCCCCGCCGTGTCCTCTGTTTTACTGTGTCCCGCGACCTTTCAACACACTAGCTTATGATGGACCTTTTTAAATACTGTGTTAAAACCATAACGTGAGCCTAACCTTTGTTATGGTTGACTGGCATATCGCTCGGGGCTTCCCCTGCGGCTCAGCATGATATTTTAGAAATGTGTGTCTCCGGTGGATCATATTTCAGGCGTGTCCACAGACTCTCGACCTTTCTCCATATCCCACAGCTCCTCACATTTCCCTTTCCATGTATTGCCGTGCAGTCGAGGTCAGCGGACCCGGGCTGCTCGCTTAATGCGAATACTTTGGAAAGTTCTACATTCCAGCGGTACACGACTCAAGGGCGGTACAGTTTACTAACCCTCCCGTACCTCTGCAGCGTGAACCTGACCTGGAGGGACATGCAGCACCTGGTGGTGAGAACGTCCCGGCCCGGGCACCTCAGCGCCGGAGACTGGAAGACCAACGGAGTGGGACGCAGAGGTACGCTGCTCCGAACATAAGCACCGATAGTATTGTATGGTGTGATATTTGTACTTCTCTCCTTGGCACACACGACAGAACTTTTATTTTTGAGCACATTCGTTATACAACAGTATTTATATAATGAAGCGCTTACTCAATATTGTGCGCAAACGGGCACAATAGTAAACGGCTCACTCTAAGTTTGGTCTCCTCTCTGGGTTTTTTTGTGTGTCCGCTCCAATATGTACAATTTCCTCCTCCTGTGTTGTTCTATGAGAAAAGATTCTATGAGAAAAAAGAATTTTATTTTTATATTTTTCTTGATGGCTTCATTTTAAGCCACATTTGCATAATCCGTAACGTCCGTGTTTTGTCACAGACAGAGCCGTAAACCACACGCAGTGAGACGGCAGGCTGCTGCACAACACAAAGTCTCCAGATTCTCAACAAAAAACGCTTTCCCTTCTATGTGGCTCACACATGAACCCACATCATATCCCGAACAAGCCTCCGCCGGGGAGAAGTGCGCGGCTAACGTCATTTCCGAGGCCAGATAACTGAGCTGCAATTATCCTCTTGGGCCATTTAGATTCTAGTGGAGTCCTGACTAATAGCCCGGTTAAAAACACACTGTCAGCCCACTACAGGAGGTCGACAGGGCAAGACCCTGCTGCTGCTGCTGCCGCCGCCTCAGGGGGTTCCTTTCAATAACAAAACAAAAAAACAACCACATTGTTTCTGACGTCATCGTGCGATACGGATGGCTGGCTATGTAAAAGAATAGATTGTTGGCTGGCAGCTATTTCTCTCTTTTTGAGATGATTACCGCCCACCAACCTGTCATTCTCTGCATCTCGTCTTCGTTTCCCCACAGTGAGTCATTCGTACGGCTACGGGCTTCTGGATGCAGGTGCCATGGTGACTCTGGCACAGGGCTGGACCACAGTGGCGCCGCAGCATCAGTGTGTTCACACCATGCTCACACAACCAAGGTTCTCTCTCTCTCTCTCTGTGTGTGTGTGTGTGTGTGTGTGTGTGTGTGTGTGTGTGTGTGTGTGTGTGTGTGTGTGTGTGTGTGTGTGTGTGTGTGTGTGTGTGTGTTTAGTGCATTTACGAGCACTTGCTGCTGTTCTGCCATGCAGCTCAGGCTGATCGATGTCACTGTATTCTCCTTGGAGCTGGGACGTTCATGTATATTTCTGCAGCCACACGACATTAACCACCAACTCGTCCAACCTGCAGAGACGTGGGCAGCAAGCTGGTGTTCAGCAAGAGCGTGGATGCCTGCTGGGGACGCCCGGAGTACGTCAGGTCTCTGGAACATGTTCAGGCTCGCATCACTCTCTCCCACAACCAGAGAGGAAAATTGGCGATCCATCTCATCAGCCCACTGGGCACGTGTTCCACCTTGCTGTTTCCCAGGTACACAGTAAATGCACCTCTATATACACAGCAGCAGCTGGACCGTGGGATCAATCTCTTTCACGCACACAGACAACCACAATGCGCATTTACCTGTGTTTTTAATCTGTGCAGCGATACTCCCACATGTGTACTCTGTGGGGGGGAAACACTGTTCTACCTCAGAAAATAAATGACACAATCACCTCATCTGCGCTTTTCTCGCAGGCCCAATGACTTCTCCTCTGAGGGATTCAACGACTGGGCCTTCATGACCACCCACTCGTGGGGCGAGGATCCTCAAGGGGAATGGACACTGGAAATAGAAAATGTAGCCGCTAACGGACGTGACCTCGGTAACAGCGACGCATCGCTGTGATTTGCTCAGTCTGCTCACGTTCCATTCATGCCAGCATGCACAGCCCCATTAAAAACATCTCAAATTATCCTCTGCTCAGTTCCGCGCTTTCTGTATCTCTCTAAAGATTCAGTGTTTCACCATTTTTGGTACCAGAGGGAAGCGCCTCTCAGATATAAATGTGGATTAAAACTTTAAAGATGCAGAACAATTTTCTGCAAGAAAGTGGTTGGTGAACTTCAATGAATGGGCTGCATTTCCCTCCAAAATGCAAAAAAGCAGCATATTTTTAGATAAGTTAAGTCCTATAATCTGGTGTGGTTTTGGTGACTAAGATATGAAGGCATCACCTCCTCCTCCACTGTTGTCTTTGGTCCGCCCTCATCGATTCCCTTTCTTCCCCCCTTACATCCTCATCTCAGCCAGTTCACACTGTTCACTCTCTCAGAAGTGTTACTTTAATATTTCTCTCTCTCTCTCTCTCTCTCTCTCTCTCTCAGTGGTATTGCGTCAGTTCACCCTCATTCTGTGGGGAACCGGATCGAGCGTCTTCAACCCCTCCTCGTCTGACTTCCCTCGACCGTCCAACAACAGCTGCAAGACCTTCGATGCCCAGCAGATCTGTATCGGTGAGATCATTCAGGCTTCACTCAAACTTTGAACCACTCAAGTGGAATGGGCTCTTTTTGTTGCGTGTCTGTGTGTCCGTCGCACATCTTAAGAACCGCTCTGTCGATCTATTTTACACGAGGCCGCTTTATTGTTTGAGAGGCGAGAATGTGCAGCGTAGAGACGATTCAATTTGGATTGAAAGAGGATTTCACTATAACAAAGAACGTCACATTCTGGCCAACATTTAAGCCTTGGAATTATTATGATTTTATCTTTGCTACATGTTGCAGTCCAGATGAATCCATATTCATACATCACGCCCAATTACTTCTATGTTGATTATAAGCGTTACTTTAATGTAGAGCCGGGGATCCAAAGAGGAGCATCTTCCAATGGGTGCAATGTGGGCAGAATTTTATTGCCCTGTAACTATGAAACATAACACTATGAAACAAACAATCAATTCACAGTTGTTCCTTATTCACACAAACCAAGCCCAACTGCTTCTAGATTCATTTTCCACCATTTTGAATTGTGTTCAAATCCATTTTTTTGCTGCTCCAGTCCAGAATATCTTTGGATGAGATTTTTGATGGGTCTGCTCTTGGAGCTGCACTCCATCCTTCATTACAGGCAGTGGGTCAGACTGCGTTGGCTATTTCCAATTGCGAAAGCAAAGTTTGCAACCTTAGTATTAAGTATTCAAACGAGTCGTCTTAATCAGATCCGAATTCAACTAAATTTGCTGGTCAATGTTTAGTATTTACCCTTTGTTTTATGAGACTTTTTCATGTGGTGATGATTATATGGAAGAAAAGACCTTCTTATGTCTATGTCATCTAGTAATGTAGGGTTAAATGGATTTTTTCTTTTTCTGGTTATTTCAAGGACATTGTGTACAGTAAGCAAGAATTAGAAAAAATAGATAAATTAGCAATCATTCAACAGTCAATTGATGGATCCTTACTTATCTTTCTTAAAGGTTGCAGTCTTTGAAATGTGAGAATTGTTTGGTTTTCATTGTCTCCCACTGTTGAAATACTTGCTGCTGGCCCCATTAAAGATGCATGAGACTGAAACCTCGTTGTGCTTTCATCTTCCACGCTGCTTTCAGAGTGCAGCCCCGGCTTCTCCCTCCTCCTCCAGGGTTGCGTGAAGTTATGTCCTCCGGGCTTCACCTCCGGCCCACAGCTCCTCAACCTCTCCCTGGAGAACTGGGTGGACCTGTCCTCTGTCCAGGCCTGCCTGCCCTGCAACCCCGCCTGCCTCACCTGCTCCGGCACCGGGCCTACGAACTGCCTGTCCTGCCCGCCTCACAGCCGCCTCGTTCTTACCTCCTGCCTGCACAAGAGCCAGGTCCAGCGCAAATCCCCTCCCGTCGGGGGCCTGGAGGCTGACGGAGCCGGGCCGCGGGGGGGGGAGATCCCAACGGCAGGGCGGGAGGAGGACGGGGGAGAAGGCGAGGAGCCGCCGGGGCTCGGCGAAGCGGCGTCCACCCAGTTGCCGGCGGTGGTCGCCGTGCTCAGCTGTGCCGCGGTCCTGTCCGCCTTCGTTGGGGTCTTCTTCTTGCTGCAGATGCGCTCAGGCGGCGCTTCTCTGGGCCGGAGGACCAAACTGCCCTCTGGGTATTCAGAGGCGGGGGTGCGGATGGGCTTCCGTTTTGGCTGGGGCCAAAGACGGGAGAGGAAGGCCCGCATATGCTACAGGGGGATCCCCACTGTGTGGGGGGACGAGGACACGATCGCCTTCCAGTCTGAATCAGACAGCGAGGAAATGGACGGTCGCGGCGAGAGGACGGCTTTCATCAAGACCCAGAGCGCGATCTAGCTGGACCTGCCTCATCGGCATTTAGATATGAATGTACAGAGCTGATACGCGCAGGAGTCCCATCAGCACGCCGTCCAAACGCATTGATGAGCCAAGCTTTGTTTTTGTTGCGTATTTATGAACATTTAACAATGTTTGTTAATGTATCTTGTTGATTAATATTAGATGACAGATGTATTCATGATGCATTTGGCTCTTGGTCACCAAGTTGAGGTGTTATGCAACTGTGTTATTTATTTTGAATGACCCGCTTGACCATATATTGTCCAGTTTGTCAAAGGAATATTCTACCAACTAAGTATTGCACTCGCATAAAGTTGAGGCACTTGTCAGAGAAATTGAAATCAAAGCAGAAGAGGTAGAGATATCCTGGCTTTTAAAAATCCACGTTGTTAGACTTGTCGAAGCCCCTCTGAACTACCTGAGAACATTATACAACACGTAGTACTTTCTGTGGCAACTAAACTGCTCCTCTAAGCCATTTGAGTACTTTCCCATACATACATTCATTTGTAGCCCCAAACGCCGCGCCACAGGCCATAGGCAGGACATTTAAGTTATTTGGTATCAGATACATGGCAGATTGTGGGCCGGCGGTCATGAAGTTCAGAGCCTATTCATTAATACTAAGACTGCTGGGACAGTATGGTAAAACTCCCTGCCGGCTGTTCTATAAGAAAGCTCTGTTTTCAATCCTTGCAAAGTGGAAATTGCCTCCACGGCACAGACACAAACTCCCATTGACTTGTTGTAAAGTAACAGTTTTTGAATCCAATGAAAATAACTCTGCTTTGCTGACCTTCACAGCGCGGCTCCTCCAGGTTTCTGCTGGTAAGAAATTACATTATTTTCTCTTCATTTTTTCCCCACGGAGCATATTGATTTTTGTAGATTCTCTCCAGGACATCTTCATCAGGGTGAAGCTCTCTCTCTCTCTTCATTGTGAACCCCACGCATTGGAAGAGGAACACAAGGCTTTATTATTATTAACAGTGTAGACCACCGCGCAAGATGAATCAGTCTTTCAATGCAAAGTAGTTATAAAGTAATGAGATCTTGTATGACATTTTCTATGCTTGTTTTATATCCTTTTTTATTTAACTGACGATGGATGTTGACATTGTGGATATCAGCGTCATGCTGGAATAAAAAACTGTCTGTTGCATAGATGGACTGTTTGTGTCTATACTGGCAGATTTGAAAACTTTCGGGGGTTGTTTTGCATCCGACGCCGACCGAGGGAGCAGATGGTTCATCACTTCTTCACGTCTGTACATTATAGAAAGCGTGTTTCCTTCACTGCGGGCGCTTTGGCCTCAACAGGGCGCCAGCGTTCCGTTTCCTTCTCCCTAATATTCAGTTGTAGGGCTGCAAGCGTGCTTCCGAAATGCCGCCAAGGAACAACTTTCAATATGGTTTAAATGAATATAAATGGAAAAGGTTTGTATGTATATGGGGGGGAAACATGGCCAGCTGGTAGCGGCGTTGTTCATTAGCTGCTTTTCTTCACGACACCCTGTAAAACGCCGGTAACTGGGTACATGGGGGAAGGTACATTCTGTGGTCCATAATTAGATCTGCCAGGAGAACTGGCTGCACAACTCGGTGCCCCTAAGAAGCGCCACGCTTTTTATTCCAAACGTGTGAAAATAGAAGTGTGCATGCATTGGCTCGCGAGTTAAAAAGCAGATGGATTTTAAAGTCTTGTGCCCTTTTAAATCCATCTGCTGGTTGTCATCGGTTCTACCACGTATATCTTTTTAGTCTGTATTAATTAGCAGTCGTTGATGCCCACAAAAAGGTCCTGGGGACAACAAATATTTCATTAAAACGTATTATTAAAAGAGCGCCGTTGGCGCCGAGGTTCCAGTCCGCTTATTCCCGCCAGTCGCACCCTGTTTGTGTGTTTGCTGAATGTGATGCTCATGGAGAAGGAAAGGTTGAGAAACGCAGTCGCAGAGTGGAGTTAAAAACGCAGAGGCCGAGCGACCCCCCGGGGGGGAGCCAGTACAGTCATCGCCCCCCTCCCTCACCCACTTCCTCTCCCCCTCCACACGCGCAGTGCAGTGATCCCTCTCAGGCCTCAGGCCTCCCCGCCACCACGCTTTCTGTATCCCTCTGTGCTGCTGATCCATTTTCACGAAGCGTGAGTCCTGCTGCTCAACGCCGTCGCCTGCACCTGACCAAGGGGGACACATGGGGGAGGGGGAGGGGACGACCTGCCACGGTTAAACTACGTGAGCTTCGACGCAGACAGCCTGCTCTGTTTTTAATGTCAGGTTGAGTCCTTGACAGCCATCTGACTGACAGCATGTGTGCACAGGATGTGCTGCTGGACTGACTCAACATTGCCCCCTTCTGATAATCAATTGAGCTCATTACACACACACACACACACACAAAAAACACGTGAAAATGAAGCAGATTCTCCAGTGCGATAGAAATCAATCGAATTTCAGAAACTGTTTAAAATCTTTTCGTTTTGATCTTCATCTCCTCGGTTCTACTGCCGATTTAATCCATCATGAATAATTAAATAGGAGATCTTGCCTTCATATATTCTGCTACAGCAGACATCAGATTCCAAAAAGGAAAAACACGGTACAGAGATTTAGACACACACAAAGGGAGAGGAGCTTATGACATTGTTGGACAACAGGAGAAAGTGAGACATGAGGTGCGGTCCCACAAAGCAGAAGACGTCGAGCTGTAGGAGGACAGCAATAAAACAGCAGAACTCTCTTGGGGGAAAAGAAGTAGACCAGTCAAAGCGAGCGGACGCAGGAGGGGGGATAGGGGGCCAAATCCTGGCTGCTCCATGTCCCATGTCGAAGTGTCCCTGAGCAAGACACAAACCTAACTGCTCTCCGGATGAAAGGGTCAGCTAAATTATTTTTCAAAAAGGGTCAATTCACCCAAAACTCTTCTCTACCAAGCTTTAGTCACTGGTCCCTTAGTGGTATACTGGCTTACAGATAGTTTTGGTTTGACGTTCATTTTTGAGAAATTTGTCACAATTATACAATAATTAAAGGTAAAATAAACAAACTTCAACAGTGGCCAGCTGACAGTTTTACAAACTATTGTGGACAGTGTCCCAGTCCACGTATTGAGATGTACTTTATGCCCATGGGTTTTACATATATAATTTAATAGCTGTATACAATAATTCATCATACTCTTACATACAAGCAGGAAATTCATCCAAAATCTGCAATTTTAGCTTCTCAAATGATGAGTGCTACTTTCCAGTTTGAAAATCTTTAATGTCCTCGTGTTTTGGACTGTTGTTGGTACAAAACAAGTCATTAAAAATAACAACTTTTGCGTTTTACACTTTTTTTCCTGCCATTTCATAGACTAAATTAAAAAAGTGGCAGCTCTGAATGGACATTTGAAAACCCAATCTGAATGACCGGATGATTTTTAATTGGGTGAACAAACCTTTGTTTCTCTTCATCTCAAATGGGAATCTCCCTCTGCGCCGCAACGATGACACAGACGTACTAAGAATGGTCCCTGATAGTGTGCACTGTAAATCTCAATACACCACCAAAAAAAAAAAAAAAACTCCTCGCATATTCACAACATACTTTCATACAGATTTATCTGCCTTGTGGTTACGAGGTCGAGTCTTTGAATAGTCCACAAAACACTCAGCAGTCAAGTACGAGCACAGGAATGACACAAACTTAGAAATGGGCCGTTTTCTCACCAGCAAAGAGGAAGCTCACGGAGGGAATAAGAGTGAAAGAAAGTCTGTCGACTATCGACAAGAAAATCCAGCAAAAAGGAGGTAAAAGTCATTGGATGTGATTAATGATTACTAGTGGCCGATGGACTCAGACATACGATAAAGAGCTTCAAGAGCTGCAGCACGGGTCTCCTCGCGAGCAGAGACCACACATTCGCTTCGCTGCATTAAAGTCTGTCAAAAAAAAAGAAGTATAAAAACAAAATCACTGTGATGTGTCTTGATTGCATCCATGAACAAAATAAACATACCCACCCACCCAAATAAAGCTTTGTAAATTGCACCAGTCGCAGCCCTCCACCCACACATCTTTTGGGAAATTTACATTCAGAAGTTCAGTCCAGGATGGAGCAAAGATAGAAAAAGGACAATTTCTTACAAAGCAGAACCAGGTGACACCCGGATGTGTCTGATGAGCGATTCAGGCAGTCTTCCTTGTTGTCTTATAGCCGTTCACTGGGGTTTTTTTTTTTGCTGCTCTTGGAGTTGTCCACGGTAACAGCCGTTGCCTGCCCCCTGCTGTGCAGTCAGCCCTGTTACAGTGGACTCCTTTTCTCTGAGCTGCAGAGTTCATGGTTCTGCTTGACAAAACAGAGGGACCCAGACCCCATTTTGTTGCCAGTCTGTGGCCGCCGCTGGCCCGGTTCTTTTGGTGCAAGGAGTCTGGTGTTTTTTTTCTTTTTTTTTTTCTTCTCCTCTCTTCGTCCCGACGGAGCTTAACGCAGCTTCAGCTTGAAGGCAGAGATCTCCATGGGATCCAGGCTGATGGTGGAGTCGTTGGCCAGAGGCGTGCTGGAGTGCATCAGCGTCAGGGACATGGGCTGCAGCAGCTGCAGGTCCAGGTCCTTGAACAGTCCCGATATGCTCAGCTGCACAGAGGAAAGGCAGCTTAGCTTACAGGAGGTAAAAAAACAACACTTCTAATTGTGGAATGACTATTCAGACCATTAGAAAGTAGCAACAACACTTAAAGAAAGAAAATACACGATTGAATAATTTTATTGTCAACTCTAAAGTTGCTATGTTGAGAGCCATATGGAGGCAATGCAGTTAAGCACCTTTAAGTAAATGACTTGGTCATGTACCTTTGCGAATGCAAAAATGACTGAGACATTGAGTGAAAATCACCTGTCCCTGCGTGGTGGTGCAGTTGAAGCCGAGGTTTGGAGCGTCCAGCCCACAGTCCATCGCCAGCCGGTGGAGAATCAAAGCTGAGTGGGGAGATGGAGACTGGGGGTCCTGCAGCTCACACAGGAGACACGTGTCAATTCGAAGGTCAACACAGCCAAACGACCACGTTCTTGTTTTCGTCTCGTCACCTGACTCTGGATGCTGCGCAGGTTCAGCAGGTGGAAGTCACAGGGCAGGATGGACTTGAGAGGGGCGAAGGTTTGCAAGGGAGGGATGCCGCGTCTTTTTGGCAGGACGGGCAGCGCCAGGACCTTGTGGTTTAAGAAGGAGTTGGTCATGTGACTGAGTATAGACGGGAAGCTGGTCGTTTCGCGGTCCATCATCTGCGGGAGGGCAGAAACAAATTCAAGCCACAACGATATGAATGTCACACCTCTGGTCTCGGTGTTTTGTCGTTACAAGGAAGAGGCTCTAAATACGGCGTCAGAGAACAACGGAAACTTCTAATTCTAGACCAAACAGAAACAGTACTGATCTATCTGTATTGGATTTATTACAGCCAGAGCACCGCTGTGTTTTTTTTTTAATTAAAAGCATTAGTGTTGGCAGCTTCATCCCAAACACCCTCAGGAGTTTCGGCATAGAGCTGTATGATTAAAGTGCAACCAATGCTTTCCATTCTCTGCACAATGTGAACACATTTACTTGATAGATGACATCGTTACGTTCACCGGTGCTCGCGTAAAAAGTGGACTGGTTTTGCTAGAGCTACCAGGGTGACGAAAAAGGAAAAAACGAGGAGGAACTTGTGCTACAGGAAAGACGGTGACGAGCGCCAACAGCGTTACCTCTTGAACCCCGGCACTCAAGACTTTGGAGAGGAAATAATGAAACAAGGACGAGAGTTTGGCAAAGAGGCCATCGTGCTGGAGGTAATGGAGTGAGAAAAACAAAAAAAAACAAAGAAGGTAAGCAAGGTGAGGGAGAACAACAAATGGACAGATGCGAGCGTAATGAGCGCAGACGTGACAACGGGTGTTAATGAACACAGAATGAAAGAGGAAAAAAACACTTATAAAAAGTCCTTTTTGGTGAGACTATCAAGGACAGCTCATTCTACCGACCTTGTTGCCCGTCGATCTCCTCTCCAGCAGCAGTCGGAAGCGATTGGCTGTCTTCTTGTTGTCCTTCAAGCCCTGACCGAGCCCCCGATTATCATCCTGCATCAGTCGCCGGTCCATAATCACTTCCAGCTGACCTGAGTGTTGAACGTCCAGACGTCAGTCAATGAAGACCAACTCTGAGCTACTTGTCCTTTTACAAAACGGCTCCGTTATTTGCTGAACGATGATAAAAAAGATTAGCTCTGTACATTAAACGTGAGAGCGTTAGGGAGGAAAACTGCTTTAACGCATCGCATGCGGGGCTGGAGAGGGTAAACAAGGAAGCAGAGCGTGAATCTCAGACAACTTCCATTAAAAATGGAATGAAAACAAATGACACCATTGGATGACACGTAACGTAATACGGACCGGTCTCCAGGCTGGCGACGCCGAGCGCCTGAGCCGTGTGCAGCGTGAGGCGGTGATGGCTGTCCTGGATGTACGCCTGGCTGGACATGGGATAAACGTTGGCCTGCAGGGGAAGCTTCAGGTGGTGACGGCGGGGCTGCATCTACAAGGAGAGATGCAACGCAGAAGGACGCGCAAGGAAAGATGCGGTAGATCGTTGACTTGAGCTAAATGTCACGACATTCAGGGTTATTTAACAACCACCATCTGGTAAGATGCCATACTATGCAAAGAACAGTATTCCAACCTGGAAGCCATTAAGATCTGTGTGAAAGACGTCCCCATTCTGGATGTCAGTGACCAGTCGCATCGCCAGCTCCTTATTGGTCTGATCTCTGATGTCCACCAGGGTGGTGATTTCTATTGACAAACCATCTACACCTGGAAATACAAAACCAAAAGACCAAGCTTCAGAAGAAAAAAGGGACAATTGTCCAATATCTTGACAAATACTACTTGAAAGTAGCATTTACATTTTACAAAATATGTAGCTTACAGGAACAAAGTAGTTGAATCATGAATTGGCATTTTGTCGGATGTTGGCCCATGTTGTATTTTGATGATTACCTGGCACATTGTGAATGCGAATAGTCTGCTGGAAATGCTGGTAGAAGGCCACCACCTCCGAGAAGAGAGGCCCCTCCACCACGCGCACCACGGGTGGCTCTTTCTGGTTGTAAGGCTGAAAGCACACGGGAGAGGGGGGGAGACGTGAGCGCAATGTGTGCTAAAAATTGAAGGAGAGAGAAGTTAAAAGGAGCCATCAACAGAATGGTTGACGACATACAGTAAAGCTGCAAAGCCTCGAGGCTTCGTTGTCTTTAAAAACAAAGAAAAGATAAAGCAGCACCCAGTCTGCCCGCTCCTCCCCCCCTCCCCGAGCACCCAAACATGAGACAAACACACAACACACAAAGGACGCTATCAAAGCCTTCTGGGAGGCAAATAAACCTCTCAGACAAGAATACCTTTGCTTTCCCATCAGGCAGGAACAGGTAGGCGCCACTCTTGTCTTTAGAGGGACGGGTGCCGTAGACGACGAACTGCATCTGAACCTTCACTTCCTGAGGATCATCCTTCCGCCTGATACTCTGCAAATAGAAATGCAATAAAAAGAGCACAGCATTAAAGAAAAGAGATGAAAGGTTGTTTGAGCAGCAACGAGACATTCCATGAGTACTTTGATCAAACTGCAAAGTAAGTTTTTACTGGGAAATCAGGCTCATTTACTCTCCAAAAAGACCAAAAAGGTAACGAAACACACAAACCTCTAGAAGGCCAGTGGCCCCAGAGAAGCCCAGAGTCAGAGACTGGCTGCTAACGTAGAAGGTCTGAGGGTCGGACTGCTGAGAGCGGACAGGAAGCGGGTCGGCGGCCCGAGCGGTGACGCTCCGACCGGACAGCCGCAGCACGGTGTCGGAGCGGAGCGTCATGGGCGAGTCGGGGGAGTCATAGAGGTGGAACACAGCCAGGCCCAGCGGGGGGAGGCGGACCATGAATGCCGCCTGGACGGACGGTGGACGGAACAAAAGCATCTATTCACGCGGCGAAACTTAACTTAACATGGTGCTGCCGTCGCTGAAATGGATTTCTTCGCTTACCTCAAATACCTCGGCGCTCATCTGGCTAGCGGAGCTCCACTGAGCGCTCAGCTGCACGGGGAGGGTCTGTCCGTCCTCGGTGAGAACGCGCACCCGGACCGTGTTGACCAACACCGTCACCACAGAGAGGCGCTCCTGCTCGACGGGGTTGAACAGAACCAGGTACCTGGGAGAGGAAAAAGAGGGAAAGAAGATCCATCGGAAGCACGGGACGGGGAAGATTAAACATGTCCAGGGAATAATACCTCGGCCCTGTTGGATCCAGCTCGATTAAAGTGCTCTGAGGTAGAGAGTCTTGAGTTGCACGTCTGTCATCCTACAAAAATTAAAAACGGGAAACAAACCTGCATATTTTAGTTCCTTCTATGCTATTGAAACAGTTTATTACACAGTGGGGGGAAGCGTCGCGCCGCGTTTCCTCTTACCGTCTCCAGAAAGGGCTCCGTCTGGTAAAAGCGATAAAACTCCTTGTTTTTCATCACCAGGAAATGAGCAGCGTTGATGATTACCCTCTTCAGACCAACGAGTGCCCGCAGTAATCTTGGGAGGAGAAGAAAAAAAAAAGAAAAAAATCAATGGCTGACTGCAGCAGGCGCAGCTCGTCACTCCGCTTCACACTATTGAACGGGCGACTGTGAAGGAGCGGCGGAGACACAGGATTAACAGGAGGAGACGCCGGCGCCATTAAGCCATTCATTTCCTCACTTGTTGCCGTAGTCCGTGGCAACGTTCTCCTTGCCGGTGCCGGTGATTGCATCGTGGTGCTGGAAGAGGCCAACGGACTGCCGCGCGTCCACCAGCAGGGCGTAATCGGAGACCGGGTAGCGCCCCTCCATGCCCACGTGCCGAGCGTTCGCAACCGCCAAGCTGTAGAGGATCTCTGCCCCCCTGAGAGAGATGAAGAGCGACAGAGGAGCCCCTTAGTAGCTCAGCTCAGCCGGTTCAAGGCGGGTTTTATTTCATCGCTTAACTTGAACCTTAACAGATGTTTTCTCTCAAAATTGATCGGAAATGTGCTCCTGGGATCTGTGCAATATGCTCATGAGGGGACTTTAGTATGTTAATGTATGCATTGTAGGTTGTTGATGTTTGGCCTTTATTTTGATTGTTCATAATTGGGAGAAACATGAAGAGATGATGAGAGTTAAAAGGAACAATCAATAAACCATTTGTGAGAACCAAAGACATTTCCCCCGCGGGTTGCAAGGGACGGTGACTACATGTGCCTCACCTGAGATGTGACTCGATCACACGGTCCAGACTCTTGTAAAAGGGCCGAGAGGTGAAATAGCCAGTCCAGTAGTGGTCTTCCCGGTCGGCATAGGAAAAGAAATCTCCACTGAACACTGGGTAGTCTGGCGGTCTGGCCCCCTGGGCCACATCGTATGCTTTGTATACAGCGTCGAAGTACTCCGAGAGAGTCCCGAACTGAGCCTGGATCAGCAGGCAGACACGTGACAGATTATTTAAAAAAAACAATTCTCAAAAACACGGCTGCACAGAAGGGGAAAGAAGAGAATTTGTGCCTTTCATCTTACACGGCATTTTCTGAGCCAAACATTGAGATGTGACAGACTCTTTGTTCGAGTTACAATCCCACTGCATGATTCATTAACACAAGAAAGAAGCATCTTTCTGTGCGACCCATCTACCATATGTTGAGGGAGTCAGAGTAGACAAATGGTATTTACTTGTACGTGCATCTCCGGGTGAGAATTCATGTAGTCGAACAGCTTCTGGTAGTTTGTATACTGCTGATCCCACTCCAGCGCCTTGTCGTAGCGGAAGTCGTCCCCCAGAGGCACGAGAAGCACCTTGCTGCGGTAAAGTTTGGACTTCTTACGGTATTGATCCAGGAGCAGGTTTGCCCTGAATGAGAGTGGGGGGGAAAGAACATGAGAAGAAACAAAGTCCCTAATCAATATGAGCATAGAAAGAGGAAGGCTGGAGCAGATATATTCCATTAAACACTGAAACGTGTCCTTTAAAATCCCCCAAACCACCTGCAGTCCATGTTGGTCTCCCTCAGGTCATCGCTCCTCTAAGGCCGCTGTCGTAACTTCAACTTTGTACTTTGGCTAATGCAAATAACATTCTTAATAACATTCACCATACATACATACATACATACAAGATCAATGCTGGATTTGAAGACAATACATAAACAATTATTACTTATTTTAAAATTTGACTCAACCCATTAGGAAAGTCTTGATACAGACGCAGCATTACTTTTAACAGTTCAAATGACTTTGTTTGCTCGTTGTAATAGAAACATTAAAACTGAATAGACATTCATTATTATCTAAAAAAAAAAAAAAAAGGCCAACATATGCACCACAGCTGGAGAGAACTAATCAATCTGTGCAATGTCAGAAAATAACAGGCCCAGCCTGACATCTTCAAATGCCTCATCGTGTAATAACTACCTTCTGACTACAGAATATGTCCTTACTTTTACTTAATTAACAACAACTGCCACTTTAAATTCTTGCAGATTTCTTTTTCTTTACTCGACAACAAACAAGCCTCCTAAAACGTGTTCTCCTGGAGCGCCATGATTGAACACCGCGCGCGGCTCACCTCTCTGCTACATTGGCGTCCACCACAGCTTTTGGCGGCACTTTCCAGGGACAGTTGATCCGACCACCCGGTAACCTCTTGAAATCAAACTGGCAGCAGATCTTCGGGTCGGGCCCGCAGGTGTGCGGCACGTCGTAGCTGTAGAACGGCATCATGTGGCAAAAGATGTCCGTGTTCGACCCGGCGTCTGTCGAAGCAGCAAAGAACAATGTCATCTATTGTCGAGTCAATGAAATGCGGTCGTAAGGCAGGTTCTACCGAGTGTGGGTGACACGTGAAACCTGGCTGGCAATTTTAAGATCAAATGACATCCGCAGAAAAACAGAGCACCACAGATAATATTGATATAATACCCAACAGTGTAATACCACAGGGCTTTTCCATTTTATTGGGAATTAATAGCAGAGAGAGCGCTTCTGACGTTTCTGCGCACTGATCGCTCTTCCGAAACGTCCCTCTCTTTACAGGGCCATTACTGGTGGGATGACTCACTCCGCTGTGAGCTCAGCAAAGATAAGCGCACTCACCCCAGGACTGCCTCCACATGAACTCCAGGTTGCGCGTGGCGGCAAAGTGTTTTTTGATGGAGTAGTGGACCCTCTGGATGAGCATGCTGGTCACGTTGGCCCTCTTGAGCAGATAGGACATGGTGGCACTGTGGCCGAACGGGTCTACGGCCCACCCGCTGCGAGGAGTGACTCCTATGAGAGGAGGCGGGTAGTTCAGGTTCGTGCTCGGGTAAAAAGACTGCAGCCACTAGAAAGTCATTCTCTTCAGCAGGGAGCGGTAAAAGGAGCACAGGGGTGTCGCACCTTATGACGAATGTAGTCATTTTAACTTGCGTAGGAAAAGGAATTGGGGTACGGGAAAAAAGCTCTAACATCTCAGAGGTAAAGAGACATTTACATTCTGAGTAAGACCTGTAAGGCTCAAGTGAGGAATCATTTTAGATGTGTGTACCGAGGTTTCTCTCCAGCCACTGATGCCCCTCAATGAGCTGGTCTATCATGGCAAAGTAGTGCGCGTTGGCTTCGTCGGTCATGACCCAGCCTCCCGTGACAATCTCCAGCTGCCCTCCGAGGACCAGCCTGTTGAACGGAGAGGATTAGGAAAGCGAGGTGAGGATAATCCGGACTCTAAGGAGGAGTCACATTAACCAAACAAGCTATTTTTAGAGCCACCGGTTGTTATCCATCGTACAACGCTGCTCATAAGGCCCGTAGGCACCAAGAAACATGAACTAATTATGGAGTTCTGCGGGTATATCGGAGGCGGACCGCGTGCTCCTCCAAACCGTGACTCACTTGCGCACGGCCTCCTGCTTGGGTGCGTCTGCCGTCTCCCACCACTTGGAGAAGAATGAGATCTCACACCAGATGAACTTCCTGCGAGGATCCTCGGCCAGCTTCACCACCATGTTGTTTAAAATATGCTGCGTCTGGTCTGTGAAGTACTTGTCAAAAGTCTTGATCCAACCTACCAACGCAAGGAGATAAGTAAGTGTTGGCAAACCGACACATTGTGGCATGAAGAGACGGGGCAGGAAAGACACTTCACGCTGTGGGGGGGGAAAAAAAACAAAAACGCTGCAACACATCAAAAATAAAACTCATATTTAATTCAAGTTGTGCTGTCCCCCCCCCCCGAGAAAGCTTTTTAGCCGAGTGGTTTCAAATAAAGTGAATTCAAGCACCTGCATAAAACACAGTCCATAAATATCCGGTCCAATATTTATGACATATATTGTAGCCTAATATATTTTATAGAGATGTACATCATTCCTGCAGCGATGCCGATAAGCGTGTGCTGCCAGTTGTGAGGGACAGGACTATTCACTGCAGTCGTTATAATATCGTAAGTGGTTTGAGCCGCTTACCTGCAGTTCAGTAAAACCCTTAAAGTACCTTCTTCGCATTCACTTAACTGAGCTTATTAGCAGTAAAGCTTTCACACGTCTTCGGCGTGAGCTGACAATATGCTCTCTGGTTGAAATACACGCCGCCCATGAACTCTGGGAACTTAATACAGGCAAACAAATCTTTTCAGCGAAGTGTAATCAAAAACAGCTCTGATTATTCAAGATTCGAATTTGCAGGTCTCCGCCGCCAGGCGACATATCAACAACTGTCAAGTTAGTGAGCGTTTGGCAGGCTGGTAGACAAGTTTAATGATGTCTGAAAAGGAATCTCAGCCAGTCCCACATATAAATAGCTAGAGTTTGCCATTGCTTGAGTCTAAGCTGTCAATTATCTAAGTGTTATGCTAAGAATAATGAAAACAAATGAATCACGTTCTTAATGCTTTCTAGCCTCCCACTAGCTGTCTCGTATACAGACGGGGCAAATTGCCTGGAAAAAGAAAGCGCTCGCACTCGCTCAAGGTCTCACGATACGGACAGAGTGGCACAGAGACGCTTACAGCTTTCAAGGAACCTTCCTGTCGGTCTGATCTCCTCTCAGCTCACCTGGATCGTTGTGGGAGTGGGGGACAACAAACACCTGAAGCGGCTCACTGTCCCACTCGTCGGGCTCGTAGGTAATGTCAAAGCCCTGTTTCCACACGCCGCCGTCAGGGTTGTCAAACTTGAGGATGGAGTGCACATCTAGCATCTAGAATGAAAAAAATCGGTCCGTAGTATTGAACAGCACCTATAACTATAGCAGTGACCATGATTCGGCCGATAAGCTGCTCTGCATTTTATCTACTGTGGAAAACGTACTTACCTGAACATCTGCTTGACTGTGGCTGCCTGAAGCAAGCTGGCAGTCCTGGGGCTTGACAGCTAGGAAGGTGGGACGGCCGTCAAAGGGAAGGACCCAGGAACCGTTGGCGCTCCTAAATGGCAGGTGGCCGCTGGGGGACACTGCTCCTGTGTCTGTGAGCTCCATCACAGAGTCCTTTATGTGGCTGATGATTTGGTGGTTCTCCTCCAGGAGCTGCTCCAGCTGCTCTATTCGGTTTTGCAGAACAGAGATTTGGCTCTAAAAACCCACGCACAGAGAAAAAAAAAATCATAAATCACATGACGAGATCATAAAACATCTCCTAACAAAACATTTATCCTGCAATAAAAACTTTCAGATTACATCAGGGTGACAAGTAGCAGCATTAGTTCAATCAGTCCCAGAGATATTTACACAATGAAAGGGGAGTTATTTACATTTGTTGTTCCGTTTCTGAAAAAACTAAATACAAAAAATAATAATGTTTTTGTATATTAACCTGGTGGACAAAAAATGCAACGTTAATAACTAGGGGAAGGCGATTTTAGCATGCAGCTCCAACCACCGGCATTATTCTTACCCGTGGGAAGTTCCCGCCGTTCTGTCTCCTTGCAGGGTCATGCTGGACCCGATCCAACATCAGATAGAGCGAGAACACCGCCACACAGAATATGGCCCCGCCACACACTGTCACCTGTTTCCTCAACTTCATCCTCCTCTGGAGCGGCCTTTTTTTCCTGGAGTTAAAAAAAAAAAACGACCTTGACTGTTTTTTTTTCCCCAGGAAAGAGAAAATAAATGTCCCGGAATGCAATCCTTCAACAGCGGAGAAAGAAACGGAGATAATGGTTCAGTTTCACTCCTGCGATGCCTCCATACCGGGGTGAGCAAAACGAAGCTGCAGCAGTGGACGGGAGAACTAAATCAGCAATAGCTGGCAAGCGGTCTGTCAGCTTTGGCCGAACCACAGACACCGGTGGGCTCCTTCAAAGTGGCCCTTGTGCTCAACTGTCCGAACCAATGACACTGCAGGAAAAAGGAGAACACGGACGGGGCTCAAACAGGGAGTCTAGTGTCCCCGTAGCATGATGTCGGTCACTGTGGGCCTGCTTTCTGGGTCCAGTCCCCACTCACACAGCACGGTGAAATCCTCTAGTACAGCCAGAGCCCCCCTTCTGATCGGTTTGCCCTCCAGGCTTCAGCAGTGCAGAGAAATAGGCCGAGATATGGACCAATTTGGCAGAGAAAAGCTGCTTTTTTTTTATTCTCTTAATTCAAAGCTGAAATGCTTGAGGCATCTCCAGGAATTAAAACGAAACAAATGTCATTCTTCGCTCAGTAGCAGTGGAACAGCAGCTCTGCCGGGGCAATAACATCTATCCCCATTTAGTGGTCTTCTTCAGCTGTTAGGGAAAATGTTTGATTAATGGGTAAAAAGAAACAACAACAACAACAACAAAAACCCATTCAGCCACATTCTGTCACAAAAAGCAAAAGGTCAGGAGAGTGAGAGACATCTTTTTTTGATCTGACAAGTTAAGTCAACAAGGGGATTCGGGGTCATTGGGGGTCACAGTGGCCTGCAGTGGGATCCCTCATGTCCCTCTACGTGCAAATCCTACCGGATCATAAGCCTCTGGCTTTGCAGGCTGGTGTGTCTTAAGCATTTACCCCCAGGGAGCCGGGATAATAACCTGGCACTCACAGACAAATAGCGTGACTGCCATCAGGTGGACAAACGTTTCCGAGATCATCTGGGCCGCGTGATGAATAAATCCATCTTCGTAAATGGGGGTGCTGGACAGAGACAACTTAAAAATACCGCAGCTACGTGTGGCGCTACGTCAAAAAAATGAACTACCAAATGACCCCGAAAAGTGTCCTTCGGGTCATTGCCCGAATGTTACTGTTTAACTCGGATGTCTTCTGGACAGCTATGGCTGGGCAGCGTCGCGTGCCCTCCAAAGTAAAAGCCCCCCAAATACCTGCATTAGGACATTATGCCGTATTAACTTAGATACAAGGCGGGCAGTTTACACGTTTAGCTCACTCACCGGTAAAACACTTTTATCTACTCTGGTGAAGTTTACTAATCTCTCTGGCGTCCACCGGGTTATCGCGGACACGCTAGCGTTGCGTTAGCCAGCCGACGGATGACGTCCAAGATGAGCCCGGATCGATTTATTGCCAGCTAGCTTCGAGAGCCGATGCTACAACGTTAGCGTGAGGGCTGATGAATCCGACTGAGCGACTGTCACGGTTCTCCGTTGGGCGTCCGCGGGGGAGCCAGTGTGCGGCACGGCGGATGTAACGTCCAGCGTCCAGCGCTACGGAAGACTGGGCGAGCGACGCTACTGGCTCGATAACATTAGGACGATACGTGGGTGAAATCTCTCGTGACATCTCGGGCTTAACGCTTTCCGTGCCTGTTTATTCGAGAATAAAATAAAAAAACACAAAAGTCGGACGTTACCCATCAAAAGAGAGCGATCCGGAAGAGAGTGGAGCGCAGCGGTGCGCGAGTGAGCGGCTCCCGGCTGTGACAGGTTACCCGTTTGAACCAGTTAGCTTAGCAGCTAGCACCAATGAGCTGCCGCAAAGGCTTCTGGGAAGAGAGGATTGTAAAAAAAAAAATGCACCATTATAAATACAATAGCTTAACGTGTGGGGTGAGGGAAGAAATTACCCGCCGCGAAATAGACAATGCACTTTAAAAAACAAACATTGATATATAAAAACGGCACAGCAAGCAGTACACAAGCTGGCAGCTTATGAATAAGAATAATTATATAAGCACAAATGATCCTGCGATAATACCCTGGATCATCTGCTCAGATACACCTCAGTGCAAAACGACAGAAGATCTAAAATAATATAACGTGAGTTATCCTAAATCATATTTCCTAGTAGGCACTAATCTACTCTTTCTAGTTGTATTCGTATATAAAATGAATTACATTTAGAAGTAATTTTCAGTTACCCTAAAAACAGATTTACACAATCTGACAAAAAGTCTAAACTTTGTTGAAAGCGAATTCATATCTATTTAATTCACTTAAATTAATAACTTCACCATTCGTGTTTATGTATGAATGGAGAACAATCAATAAAAAATAATGACCCACTTCACACTTGTTGTGCAGAGGCAGCTTTTCAGTAAAAATAAAAATACAGTGATTTAGGGTCCACATTGTGTAATTTCTGTCCACATTGGATAGTCCATTAAACATGTCCAGTAGTAAAGAGGAGATAATAGCTTGAACAATGATGCACTTTCTTTTTCATTCAGCACTTTAATGAATGGGAGTAATGGGATCTTTTTAAGAAATGTAGTTTACAATGCAGCTTTTACAATGTTGTCAGAGGGACCACTGACCCCTGTTGTTTCTACCTCCCTGTCTGAGACACTTGGCTCGATGACTTGCCTTAATCGGTGATGCCTTTTCTATCACCAAAGTAAAAGACAGGGGTGACTGCTGCGGAGAAGTGACACCCGCCACCTGAAGCCGTATGGAAAATGTACTGATGCTTTGCATGGATTGTTTTGGTAGATCAAACTATTTGACAGTTTTGGAAACAGGAGCTCGGCTGAGACTTAAATAATTAATGAGCAGATCGTGGGGTACATGACAGGGACAGATGGTATTGTTTTCTATCAGTTTATGAGAGATATTTCCAGACTTAAAAAATAGACTTGTTACCATAAAGTACACTAGGCATTGAGACAATCACATCCCGGGAGAGCTATCTCTCACACAGGAAAGTCTTGATAAGTAAAAAATGTTTACACAGCTGGTTTTGATTTTGATTATAGGCCGGGACTCATCTCTTTGGTTCCAGGATGTTGTTGCTCAGCCTTGTGGACATCCCGTGGATCTGGTATGTATGAGGTCTCACAACAAGCCCAGCGCTGAGGAAAATATATTTCAACTTTCTGGATGTTGTTCTATAGTCACAAAAAGGCCCAGGTAATATGAGAGTGTTAGCAGGTGTACCTGAGAACAAATCCCATAGGGAACCACCCTGTCTCCACGGCAACAGAAGCACAACAATGGGGCTCGGCTGTCCTGGTAAATGAGTCGACAGGGGACTGAAGGAAATACCATAGCAGTACACGTACTTTCGTGGTTTTAACTTGTCCGAATGCACAATAGGATTTCGATCTCACATTTTAAGACTCAAAATGTGTTTTTTGCATTTACTCAAAAAAAATACAAATCCAGACTCAAGCAAACTGCAGTGTACATTTGATGTGGACGTTTAAGCACTTTATTTGAGTGTTTTCATTTTGTGCAAGCACATATACACTATATTTGTCACGCAGCAGTAGTCAAGAGTAAAGTCGTCACTAGTGTGCACTTAATGTATGAGTTCATTTGAGTTTTGTTGTATCTTTGTTATATGTTTGTTACACTGTATGGTTGTATTTTACCCAGTGTAATATATTCTTGTGCAGCTTAGTTCGATGCTCCTTATGTCTTCTAAAACTATCAATAAACATGTTTTTTTATTAGGTATATAAGATCTTTATTGATGGTTAATAAAATATTTAATAACCCTTATTCTGTTAAGCCCATTATTAACAGTAACTTTCTTAGTTGCTATGTATTGCATCAATGACTGGTGATGCTTGTTCTCTTCTTTTTTGTATGAACTGGCGAAAGCCACAGAATTCAAATGTAACCAAATAAAGCCGGGATGGAGACAGACACAGTCTGGCTCCCCCCTTCCTTTTATGGTAATAGAACGTGCGGGAGGGGGCGGGCTTTTACCCAAACGTCATCAACGTGCTGCGGACAACCGGAAGCGTAGCGAGATCGAACATGTTTGGCTGAAGCTGGCGGTGTTTGTGTCCAATTAAGAGTAAAATTAAACCACACATTCGCCACACTACGTAACGTTGTCATTGTGTATTACAATTGGAAGATGAGTGCGAGTGAAAACGAAAAGGTAAGACAACAAAAGTTAGCTGTGTAGCTTTTTTTTTTTTTTAGCTTAGCAGCTTTCCTCAATAAAATGTTTTTTCGAAGCATTTCTGTCAACCTGAACCCTATAAATATATATATTTTTCTTCATCGTAACTCAGGACTCTGCAGCCTTGAAAGAGGACGGTAACACTCTTTTCAAGGCCGGAGACATTCCGGGCGCTGTCTGCTGTTACACCAAAGCAATAAAGCGCAGTGGCAGCCAAGCGGAGAAGGCTGTTCTGTACCGCAACCGCTCCGCCTGCTACCTGAGACAAGAGGAGTACGACAAGGCAGAGGCTGATGCCTCCAAAGGTCTGGTCTATTGCACCTAATACGGTTTATACATTGTTGATTACAAAGTAATTCAAGTTGAACCAAACAAAGTGACAAACATTTGAAATTACATTACATGTCATTTAGCTGACGCTTTTATCCAAAGCGACTTACAATAAGTGCATTCAACCATAGGGATACAAACTCAGAAGAGCAAGAAACAACAGTGCAATTTCCTCAAATAAGCCAATTTACAATTTGCTATCAATAAGTGGCGTTACAAGTACAATTTAAGTGCTACAATTCGTTAGTCTTTTAGTCAAGGTAGAGTCTGAAGAGGTGTGTCTTTAGTTCGCGGAAGATGTGAAGGCTCTCTGCGGTCCTGGTGTCATCAGAGAGCTCGTTCCACCATTTTGGAGCAAGGACAGCAGAGAGTCGAAGTGACAGCTACTCGTGATGATCTTGAGTGGTTTAATTGAGAATCACTTTCAAAACACCTGCTAACTGTTGTTAGAATACTGTCCTGTTGCATGCACGGCACTGAGATCCGTGGCTGTGGCTACACAGCGATATTGAATGTGATGTCACTCCTTTTCAGTTCTCGACATCGACCCGGGCGACGTGAAAGCCAGGTTCCGGAGAGCTCAAGCTTTCCAGAAGCTCTGTCGGCTCGATCAGGCATTTCTGGACGCTCAGAAGTGTGCCCAGCTGGAGCCCAAAAACAAAGCCTTCCACGACCTGCTCAGGCAGATCGCAGCACAGATCCAGCAGAAGGTGATGTGTTTTGAGTGAACGGCACATCACGGGAGGTTTGTCTTGTGCCCGAAACGGCACCCTGAGAAAACTGTTGCTAATTATGCTCTTTCTTCTCACTGTGTAGTCCGTGCAACAGAACTCCACAGATTCCCGCGTGCAGCAAATGTTCTCGCTTCTCGTCGACGCATCTGCGAAAGACTCCGATAGACAAAAGGTAAAGCAACTCCGAAGGCAGGAGATACGCAGTAGTATGATTTGCTCTTTTATTATGTGTTTGATAATTATTCATTTCATCTTGATTTGTGTGTGACGTTGTAATGCACCAAAATAATGTCCATTCATTCAACAATTTCAGGCTGCTCAGAATCTGGTGGTGTTGTCTCGAGAAGACGCAGGAGCCGAGCAAATCTTCCGTAACGATGGAGTGAAACTGATTCAGAAACTCCTTCAGTCAAAGCAGGAGGACATTGTCCTTTCTGCCCTGAGGACCCTGGTTGGGATGTGCACGGGGCATCAGTCCAGAGTAAGATTGAACGTTTAAACTTAACTATACTGCATTCTTATTTTTTTTTTAAACAGCCATGCAAACTTGCGTTTTGTTTCTTGGAAAACATTGATAAAACCAGAAGTGTATACACATAAATAGCCCTCTTGTTTGTAATTTGTTTGTTTTCCTTTCATCTGTTTCCATTGATTGTAGTCTGCTGCAGCACCATCGCTCAACAGACGACCCAATATCTTAACGTCCATGTTTGTCAGAGACCATGTTCTCCATGCTGGTAAAATGCTAAATTCATTTACTGCCTGTGATTGCTGATATTCTTTTTATGTCCCCAGACCATGGCTATAGTGAATGAGCTAGGGATGGAGCAGCTATGTGCAGTAATGGGGGCAGGAGCCTCCACTGTGTCTCTGGCTGCCTGCCACCTGCTGCAAGTGATGTTTGAGGCCCTGACAGAAGGCATGAAAAAAGAGATCAGAGGGAAAGATGAAGCCATACTTCCTGGTGAGTTTGGATTCTGATCATGTTTATATTTGGAGTTGGCCACACATGAAAGTACAAAATGCTTTGTGTCAGCCTTCTTCTGTCTTGTGCCTTCACACGTTTATTGACATTGATTGTGTGAATTTAACACAGAACCCTCCAAGGAGCTACGCTCAATGTTACGCCACCTCATGGAAATGATGCCGGCATCGAACGTGTCGGGACCGGGCAGAGACAGCGCCATCAACCTCCTGATCAAACAAGTTCCCCGCAAGTCCATGAAAAACCCAGACAACTCCCTCACGTTATGGGTGATCGACCAGGGTACGAACACGCCTGCCCTTGTTGTAGATGTAGATTTTCTTACATTTTTCCAGATTAACAAACCTTTTTCTCTTGCAGGACTGAAGAAAATCCTGGAGGTGGCCGGGACCGTGCCTGAGCTCTCTGAAGGGCCGACTCTTACCGACAACTCCCACATGAGCTGCTCCGTCTTACTCAGCAAACTCTACGACGACCTGAAGAGCGACGCAGAGAGGGAGAACTTCAACAAGCTGTGTGAAGAATATGTGCAGTGAGTGGACTACTAAAACGTTGTGTAACACAGGCTCAAAGCCAAATAGTGGCATTCCTTAACTAGCTTGCTTTTTGGTTAGGCAACATTTTAGTCGACATGGCCTAGACGGCAAGCTGCGAGCAATCCAGGCGGTGTCCGTGCTTCTCCAAGGGCCAAGCGACGTGGGTAACCGAACTCTGGAGATGTCAGGAATGATGGACGCAGTCATCGCTCTGTGTGCTTCCGAAGACGCAACCCACCAGCAGGTCGCGGTGGAAACCGTAATCCACGCGGCCGGCAAGGCGAAGAGAGCCTCCTTCATCACCGCCAACGGCGTGGCACTTCTGAAGGATCTCTACAAGAAGAGCGAGAACGACAGGATACGCGTGAGAGCTCTGGTGGTAAGTGCTGCGCCGGAGCGAGCGTATTTCTCTTCAAGCAGTCGGCGGAAAGAAACCTCTAATTAAAGATCTGCACGGTACTCTGGTGGTTACTACACAGGGTTTGTGCAAGCTTGGATCAGCTGGTGGGACGGACTTCAGCATGAAGCAGTTTGCGGAGGGATCCACGCTAAAGCTCGCCAAGCAGTGCAGGAAGTATGTTTGTTTGTCTGAATCCTGAGTAATGTGCTGGTCCACGTTGTTGCTAAACCTGATAATAAGAAGGTAATAAGAAGAACGTTGTGTTTCTTTTAGGTGGCTGTGTAATGAGTCTCTGCCACCAACCTCCCGTCGGTGGTCTGTGGAAGGCCTCGCCTACCTCACTTTTGACGCCGACGTAAAGGAAGACCTGGTGGAAGACAAGAACGCTCTCCTGGCCATGTTTGAGCTTGCAAAGGTTTGACTGCTGATTATAATCGTAAGGTTGTTTGAATACTGACACATTGACAATACAGGGCAAATTAGAAGGCCTGTTTCTCTCAGAGCATCTTAGTGGCTACTTAAATATTTATTTGTCTGCAGTATTTCAAAAAGCTTTTTTGTAGTGTTGACCTTGTTTTTCTTTGTGTTGCTTCAGTCTGAGGATAAGACGGTGCTCTTCGCTGTGGGCTCCACGCTAGTGAATTGCACCAACAGCTATGAAGTGGAGAAGCCAGACCCTCAGATGGTGGAGCTGGCCAAGTATGCAAAGCAGCATGTGCCTGAGGAGCACCCCAAGGTGCCATTTCAATTCTTAATTATTCACGAAGAGCTACATAAACAACCCATAATCTTGCACTCTACCGCTCTCCTGTGTCTAGAGGAACTCTATAAAGGATTTTACACCCGTGGTTTACATGTAGCGGTTTGTCTTTCCACCCTTCAGGATGCACCTTCCTACGTGGAGAAAAGACTGAGGAAGCTGCTGGAGACTGGTGTGGTGTCTGCATTGGTGTGTATGGTCAAACAGGAAAGTCCTGCCCTCACTGAGGCTTGTAGAGACTGTATCGCCAGGTAGGAAAATAGTAGTTAAGTCTTTCACACTCACTGTTCTCTCGGTAGACTTTCCGTTGATGCCATTTTTCACAACAGGGTGTTCTTGGCTTTGGTGGAACGACAAGAAGACCGAGGCACAGTGGTGGCGCAGGGTGGAGGAAAGGTAGAACACAGTGATAGTTTTAGACTGCACACCGATCTAAACATCTTACTTTAGAAGGTTCAGATGATTTGTATGATTTTGTTTTCCTCCATAGGCGTTGATCCCACTGGCTTCTGACAACACGGATGTGGGTAAAATCAAAGCTGCCCAGGCTCTGGCAAAAATCACCATCACGTCTAATCCAGAGATAGCCTTCCCAGGGGAAAGGGTGAGAAAGTGCAAGCTACAAAAGTCTGTGGTAAAAAACAACTTAAACCATTTCCTCTTTAACCATGTCTAACTTTCTGTTGTCAGATCTATGAGGTGGTTCGGCCCCTTGTCAGTATTCTCAGTCTTGAGTGCACGCTGCTGCAGAACTTTGAGGCACTGATGGCTCTCACCAACTTGGCTGGGATCAGTGAAAGACTCAGGTTTGCAACTAGGGGGAGTCTATCATAAGAATGCATGAATTAAACCATTGTCACAGGACATCATCTAAAAGTTTACTTATTTGGTTTACCTACATCCCTCAAAGCAAGGAACATTATTACATGATTTTGTACCTTTTAAGTGCCTTATTTGCATTTATACTTTGCGCTGTCTTTTATTGTTGATGAATTCGATCCGGTCAAAGCTTCACACTGAAATGTTATTGCCTTTTTGAGTCTCAATTTGTTTTCATTTATATAATACATCTTCTCTTTTGGCATAACGGTTTTGTTTAGAGCATCTGCTTGTTTTTAATCACAAGTGCCATTTCACAGACAAAAGATCATAAAGGAGAAGGCCGTCCCAAAAATAGAAGGCTACATGTTTGAGGAGCACGACCTGGTCCGAGCTTCAGCCACAGAGTGCATGTGTAATCTGGTGTTGAGCACAGAGGTAAGACGCATACAAAATAGAGGATCGTATGGCAAGAATATGTTGAGTAGATTTAAAAGTGGTGCGTCCTCAGGTGCAGAAGCTCTACCTGGCCACGGGGAACGACCGCCTGAAGCTGCTTGTGCTCTACAGCGGAGAAGACGACGAGAGGCTGCGTAAAGCTGCTGCGGGAACTCTGGCCATGCTGACCGCCGAGCAGCCTGAGCTCTGCGCACGCATCCCTGGAACAGTAAGCAGACCACTGCAGCGGATCACGGTTTCCCACACATGCATCACCCCAGCGCTGCAACGATTCACCTCTCTATTTAAACAAACCTCACTTCCTCTTCTCTTCTCAGACAACCCACTGGCTGGAGATCATACAGTCGCTATTACTCTGCGACATACCCGCCCTGTGCCACCGTGGAGTGGTCATAGTTCACAACATGATGCAGGCGGAGAAGAGCCTGGCCGAGACTATCATGGAGAGTGAAGCTCTGGAGATACTTTCTGTCTTGGCCAAGGGAGGAGAGGGCACGCCGCAGCCGGTTTCTAAGGTTGCCCAGAGCTGTCTGGAGAAGGCCGTGGAGTACAGCATCATCATGACCAGGGACGGCAAAGGAACTGGACCCTGAAAACGCAGCTGCAGAGTGTGAATGTGCCTCCTGGTAATGGTGAAGTTCTATAATTTGTGTTTTGTCTGGGACCATGAAATCATTTCACTATGACAGGAAATCACCTCTCGCCTGGATGGGTAACAGCCGACGCTTAAATGCTCACTTGCCTTAAGCAAAAACTGTGAAAAGCAGTCAAAACATGAAAAAAAGAATGGCAGCGATTGAAAGGTAGTAGAGGTTTGGTTTGGTGTTTTACATTACTTTTCCACTCATTTTATTGTTCTAAATTGTACTCACACACATGGAAAAAGGGCTTTCGACCAGACGTTTCCTTAGGTTTCAATTAACAAACCTTCCTGTGTGGGTTTAAGAAGAGATTGTTTTGGGTTGCAAAATAAATCCTGTCTGTGCACTGTATGATGATGGACCACCAACGTGTTTTTGACTTGGGAGGCTATTAAGGCTACTCTATAGAAATTACTAAAGATTGCCATTCTTTTATATTTGCATGTTTTTTTTTTGTTATTATTCCCCAAAATACTTTTAAGACTACATTTCCATTCCATGCACTACTGTTTAGTATGAAATATTTTGCAGCAGTTTTCAGCAATAACACACTTGTTTGCAGGAAATGCATAGAGACCAAATACAAAAACATTGAATTCACATATTTGTGTGCGTTTTATTTTTGAATGTTTTATGACTATTATCGCTCCACTACATTCACAATGTTGTACGGTTGGTCGTTTTGACTAAATAAAATGTACATACCCGGATGATAATATGGTCACGTTTCCGTTTCCCGTGTCGCTTTGCAGGAGCGTCCTGCGCATGCGCCGCACACACTCACACACAGTTCATTCCAGCGTTCAAAACTTCGTCGCGTTCCCAATGCGGTGGTTCGGGTTTGGTTTTAACGCGTTTGGACAAATATATGTCCACGAGAAGCCGATGCAAGGGGAGTGTAGCGATGCAGCAGCAGAAGTTAAAGTGAGCAGTCCGACGGAGCTCTCCAGTGAGGTGGACAGGCGGGACTGCTGCGTGAAGAATGAATGTCAAAAACGAGCCAGTTGGAGTCGAAGAGCATCCCTGCATTTGAATAGTAAGTCTGTTACACCTACACAAACACGTATTACGTTAAATGCATTGGTAATGACGTATCGCTCCCCGTCCATCAGGTGACAGCTGCGTGTCCCTCGCGGGCTTCGCCTCCCACGGGTCGTGTGACGCGCGTCCCGTGCAGGAGAGCCGCGGCTGTAAAGATGTCCTCATCAGTGAGTCGTTCTTGAGCCTCGCTTTTTCGGACCGAGTTGAGTGCTGGGATCTGCGGAAGGAGGAGAAGACCCCGTCGTGGAGCATGGAAATAAAAACCCACCCCGACAGCTCTGGTAAGCTCGTTCCATCGTCTAACTTGACCTCTACTAGTACGATGTGATAATTGGATAAACGGTACGATCCTTTGCTTCTGTGCAGGACCCTCCGTGAAGCTCCCATTGGTCCCCGGGGGTTACGTAGCCCCCAAACTGCCCCTGTACCGCCTGCTGTCACCACACCTGCAGGCCAAGATGCTGGCGCTGAGTTCAGAGCACGCTGTCCTGCTCAGCGCCTCCGGAGCCGTGCACACCTGGGGACTGGGCAGGTACACCCAACAACCGTCTGGACGCACAAAAGAAAAGAAAACCGCCTATCCTGATCGTGTGTGTGTGTGTGTGTGTGTGTGACAGCCATGGTCAGTTGGGGCACGGAGGCCTGGCCTCTGAGGAGGAGCCCAGGATAGTGGAGGCCCTCTGGGGGATGCCCATGAGCCATGTGGCAACAGGAGGCTGGCACTCTGTCTGCATCAGTGGTAAGTGTCTTTAAGGAGGAGGGGGGGGGGGCGGTAGATTTACCACAAATGACATTTTTCTTCAGATGGAGGAGATCTCTATGTGTGGGGCTGGAATGAAAGTGGCCAACTTGGACTTCCCTCGCGTGGTCTGAGGAAAGCACTGCGGCAGCAAAGTAGCCAACAAGAAGGTAAGTCTGTATTACCATTTTTAAGAAATAAACAAATCAAACTCTTATTTACCCCTTGATGCCGAGGCACAACTCGCCCCGAACACTATACTGCGTTGTTTGAGATGGTTGCAATAGCGTACTATTTGTTAAATGCTTAAATAGGAGCATTTCCACAGCATTTGTAAAGGATCTTTGCTAATTAACTTTGAACAGGAGAATATGCTCTAAGATTCCTTGCTGTATATTTTCCGGTGTATTTTTGCCATTTTAAAGCACCATAAACTAAATTCCATTACGCTTTATTGTACTGGGTGAGTTAAGAGTGGAAATCTCACATTTCTGATCCACAAACTCTTTAAATGCATGGATGGCATAGGAAGTGCTTTACATTGTACGTATATGCACCCCGACCCTTAATTGTAAGTGGGAACAACTGCAACATTAACTGTACTGAACAGGAGCACAATATCAAGATGCCAGCACGTCTCCAGCTGAAGAACAACATGAAGAGGTATTCATATCAATCCAGGCATTCCCAGCTCTGCTTGACGTCACGCCGCCGTGTGAAATCAGAACAGTGAGCTGTGGATGCCGCCACACAGCTGCAGTAACAAGTAAGAAACCAAACGTTACAATGGTTACGTGCTCCTTCACATGTTCTTTGCAAATCTCATCTTTGTTTTCTAATTGCAGCAAAAGGCGACCTCTACACTTGGGGCTGGGGTAGGTTTGATTTGTGGACCTAAACTGACACGCAAAAGCATTTTTCCACTCCCAATATAAGTCATCAGTATGCTTTGAGGACAAATACTGGATGTGTGGAACTCACCCTGTCCATCTTTACTTCCACTGTCATTTTCAGGTGACTATGGGCAACTTGGACAGCAGAATTTACTCAGTTCAGATGAGCCGCAGCGGGTGGAGTTCTTCAGGGAGCAGCAGATGCATGTGACTGACGTAGTGTGTGGGGCATGGAACACTTTTGCTGCTGTCGCCGAGGAGGAAGTAGCTTGCTCGTGAGGACTTTATGGGATCCATTTAATAAACGTGGACCCTGGACTTTGAACAACACACCAGGAAGCGAAAATATTCACAGCAAAAGACTGAATTCATTTTTTTAATTTATTTTGTGACGTACAAGTTCCTTTTTGTCTAGGTTAAAACAATCAACTGCATATATGAGCACTTTTTGGAAGTATTAAAAATGTTCTCTAGAAAAAAATGAAAACAAATCACAGGTTATATATTTCACAAAGAACACATCAAATAGTTAAGGCAATAAAATCTACAGGTAACTATACTTTAAGGCAAATCTCAAACGTTTTGAAACTGAATTGTAAATTAAAAACCATAAGGGTTAAAAGTAGAGGTAAAGGCCATTAGATGTCTTCACAGCACAATCTTAAAAGAGCTGTGGAGAAATCACAATAACAAGCTGTTAGGGGCAAACATACTTGTGAATAATACACATCAGTGTTGTTAGCAATTTAGTTTTTAGTCACCTGACAAAATCTGGAGACCTTGAAATGACATGCTGAAACTCTGAGAGGTTCACGGTTCCATCCTTGTCAATGTCTGACTCTTCAAGAATCTGAAAGACATACATGCGCTATTACACATGTTACACTATTACATCCGTGTGCCATACACCGGCCATTTCAACCATCCGGTGTACCTGCTTGCATCTGTAAGGAGCAGAATGCTCTTTGGACTCACATTGCTGATGAGCTGCCTCATTTCCTCTGCGGTCAGCTTTGTCTCGTCCGTCTCACCAGTCAGGCAGTTGACCAACTTCTCCAGATCACCACAGTCAAGAGTTCCATCGTCATCAAAGTCTGAAAATATGAAAACCTATTACACAGATTTATAGCCTTAAAGACATCATGACTGACCAACCTCCTTTGCTTATTTACCAAATATACGAAACGCATAGTGGGATTTGATTTCCATGGTAGCAGAGTCGCTGAAGGCACTCAGGAGATCCAGAAAGTCCTCAAAGGTGAGGCTTCCATTTTTGCTATCAGATGTTGAGAATACGTAGCAGATTCTCTTCCTGAAGGGGTTGGACTGTGCCAGGAACAAGTACAAGGGTCAGTGTAATGCATCAGTACTGGAAGCACATAACACACAAAGCACAGGACATTCTTAGTCCTGCACTGGGAACCACCAAGAAGCAGTCCCGTGTTTCTGATCTGAAGTAGCTTCTCACCTTGAGCTCTGGCAGAGTGAGAATACGATCCATTGGGACTCTCTCGTGGAGCACGTCTTTCTCATCTTTACCGAGCAGTTCACTGAATCTCTTGTAAGCACTAAAAACGAAACAAAAAACTGCTTAATCTTGTATTTTAGTAAGCAGCAGTTTTTCCATCATATATTTTTTTAAAGTTTACATTTTTGACATATTCCATGCAGACGATCACTTACAGAAGAATTTCTTGTTTTGTCAAGAAAGTCAGCTCCTAAAAGTCAAAGTGAGCATTATTGGAATTAATCAGTTACAGATTAACTTACACGCAACACACTAGAATTCCTGCTACTAGAACTACTTTCCACGCTAGAATCTACGAATGAGTCCAATCTCTCATAATGAACCCATGAACTGCCCAACATGAAGTTATATTAGCAAAGTTAGCTTTCACTGTAATGACGGCGTGATGACAACTGTCATTCGCGTTATATTTACATTACAGGTCGTGAGGAATACTACAACTAATGTTAGTGACGGTAAGCAAAAACTTCCGAGTTGTTGCTGCGTATGACATTTATCGTTGCCTGTCAAACTTTGGGCTAGCAGAGCTACGTTCAGTTCCTCTAATTCGCTGCTCACAACACGCAAAAAACTTGAGCCAGGCGCTAAACACGAACACTCACTGCGACGCTACATTTGCGCTTCGAGGACTTTCTCCGGGCACTTACTTGATATTCTGAGAGCAAATCCTTCCCAAGTTGACTGGCCGTGGTGCCCATTTCCAAAATGTCGATTCTGAAATGTACTTTTGTTGTTGTGAAGAGTTTCCCACCACCGGGCGACTCTTTTTCCACTCCGCTTACTTCCGGGATCACACTCTTTCCTGTATTTGACTACGCGATCGTTTCCATGGTGACGGGTTGTCAGGACAAAAGGACGGTGTCCGATGATAGCTAGATTGTTGTAGTTATATATCTTTTTCATCGGAATGTGTGTATATATACAAAAACGTAGTTTTGTTTAACGGGTTGTTTGCCGCTAATTTGATCATTTTTCTCTTCAAAAGTATTTAAACCTTTACTCAATGGCTCAAATGACAGTCACGAGGAGTCAGGAAACAAGGAGAGAGGGACATGATGGACGACAAGAAACAAATGACTTTCGATGCTACCTTTATTGTATTTCCCAAGGGAGCTACCACCTGTCCTACAACTATACTTCAGTTTACCACAATACAAAAAAAGTCCCAGCAAAATGAAAGATATTGCATTCAAGAAATAAAACCACATGCAAAACGTATAGTTGGGAGAATTGTAGGAGAGCCAGGTAATAATGTCTAAAGAAACCATAATCATGTCACTAATTATTGACCTTCATATGCAAAATATAAACACTTACATTTTAAAGTGAGCTTAAAACCATCAAATCTGTGCATAAACGCTTATGCTTTATATTTGTTTTTAATACTGTTTGTTTAACTTCATTTATTAATTTGGTCTTCTTTGTATCATTTTAAAATGTCCTTAAAACAAACCCAAAGTAAAAGACCAACAGCTGTTCTAAGCACCTTAATTATATAACACAGTTGTTTTGCAAAAAAGAGGATTTTGTTGCTATTATTTGAATCAACAAACCGATGCATTTTCTTCTATAATATAAAATCATTAATAATGCTTTCTGGTTTACATAACACAACATAAAAAAATACTCATATATCAACATATCAGAAAAGTTTTGTAAGGAATTAAATCATTAAATTTGCAAACACATTTGGGGGTTAGACGGAAGTATAAACAAGAATCTTGACACGAAGATCAGAAAATGGTTACTTCAACTCCAGAAAGATGAGGGGCTAAGCTCCTGGATTTGTCTCCCAATCCGTTGTATCTGAAAAAATATATAGATTTTGAATACAGGAAATAGAACAATGTAGAAAAAGTGAAATCATTTTATGTTTCCAGTTGCTATCTAAGATCCTTCACATTCTACTTAGGCTTATATCCCATCCCAATCATTTTGCTTTTTATTTCTACTTAATAAAACATCTATTATGTGATTCTTTTTTCTTTGGAGATTGTACCTATCATCTTCGTTCCCTCCTTGGTCTCAGCTGAAACACCAGTGCCGTATTCGTTTTCAGCGGTCACTCTGAAGAAGTAGATCCCTCCCTCCTCCAGGTCAGACACCTTGTAGGACAGGCGGCGGCATTTGTCTGTGAGCCTTGTCCACCCTTTTCTGCTGATGTCCCGTACATCCACATGGTAGTTCTTGACAGGGGCCCCTCCCTCATTTTCGGGGATGTCCCAGGTAACAGTGGCAGAGGTCTTAGTCACATCTTTAACCGCCACACGTGCTGGTGGACCAGGTGAATCCAAAACCCTCACACTCAGCGTCAAAGAGGCAGATCCAGCGACGTTTTGAAGTTTGACCACGTATTTGCCGGAGTCATCGCGTGTCGCTCTTTCCAGTGTGATGGAGGTGACGGAGCTGCTGGTGTTGATCATTCCTCTGACTCCAAGATCTACATCTGCTTTGTCCCATGTCACAGTAGGAACAGGCTTGCCGACAAAAGGCACAGTCAAAGTGAAGGCGCTGCCATCTTTAACTAGCAGGGTCTTCCTAATGTCTGCGCTAATATCAAACCGGGGCTGCTCCTCTCTCTCCACTGCTGCTTCAGGATCTGTTTCAGGACTTGGCTCACTGACGCCTACCTTGTTTATGGATCTGACAATAAAAACATACTCCATCCCGGAAACGAGTCCAGTTACCGTAAACTCTGTTTTATCTGTGTTGTGAACACCAACGGTCCAGTCTTCTTCCGCGGATTTTCTGAATTCAACTTTGTACCCTGTTACTACTGCTCCACCATCAAACAGCGGCTTGTTCCATGTCAGAGTGATGGAAGACCTGGATGAATCGCTTATGGTGGGTTTGGCAGGGGGGGAGGCTAGAAACTTTGGATCGTCTGCCAGAGTGAGTGGGCTTGGGAGACTGGGTTCACTTAGCCCCGCGGCATTCTCGGCACAGACTCTGAATTCATACTCGCATCCCTCGTGCAGGCCGGAGGCTTTGACTCGCAGGTCGTACACCGGCTTCTTGTTAACACGAACCCAACGGACACCCTGCTTCTCCCTTCTCTCGATGATATAACCGCTGATGTGGCTGCCGCCATCGGAGGCAGGTCTCTTCCAGCAGATGGTCATGGCCTCGATAGTAACATTTGTGACCTCAACGTCGGTGGGAGCGGACGGGATAGTGAAGGGATCCATGGCCTTGATGGGCTCACTTTCCAAAGTCTCCCCTTCCCCATATTTGTTCACTGCTCTCACCCTAAAAAGGTACTCATTTCCTTTGAGAAGCTTGGCTATTTTGCAAGTGGTTGCCACTATGTCACTGTGCACGAGGGTCCAGGCTACGCGGCTGGTTTCACATTTCTCTACAACGTAGTGGATGATCTCAGCACCGCCAGTCTCCTGCGGGGGCCCCCATGACACGCTGCATTTCTCTGCTGAGAGTCCAAACACTTCTAGTGGTCCAGCAGGTGGGCCGGGTCTGTCCAGAACTTTGCAGGAAATGGCCTTAGACGTGGTACCACCTATACTCTGCAGGGTCAGGAGATACTGTCCGGAGTCTTTTCTAACACTTTCTCTGATAAGTAGGGAGGTGTGGGTCTTTGTTGCAGTTATTTCAACGCGTCCCTTGGTGTCGATATTTCTACCATTCTTCAACCAAACCACTGTTGGGTTGGGGCGGCCAGAGATGTCAGCATCTATTCTTAGGAGGTCTCCCGCTTTGACAACCACCACCTGTCTATATTTGTCCTCCAAGATAATGTTGGGTGGCTCCACATTGTGCTGTACTGTGAGAGGTCCGGTGGTTTCGGAGGGGGCACTGAAGAGCTCAGCTGCATTCTTCGCAATCACACGAAAATCATACTGTTCACCTTCTGAGAGGCCAGTAACATCCAAGAAGGTGTCCAGTAAATTTGTGAAGTTGCACTTAAGCCAGCAAGTATCTGGCAGCTTTTTACGCTCAACAATATACCCGGTAATTTTAGCACCACCATCATATTCTGGTTTGTCCCATGAGAGGGAAACTGAGCTGTTTGTTATATTGGTGACAGTGAGGTTGCGTGGGGGATCGCACTGGTCTCTTGCTGCTACAGGCTCAGATGCCTTACTGCATGGTCCAACACCAGCCATGTTCTCAGCACAGACCCTGAACTCATATATCAGACCTTCTTCCACACTTGTTACCTTGAATTGGTTCTCAGTCACTGGGCTTCTGTTTAGCTTTGACCACAGAATACTGCTTTGATCTTTGCATTCAAAATGATAACCAATAACAGGGCTGCCGCCGTCACTGTCTGGCTTGCTCCACGCAACCACCATGAAGGCCTTTGAGGCACTAAGGATACGGAGATTGGTTGGTGGACCAGGGGGCTTAAAAGGATACTGGGCGACAACAGGGTCGGACTCAACAAAATGGCTTTTGCCATAGCGGTTCTCCGCGGCAACACGAAAATGATATTCTGTGCCCTGCGTCAAACGACACACCTTGATTGATGTTCTGGCAACCGTTGCTGACACAGTTTGCCATATTGTGCTGCCTGCATCTCGCTTCTCAACGACATAATTACTGATCTGGCATCCGCCAGTGTAATGTGGGGGCTGCCAAGACAAAGACATAGAGTCAGCACTCACTTCATCCACACAGAGCTCAATAGGTGGTCCAGGTCTTTCAAACACATTGACAAAGATTTCAGCAGATGTGGTTCCAGTTGAGTTGGTTAGGGTCACCTCATACATGCCAGCGTCTATTCGGGATGCGTCCTTGACCATTATCTGAGATGATGTGTCCGATGTGTGTGCGTTCACTCTGCTGGTCTCTTTCAGCAAGTTGCCGTCTTTCTTCCAGGCTACTGTTGTTGTTGTTGGTGCACTCTTGAATGGAACATCAATCTTTAAATCATTTCCTGCCTTCACACTGAATGTCTTGGACAGCAAATTGATAATGGGCTCAGCCCCCCTGGTATCCTTTACTTCAACAGGTGCCGAGAAGAGCTTTGGTTCACTTTTTCCTTTTTCATTCACAGCGATGACTCTAAACAAATACTCCTTTCCTTTAGCCAGCCCACTGATAGTCGCTTCCAGTGCTTTACCCTCTGAACACGTTGTCCACGAGTCATCTCCCTTCACCTGAATTTCTACAATATAACATGTGATTTTGCTTCCGCCATCATGTTCAGGCTTCTCCCAAGACAGTCTTGCACTATTGCATGTAACATCACTGAGAGCTATTTTGCCAGGACACAGAGGGGCCTCAGACAATTTAACAGCCTCAGTGGTCTCTGCTGGCAGTCCAGTACCAAACTCATTCACAGCCAGAACACGGAAATAATAGAAGCTCCCTTCGAGGAGGTTGTCAATCTTGAATGAGTTTCTCACACAGTTGCTGCAAACGTTTGTGAATGCCTTCCTGGCCTCCTCTCGCTTTTCTACAATGTAGTGTGAAATCTTTGCTCCTCCGTCAATGAGAGGTGCCTCCCAAGAGATCAACGCAGAGTTCCTCTTCACGTCTTTCACCTCCAAGTTTGTTGGTGCGCTCGGAGAGTCCAGCACTCTGACATTGACGAATGCGGATTTAGAGCCGCAGCAGTTCTCGGCAGTCAGTATATATTTCCCTGCTTCGTTTCTGTTGACATTCTCGATCAATAACTCTGTAGAGGAGCTTGTGACCTCAATTTGCGCACGCTCACTGACAGTGCCCCCTTCTTTTGACCATCTAACCTCAGGCTCCGGCTTTCCTCTAACGGTAACGAGGAGACGTAATGTGGAACAGGCTCGAACAATGACAATTTTCCTCAAGGTAGTGTCCAACTCGATTTCAGGGGCCTCCAGTTTCTCAGCAGCTACCACAGACCCGGGCAGCTCTGCATACTCCCCAACTCCCGCGGCATTCACGGCACGTATGCGAAAATCATACTTTGCATTTTCTCTCAGTCTCTTCACGGTGTAGTTTGTGTCCTCTACACCCGTGCTGGGTGTACATGCGATCCATTCGTCTTCTGCTGCCTCTTTCATCTCGACCACAAACCCACTGACGGCTGCCCCGCCATCATAGATGGGCTTTGACCAGCTCAGAGACACAGTACTGCTGGAATAGTCCGTCACTTTGGGGTTGGTAGGGGGACCAGGTGGGTAGGTAGCTTCACATACTTTTATATACTCGCTTGGCTCACTGGGTGGACCAACACCTGCAGCATTCTCTGCCGATACTCTGAACTGAAAGTGATGTCCCTCAGCCAGCCCTGTGCATCGGAAACGCAAATCGTTTAGTCTTCTCTTGTTGCATTTGGTCCACCTGACACCTTCTTTGTCACATTTCTCAAGGATGTAGCCATCGATCTCTGAGCCACCGTCCCTCTCGGGCCTTTCCCACGATAGCACTATTGAATCACCAGTCACAGCGCTAGCAGTAGGGGTAGAAGGTGCACCAGGTGTTGTAAAGGGGTTTTGTGCGATAAAGGCATCTGATTCCAGAAATTCACCAACACCAAATTTATTCACAGCAGCAATCCTGAATATATACTCTTTGCCGGGCACAAGTTTTGACACTTTGTAGCTGACAGTTTCAACGTGAGGGTCGACCCCTGTCCATGTCACACGGCTGGTCTCCCTTTTTTCAATTACGTAGTGGGAAATACTGTCACCCCCATCATTTAAAGGATGGTTCCAGTGAAGATTACACTTCTCTGCACTGACAACTTTCACCTTCAGAGGTCCACCTGGAGGACCAGGTCTATCAAGCACCTTTACAATAACAGGGATAGATGTAGTTCCACCTATGTTGCTGAGGCTCAAGACAAAGTGTCCCCCATCCGCTCGTGAACAGTCCCTCACCGTCAGAGTTGTATGAGTGATGGTGTTTTTAACCTCTGTTCTCTGTGTTGTTTTGTCAATTAATTTTCCGTTCTTCAACCACGCCACTACAGGGAGTGGCTTCCCAAAGTAATCAGCATCAATGACGAATGTCCCACCAGCCTGAACAACGGTCGTACTCTTGAACTTGGGATCAATGAATGCTGTGGGTTCTTCAATAACATCCTGTGCGACAATGGTTATGATTTGCGACGGCATGCTCCAAACACCAGCACCATTCTTAGCAGTTACTCTAAACTCATAACTCTGGCCTCCCGTCAGACCTGTGACTGTGAACTGGTTCTCAATAACACTGGTGAAGTTTGCTTTCATCCATCTGCCATCTGGGAGCTCCCTCTTTTCGACAACGTATCCTGTAATGGTGCTTCCGCCATCATACTTGGGTTTGGCCCACTGAAGTGTGATATTCTCTCTTGTGATGACAACAGCTTCGGGTGCACTAGGTGGATCGCAGGGGTCTCTTGCCACACAGCATTCAGATATCTTGCTACATGGGCTGAGTCCAGCAATATTTTCAGCAAAGACCCTGAATTCATACTCAATCCCTTCCTCCAATCCACTCGTTTTGAAACGGCCGTCGGGTATAACGAGTTTGTTTAGCTTGGTCCACAAGATGCTGTTTTTCTCTTTGCGTTCAAGGTGATAGCCGATGACGGGGCTGCCCCCGTCTTTTGCTGGAGGCTCCCATTCAACCACCATGTTGTACTTTGCCACTGAGGACACAAAGGGTTTGCCAGGAGCGTTGGGCACATTGAAAGGATATTGTGCAATGACAATAGGAGAGTTGATTGCAGTACTCTTTCCATACCTATTTTCTGCAAACACTCTGAACTGGTATTCGTTTCCTGTCTTCAGTTTGGTGACTTTGATCGTGGTTCGTACTGTCGTTGCGGACACAGTCTGCCATTCTGTGCTCAGAGTTTCCCGTTTCTCCACTATGTAGTTGTCCAGCTGACAGCCTCCTGTGTATTCTGGTGGCTCCCATGAAATGATGGCGTGGTCAGAACTGATCTCATCAATCCTCACAGGCCCTGTGGGTGGGCCTGGCTTTTCCAGAACAACCACAGCAATTTCTCCTGAATGTTTTCCGGAACTGTTGCTGGCCGTGACAGAGTATTGACCAGAGTGCTCCCTGGCCGCGCGTCTTATGCGGAGAACTGTTAATGATGATGTATTTACAACCTCTAGCCTTGATGTCTCTTTTACTGCCTGGCCATCTTGTTTCCATTCGATCTTTGGTGCCGGGTGCCCAATTACTGGGATCTCTACTTTCAGATCTTCACCATTCTTGACGGTGAATGTGCCAAAAGTTATCTGAAGTTTTGGTTTAACAGCATTTTCCTTATCTGCGACAGGGCCGAGTTGGACCTCTGGGTTGGGTTCTCCAGTCTCTGCAGAAATGGCAGGCTGACCTGCAGTGTGAGGGGGGGGGGACACCAAATACATGAAACTTTAGATCGGATCCCTACGCAGAGTAAGACTAATTATTAAATATTCACATGTTACTGAATAAGCTAAGTCATGGCATGGTAAATTATGAACAGCTTATTGTTAATTTTGTATACTAACTTTTCATAACTTCTAACTTAACAACTGAATGTTTGAACGTAGATTATGTTTTGCTGCACTTCAGTTGTACTTATTGTGCTGTTTGTTTTCCACAGGCATGACATACCCTGGACAATGACTGTGAGGGGTGACTGGGAATCCTCCGCTGTGAGTGCTGCATCAGTGTCCAATGTCATATTTATATTTAGAGTGTGAGCCGTATCTGTTTTTTCTGCAACCTACGAAAGAGAGAGCACAAAAATGTTAGTGAAAATAAAATTAAAAACCAGCTGAATAAGGGCAGAATACATTTTGGCTTACTTATGAGTAAGGTTCTTTCCTTATTGTGTTGTTTGGTTTTTAAAAATGCTTCACACATTTAATCACAACGGATTTAAACAAAACTGCTTCATACAAGCTAGATTGTAGATGATGATAGTTAATGTACTGTGTGTTGGTAACAGAAACTGCTGTTAAAAATAACTACAGTTATGGCAGTGCCATCTGTTCTGCCAAACACACACACACACACACTTCTATAAATTTTTTAAAGCTCTTTAAACAATTTCACTTCAGTAGGGAACACAAAAAAGAAAAATCAACAAGTTGTTGCTAGGTGCCCTCAATTCTTACTGTATATGTTTCAATAACTTTTAAGATAGGACAACTTACTTTGTGGTTGCTGGCTTCCATCGTTTCTTTTACGTTTATTTATGTATTCAAGATGAAATGTCAATTTAAAATCCAGTTGGTTCAGTCTTTGGCTGTGATGTGCCTCAAACTCTGTGTCGGACATTCACAACTGTGCCAGTCACACTCTGCTTTATCTCCAAAATGTGCATGCAGAGACTAAAATAACCATGAAGCCGGATTGGCCAGCTGGTCATTCTTTCAAAATTAGGCCTGCATAGATCAGCTGGGAGAAAAGAGAAATGTGCTCAGCACGAAAATATTGTCCACATACTGTATAGCTTTAAAGTTTGGATGTCCTCCTAATAGCTTTGTGTGTGTTGGTTGGTTGATATGTGTGCATTTATTTGGCACACAAGAGCCTTTCTAAACAAATTATCAGACACTGAGGAAGTAAAGATGTAACATTCCCTGTAGGAGCCAAATTCCGAATTCTATGTTTACTTTTTTGACAAGATGTTATAACCAAGCTGTCTTTTTTTTCTGAAATCGATTATATGTTTATTTGATGAAATAACCTACGTACCAACGTATAACATTCAAAATCTAAATATGAACACATAATTATTCAAATACAATATTATCGTCGTTTAATGTGGTTATTGTGAGATGAGGCGAATACAAATTAGAAAAAAACATTATTATGAAAAACGGAAAACGGAAACGGAAACTAACGAAGCCGAACCGGAGCGAGCAAATACAAAAAAATAAACATGGAAGAAAACCAAATATCCATGTGCGAGTTTTGCCGTCTAGACGGCGTTTAATCTTCCGCGCTGAATTACAGCGTTTACACGCGAAGGTGAGCGGACTGTGACGTCATGCGTGTGGGTTTGGGAAGATCGATGTAGCATCGGCTCGCGCTGCTGTGAGCTAAGCTACTGTTGCGAAAGCGCGTTTAAGTACCGTGACGTCACTTAGTTAACGTATTTAATCAAAACACAATTTAGGGCTAAATGTTGTACTTTTTCCTTCACTAGTTAACGCTACATTAACTTAGTCTTACAGTTATAGGTTCGTTTCTGTAATATCACCTGTGATGAAAATATAATAATAATGCATGCTTATATAAATGTACCATGTAGTTTGTGCGTAAAATGTATTCGTAAAATATATCTGTTATAACAGTTAATAGCAACTACTCAACCGTTTTTTTGGTACTTTTACATTTGGATACATTTTGCTGACAATATTTAACCAAATGCTTGACGTTTGACGTTGATTGTTGAGTATTTTTGCAGTGCGGTATTTCTACTTCTTTACCAAAGTAAAAGATCGAAATGGCCCTGGTCAGTGTGAAGGGGATTTATTGGGGGTTCCTGCCCTCCTTGTCACAGTCCGTAAACCAAGGCTGGAATTAAATACGCCTGTCAATCAATTACTGTGAAACCGAACTGGCAAAAATTTGGGTGAGGTTTATTGATCAATAGATTTTAAATTAAAGCTTCACATATGGGAACGTTTTCTGGTTCACTTGTCCTCCGCAATGGTGAACTACGATGAGTTATGGGGCCATCAGTCCGATAAAACAGGATTTATTTCAATTTTGATATGTCAAATGATAAACATTGTGTTTTGACGCTTTAATGACTGTACATTAATTTGTATTTGCGGCCGTGTGTCCGCAGGCTGCTCATCCGACCTGGCCGTCTCTGTCTAACCCCGTGCCTTTCCTACCTCACTGTTCACCAGCAGATCCAACCATGGCGCTCCAGTTTGTGTATAGCGACCGGGACCTTGTCCCAGATGTGCGCCGCAGCAGTGGGAAAAGACCTGGGATCGCACCATCGGCAACAGAGTTTGACAGAACCATCCGAGCCGGCTGGACAGACAGGATGAAGGCGGGGCTCTTCCGCTACCATCTGGGTGATTTACAAACACGGATCCTGCCGGGCCCGCATGGCTACGTGGCCCAGCTGAATATTGAAAGAGGAATAGAGAGAAGGAAGCCTCAGGAGATACTCAGCATTCAGCAGGAGTTCAATGGCGAGCAGTTTAATTTTAACAAGATCAATCCAGAGGAAATCCTATTTGAGATGATAAAGGAGGTTGAGGGAGGAAGCGAAAAGGGGCCGTTGCACGAACCCTGCAGGATGGTTGTGCTGGTCAACGTCAGCCCTTTGGAGTTTGGCCATTGTCTCCTCGTTCCCGACCCGTCCGGATGTCTCCCACAGGTCGTGACGAGCTTCGCCATCCGGGTTGGCATTGAATCCGTGCTTCTGAGCTCCGATCCGGGCTTCCGCGTGGGGTTCAATAGTCTGGGAGCATTTGCGTCCGTCAATCATCTGCACCTCCACGGGTATTACCTGGAGCACCAGCTCGAGATAGAATCTATGCCGGTCAAGCCCCTGGTTCCTGAAAAGGGCTTTTATGGCTTGTTGGACTTTCCGGCAGGCTTTTTGTTTTACACGGAGTCGGAGAGGGTGGAGGAAGTCGCCGAAGCCGTCTGTCGAGTCACAAACTTTCTTGTGGACGGCGACGTCGCTCACAACCTGTTCCTGACGAGAGGTAGTCCGCCCCGTGGACGCACACGGAGCGAAGAGGAACGCTGTTCAAGGAGAGGCGTCCGCGTCGCCGTGTGGCCGAGAGCGTCGTGCTTCGGCGCCAAAGAGGAATCGGCCTTCAATGTGGCTCTCTGTGAGCTCGCCGGACATTTACCTTTTAAGAACAAGAAGGATTATGAGCTCATTTCTGAGAGAGATGTAACAGATATCATCCAGAGGTACCTTCTGCCCGATTCAGAGTTTCACACCTTGGAGCAGCAGCTCACTCGTCACTTAAAGGATTTATAAAGTATGCAGTTGTTTTAAATCAACGCTTTCACAATGTGTTTTTCTTTTGTCGGTTAAGAAAAGAGTGAGAGTGAGAGTAAGAGAGTCTTTACTGCGCTTTGGGGATATGCTGAATCTTTCCTGCTGCCTGGCCTAAATATAACATGTGCTCAGAAAGATCTTTATCAGTGAGAATATATTCGATGGACTAAGGGGTGTGCTGTATTAAAACTGGTAATAAACTGCCAAAGAGCATTTTATTTGAAGTTATTGTGTGAGGAATGTGTCTTTTCAAAACATGTGTTGCCTTCAGATTCAGAGTATTAAAAAAAAGACTTGCCTCAACTTTAAATCTCTCGTGATGAAAACAGTATTTGCTAGATTCAGTATGGCTCCAAAGGGGGGGGGGGGTTCAACCTTTGCACTTAAAAAATAAATAAATAATATTTTTATTTGTGTAAGAATTCTCTGTATATGGCTAACAAATTTACACAAGTCACGTGTAACAACAGCTGTCAATCAAGCCCAGTCTGTACCTGCCCACACGGGCCGGAGTGATGGTTTAAACAGCGACATTAACTAGATTCACCTGCGTGTGGAGCAAGACACTAGACGTTTGAGGGCTTGGGTAGAAAAAAGAAATCTGTTTCACTGTGAAAAGCACAGGTGTAAATAATGCAATGAATGAATGATGGCCGACAAGACATGTATTTATCTCTTCTCTCTTATCAGAGTTCTGATATTTAACTGAGATTAGTAACACCTGCACTTTTCCTGCTATGAATATAGGGGGGGGGGGGGGGGGCTGGTTACTGGGTACCTCACACCACTTACCACTCTACCAACTCTCGTGTGCTTCTTTTATTCTGAAGAAGATAGATTAAAAAAAGCTCCTTGGAGGAGCCAGCCAGCGGAGCTCGGATCGAGGTCGAAGGAAGCTGCTCGTCTTCCCCGAAGAGAACATCATGTGCCAAAATGACGTCTCCAAGGCAGCAGCGCCAAGCCGAGCAGTAAGATCAATGTGCATAAGTCACCTGCTCACTCGTTTTAATGAGGCTCCTCCTAGTTGAGCGCACAACCAGTGCATTGACCTACAGCTTTAGCTTCTGACAAATTACACTTGATCCACAAATCCGAATCCGAACACAAAGGCCATTCTTGAATTATAGATTCTAACAACACAGCTCTTTATTTTATTTGATGGCAGTTTTTTTCCATTTCTCGTCACGGTTTCATCGGAAGATATCGCGGTAACCTGCATGTGACATTTGAGCTGCTGCTTCTCCAACTCCGCTGACCTCGCTCACGGAACGCGTAGGTCAGACACGTCTGCAGCACATTTGCTGTTTACATTAAGCAGCCTGTGTGTGTTCAGTCGTCCTTTCTTTAATATGAAGGTTGCATAGTGGTCACTGAACGGAGAGTTAGTGCATCGTCATAGTTAAAGATGGAGAAACTGCAGAGAAGACTAATCGCTGTCGCTATATGAACAAAGGGATTATTTACGCTCTCAAAGGGTTTGACATTTCCACCACTGTTTACCCAGCAACTGTTCACTGACAAACATTTCCGGCCCATATACCCCCCTTGAGTTTAACATTACTCTTTACTTGTTGCACCGATTAGTTATTGTTATTGTGTGTTGAAGAATGATTCTAAGAAATGCTGGTGGCTGGACTTTTTTTATACACTTTTCTTCCCTGGCTGCATTCATGATACAACTCCTGTCTTCTAACTCTGAGATTGTATTGAGCGTCAATAAGAAGAATCCCACATGTCCAAGTCACTACACTACTACACAGCAAATAACAGCAAACTCCATGCATTTTTTTTGCATATTTTGCTGAGCCACACAGTTTTAATTCCAAAAATGTATCACTATACCATTTTTATTTTACACAAATGTTGCAATTTTGGTAAGATCAGGTTTAAACGGGAACTAGACTAGATTGTTCTACAGTTTGCTTTTACAATGGTACAGAAACAACGGTATGTATGTATGTATGTATAACTCAACCTATGTCTTGTCCTTGAATCCTATGCGTCTGGTCGTTGTCGACTGAGTCAAACCTGTTGTGTATCTTTCTAATGGGTCGTGGAGGCATTATTTACAGTCGACGCTTCACAGCATCCGCCCTGTTGAGGAGACGAGGACTGGGCGGCTGTGGAACGGGGTTTCGGGGAGGCTTTGTTATATAGACAGCTTTGTATTTAATACAAATGTGACTTTTTGTCAAAGTGTTTGCTTAAAGGGAGGCGAAAAAGGTCTCACTGCCCTCCTGTCAGCCGAATCCCAATTGTCTACCGACACGATGTGTCAGCATAAAGCCGTCCTTTTCTGTAAAAACTTACATTACAGAGCTGTGGTTTTTTTTTAATGAGGATTTGTACCACAAAACAATTACAGAGAAGATACTTTGAGATGTGTCACCATTTGACACAAGTCTAGTTCACGCATTGTCACTCGCTGCAATAAGGGTGGGAGTGGCCATGGGAGCGTCCTCCTATTAAAGCAGACCATCCTCCTCCGTCTGCTTTAATGCTGCTGCTCAGGGCCTTTGCAGTCACTTTGATCCCACTCGGATCATCCAGCTGCAGCTCTCCGCGGTCATTGCGAAGGATTCGGACTAACCAAGCGCGATGGGCTGTGTTCAGAGCTTCAGGGAATTGTGCGACCGTCAAAAAAATACCAATGTTCGTAAGAGTCTCCCGGCAGTTTGCATCGTGTGGCAAACAGCCATGATCATCTTGTTTGGGGTATTTATTCGCTACAATGAAGAAGCAGATACGCACTGGGTCGAGCACAGACACACAAAGAATATATCAAGTGACATAGAGAACGACTTCTACTACAGATATCCGAGTAAGTACTTACATTTTCAATTTTAAATGATTCTCCTCCGTATTCTCTTTCACGTGTCTAGTATTTCAATCATGGCTTTCTTAATTTGTTCTTGTGTATTAGCCCTTATTAACTTAATATCTCTTTCTTCATCCACATTGTTGCACATATTGTTTTTTTCTTCATCATTTCATTGTTGTCTTTTGACCAATCAGCTTATTCCAACCGGCTGACAAGGCTCAGCCTCCCCAAGGTGCACATTTCCCTTCCGAGATTAAATCCCCTCATTCTTTTGTTTCCAGTTCGACTGTGGCGATGTTTAGCTCCTTGCATCCGCATGGATAAAAATGTCTTCGAATGAATGAATAGATTCGATGAATGTTGCTGCATTCTACGCGGCATTCATCTACAAGCCCTTGGTGTCAGTGTCAGGCTATCCCAAAGCCGTCTCACGGGTGGTGTGGGATGTCAGATGATGAATTGACATGCTGACACATTCAGGTGTCGCCAGCGAGACCTCTTTCAGGCCTTCTTTTTCCAACACGACGCCCGCACGGCCAGCGTTGAACTGAAGACGGTCTGCCTCGTCTGTCTTGTGTTTTTTTTTTCTTTTTTTTTAATCGAGCTATAAAAAAAATCCTCCAATATGACACGATGTAAAATTGGTCTGTCGTTCATGTTCTATGCGGTTTGTTTCGCAGTCCAGTGGGAACCTATTGTTCCCTGAGGCGTGTCAGTTGGTTACTGTATTACGCTGCAAAGAATACCGGCTGGTTTGCTCTGGTATCCGAATACTGCTGGTGGGATGTTTACTGTCTCACACAGAAGATCCACCTGTTCCAGAAACCAAACCTTTTACCTTTTACCGACTGATAATTCCTCCTCATGTCTCCCCTTTTCTGTCACAGGTTTCCAGGATGTCCACGTGATGATCTTTGTTGGATTTGGCTTCCTCATGACGTTTCTTAAGCGCTACAGCTTCGGCGCTGTGGGTTTCAACTTCCTCATCGCAGCCTTTGGCCTCCAATGGGCGCTGCTGATGCAGGGCTGGTTCCACTCCCTGGACTACACGGATGGAAAGATCAAAATCGGAGTTGAAAAGTGATTGTTCTGGTTTATTCTCAGTCAAAAGGACAATGTTTTCTTTAGAATCATTCCTTCATATTATTCTGTTTAATTCTGATGAATGACTTCAAAGCAATCATCAACCGAAACATGTGGTTTAGTGATAATATACTGCCGCCACCAGGCAAATAAATGCTATTCAGCTCTGGTTCTTTTGTTAAAATACTCAGTACTGTCTACATTTTGGGCAGAACGGATTAAAACTCTGTTCTACATTGTTTGTCTGACTTTTTTCCCCTGAACGTAGCATGATCAACGCTGACTTCTGCGTGGCGGGCTGCTTGATAGCCTACGGAGCCGTGCTCGGTAAAGTCAGTGCAGTCCAGCTGCTGGTTATGACGCTGTTTGGGGTCACGTTGTTTGCTGTGGAGGAATATATTATCCTAAATGTCATACATGTAAGTTGACATTATTCTTGATATCATTCATGATTTCAATAAAGTGGAAGAGAACATATATCCCGGTGTGACTGAAGATGTTGCCCATCAATTCCTGTGATTTGTGTGTTCATACTTCAATTGCGCCTAAATCCTGTGACGCACATTGATCGATTTTGCACCTTAAAGCTGCTAAATTACAACCAACATTTGCATTCCTGAAGGCCAGAGATGCCGGAGGCTCCATGGTGATCCACACATTCGGAGCTTACTACGGCCTTTCCATCTCCTGGATGCTCTATAGGCCGAACCTGGACCAGAGCGACCGTCTGCACGGCTCCGTCTATCACTCCGATGTCTTTGCCATGATCGGTGAGCGTAATTTAATTCCATACTTACTTTCACAATACTTATTGTGGAGGTCGTGTGGATCTGCTGGATGCTTAAGGTGCAGCCCGCTCTCCGCGTAGGCACCCTCTTCCTGTGGATGTTCTGGCCCAGCTTCAACTCGGCCATCACAGACCACGGCGACGGGCAGCACAGAGCGGCCATCAACACGTACCTGGCTTTGGCCGCAACAGTGCTCACTACTGTTGCCATATCCAGCCTCTTCCAGAAGCATGGGAAACTAGACATGGTAAGGACCTCCACGTTTTGACAGTCAGTTAAAAACACTGTGATGGACGTGATACTGTGAGGTCAATCCAACAGTATTTTAAACAGATGCATTTTTCTGCACACGTTTCCAGGTCCACATCCAGAACGCCACTCTTGCTGGAGGTGTTGCAGTCGGAACTGCAGCAGAGTTCATGCTGATGCCCTACGGCGCTCTGATTGTGGGATTCTGCTGTGGAATCATCTCCACACTGGGATATGTCTACCTCTCGGTACGGAATTCATCTGGCTTATTGTAATATAGCTATAATGGGATATGCCTCTTTAGCCTTTGACTGGTCATGAAACCATACAGGCAATTGGCTACAGAAATGCACCAATTTGAATGAAAATACAAAATGCTTTTATTCTCTACAATCATTTTAAAAAGTTACTGGACCAAAAATCTTCTTTGCCTGCTTACAGTTAATAACATAGCACATGTGGTTTACCTCACTACTTTAGCCTTTAGTCTGAGTTATAATCAACCTTTAAGATGTTTAAGTGAGCTCAGTTTTCTCTCTCTCTCTCTCTCTCTCTCTCTCAGCCTTTCATGGAGAAGTACCTGAAGATTCAGGACACGTGTGGCATCCATAACCTGCACGCCATGCCAGGAGTCATCGGTGGTATTGTGGGAGCCATTACTGCTGCATCTGCAACAGAGTCTGTTTATGGTGTTGAGGGGTGAGTGGTCTTTACTGACAAATAGAGAAGTCAAGGTCAGGTAGCTTTGCCTTTTTCAATAGATACACAATTACCAACCAAGTAAACTAATATATCAATATGGTCTTTTGCTCCGAAAGAAATGTATATCACTTTTTGGTATTAAAGGCTCATCAACACCTTTGACTTCAAAGAGGATTTCAAAGACATGGTACCCTCACGGCAGGGCGGCCACCAGGCTGCGGGCCTCTGTGTAGCACTCTGCTTCGCTGTGGGCGGAGGTATCGCTGTCGGTAAGTAGTTGTCTCTGCAACCACCCTTGAATGTGACTACAGAAAAGGCAAGGCAATGATCTAGTATTTACTGTAAACAACTGTGACATTATACTCTGTGTAAGCAAGCTCGGTCTGTTCGCTTACCGACTGTGTGTTGGGATAATAAATGAATTAATATGTTCCTCAGGTTGTATTTTAAGACTACCTATCTGGGGAGATCCTGCTGATGACAACTGTTTTGATGATGAGACCTACTGGGAGGTGAGAAAGCATTCTTTACAACAATAAGGAGGTTTTAATACTTGAAACAGACTGTAAACTAATTAATTAAAACAAAAAAATTGTTCACACATCGTTTACATGTGTGTAAATATGAAATACATACTTTGATTTACGGACTAAACATACTTTATGTTTGTTTTCCTCACCCTCACAAGGGCAGAAAGAGTAATACATCTATTTGATTGATTACACTGTTGTTTTTCTACCCGTGAATCTTCTGAGTTTGTATCCCTATAGTTGAATGCACTCATTGTAAGTCGCTTTGGATAAAAGCGTCAGCTAAATGACATGTAATTATATAAAAACTGCTCACAGGTCCCTGATGAGGAAGAGGACGTCCCACCAATTCTCCATTACAACAACCACATGCGGAACAAAGACGTGTAAGTGTCCTTAAGGTTGTATCTGACAACAGTGTACTGGTCGTGCCCTCTTAGGCTCTTCTCACCACAAACAAACCACACAGCACCAAATTGCACTATCTTGTTTCTTGTTCTTCTGAGTTTGTACCCGTATGGTTGAATGCACTTATTGTTAGTCGCTTTAGATAAAAGCGTCAGCTAAATGACATGTAAAGTGCCTTTGTGATGCATTCAGTTTCCTCTTGGTGGCAGCAGATCCAAATTTGTGGCCGTCACACGTGATTCTTTGCAGTTTCCGACCTTTGTCTTGAAGATTTATTGATGGGGAAACATCCTGTAGCCCAGGGGCCTGCAGTGTCCATGTCACGCAGTGACGGCTGGTTACAAAATGCTGATGTGGATCATGCGAAGTAAAGCTCATCTGTGCTGCGGGTGATAGGGGTTTGTCACAGGGCAGCTCCTCAAAGTGACCTTAGCTGGCATGTTTACTATGGAAATGATACTATTAGAACAAGCTGAGCGGTCAAGTGCAATCTACCCAGCAGAGGGGTTATGATTGTTCCCGCATAGAGAGAGGATGCATGAAGAACGAGAGGCCAAACTTTGGCCAAAGAAGAAAATACGTTGATTGGAAGCTTGACACCAGATGCTACGAGCCACAATGAGGTTTCGCTTGTTTTTCATAACGTGATCTTTTCTTTTCAGAGCGGAGTCAAATTTCTCTGTGGAACAGAGCGCACGCTAGGCCTCGCCCTATTGGCCGTCTGTCTTCATCACACATGATCTGTTTGTAACTTTTCATTTTCCTACTTGACAGGATGTTCATTTCACACAATTAATTCCCATATTTGAACTTTGTTTGCTTAAGACCTACACGAGTTGCACTTTGCTGTAGATTCCTGTCTATATGACATAATAGTCAGCAGGTCACATTGAAAGACAATACACAAGCTTTTTTTTAGCTTGTTTACTGCTGTCAGCTTAATTTGCTACACTATTGTTTGCATTGTTTCTTTTCCTTTTTATTGCAGTTGGAAGCATTAAAAAGTGAGATTTAATAATTGTGTCTTCTGGAGAGGTTTGTATGATGGCTATGGCTATGTATCATGTTAGTTATTATGGATTGTGAAAATGAAAGCCTATGGCATTGGTTTTAAATTTAGTAATGCTATGACATAAAGGATGTTCAGTATCCTTTTACATGGAGCCACCATAGTGTAGCATTAGTAAGCATTATATCAAATCTAAATGTCTTTCAAAACCCCATGATGTATTGTTGCAATCACAAAATAATATATTTTTTAATTGTATTGTATTGTGTTTTATTTTTATCTTCACCAGCCCCCCCCGTATGGCGCTCGCGGGGGGAGTTAGTGAGGAATGCACTCATAAACATCACATTGTGGTGCACAATAAACGATTTATCAAATGTTTTGCTTTACGTAGACATCCAAATAATGTGTCTCGTTATTGTTCTGACAATGAGTGAGTTTGTAAATTTAAACGTTCCCAAATCAAATATTCATGTCACGCTGTTTTGAAAAATAATTTCCTGGTAATGTAATTTTGAGGATCAATGAATACTTATTAATTAAATCATTTCTGATATATAATTTATATCTTTAATGAATGAGAAATGCTTATTTTTCACTGATTAAATTTTGCCGAACTTGATGGAGATAAAAACATACTTAAAAACAACTTAGCAATTAAAAGAGAAGGAAACAAGTAGTTTCCCTCATTTAAGAGCCCGTGCGTGTCTCGTGGAGTCAGGCTGAGGGTAAAGGTCAAACCCTGATTGCTCTCCCGGGACATTCTGTTGCTAAAAACAAACTGGAGAGCAGCCTCATCCTCCGTGACCTCTGGTCAAAGAGCAGCGAAAGGGCAAGGTCACTGGCATGGCTGCACACATATGCTGGAGTCCATCAATTTGAATTCATTGAAAGAGAGAAACTGAACTGAGAGTATGCTGAACATTGGAGCTGTTTTTGCATATTGCTGGATAGAAATGTGTAGGAGTAGTTTCCCTCAATGAGAAATACTCTTTCGGTAAATGCACCAGTGTCTTTAAATGCAGAATATTGCTTGCCTATGAGGTCCATTATGTCCTTCTGTCTATTTTCTTTACGACGGCAATCATTTCCATAAGCTCCGTCCTCTGTCCACCTGTCTGCTCGAAAGCAGGCCGCAGCTCATGGTGGGAGTGCAGACGATTCCCACACATGAGTAGCAGCGAGGAATCCATCGCCTCGTCCAGCCTCCTCGCTAACAAAGGCGGGCTTAGTGCTGTTTTCTTTTGTCATCAGTAACGTGTTTGAGTAAAGGAGGTAATGGTGCCACAAGTGCTCCAATTAAACAAGATGCAGCCCTGCTGGGAAGAAAGGCTCCCTCATTGCCCCCAACACCCCCCAAAATACATACACACACACACACACACACAAACCGGGCCTCCTCTTATCCGACCCCCATGCAGTCCCCGTCCCAACTCTGCTCATGTTTATTCATCAGACACTTACAGGGCAAATGCGGAGGCCTATTAAAACTAAATCTCTCTTATTTATAAATGATACGGGGCCATCCTCGCTGAGGTTGAGGGAGCCGAGCCTCACGGCGTCACAACGGCCACGTTTCAAGACGTTCGCCCGGCTGTGGACGGACACTGACCACCGATTTGCTTTACGTGCACAAGGTGGGGTGGGGGGGAACGAAAATGGCACAGGGAAAGCAGGGAAGCAGAGCAGCAGACAGAGAAAGTAGGATGGAAAAACTCGAGGGGGCAAGGGGGCATGAAAAGAGGGAGGCCTCACTTTCCTTGCTGATGACTGACTGCCCGCCATCCGGGCTCAATCATGATGTTTGATTGGCAGCTCGGGGGGTGGGAGGCGAGGGTGGGAAAGGGTGCAGGACGAGAGCTTAGAATGGGAGCCTCACAAAACACACTCCATACAGGAGTCCGCTCATTAATGATAAAGAACATAGCAGGGAAAGTATGTTTTCCCTGCTATGTTGTTTGTAGGTTGAGATTAGTTTGTAATCTTGTGATGTAAGATGCACAGATCATCCCGGGGCCAAGTCCAACGTGGGAGGTCGCGTCACAGCACCTGGCAGAGGCCATTTGGACTTTTTGTCTTCTTATTTTTCACCATTATTCTGAGGGTGATTATGTTGCCGGCGTATTCATTTGATTGTTTTACAGTTTACTCAGTCACGACGCAGTTAAATACCCTGAATTCACTTTGCAGTTACGAGGATCTGCAGCGGTTGTAGAGGATATTCAGGCATGTGTGTTCACTCTCCTATAAAGAGAGCAGTAAAAACTCCCACTGAAAGAAACCACAAGTCCATAGAACTGGTCATAAACCATTCAAGCCCACACTCCTTTCTCTCTGTACTTAATCTGCTCACCTTTTGTGCTGCTTCAGTATCCCCTAAAGGTTACTTCTCAGCAGGTGCGTCTGATTCGCAAAACCTCTGACCGTTTAAATCTGGACTGTTTTTTTTTATGCCCAATTATGGCACTATGTGGCATGGAGTGAAATACATACAAAAAAAACAGGATATCCTTGCATTTTGCTTTGCTGGCTTTTCTGATCCATAGTCCTCTGCGAAGAGGGTTGGAGTTCAAGATGCAGTTTATTGATGATGTAGCGTTTCCCCATCAAATGAATACTTACTTTGTAAGAGCAGCTGCAGAACGTATTGAAGGTATATAAATAGCAAGTGTGCAATTCTGATCGCAGTGCAGATTTATTCTTTTTTAAGTATAGTACTTAGATTTTAGAAGGGATTTCATATGACACCTATTCTATACTTGCAGCATTACATTAAATAATATACGATAAGCTTATAAGATATGATGTATTTGCTGCGACCCCTTCGTTGCTTGTGGCCTTGCAATTGAAAGTGAAAGCCTTTAAATTGCGTAGGTTATTTATATTATTTAACTGGTACACACAGTCCAACGGTCCAAAGCTTCCTCTGTCGCCTCTGCCCATGACTTCTTCTTTACCTTCTGTTTGCAACCTGCTGGTGAGCCTCCTACCTCTGGCCTCCCCGGGTAGCCACAGGCCTCCCCACGACACTAACTGTCCACAGAGGCCGCCTAAGTGTCCCTGTCGGACCACAGTGGCGAGGAACAGCAGATTAACCATGATCCTATCCTCTCGCCGCTAGCCCCTTCATACGCTCCGTTACACCAGCATTTAAAAGGAGGAGGGGACGCCATTCAGGCCCCTGATATGAATCCCAGACGAAGGGGACAAGAACAGAGCTTTCACCCTCCCCGTTTCACAGAAGAGACCCCTTTCTGGCACCCTCTTATTTTGGTTGCTACAGGCTCCTGGGTTCAATGGCGGACTCCCGTTGTGCGGGGGACAAAGCCTCTCAGTCATCCGGCGATGGTTGCTAGGGGAGGCAGAATGTGTGGGGAGGGACGGGCTGCCGTTGTCCCAGACGAAATGTCTCTCTTAGGGCAGCCGAGATCTGGTGATTGACAGGTGGCTACACGCTCCACCGCGGATCACCCGGGAGGTCCGTGGGGCCTCATATCTGCGACCGTGTAAGTGTGTGTGTGTGTGGGTGTGTGTTCATGGCAGGTTATGTTAGTTGCTAAAGGGAACATGGGGGTTGGGGATATGGTACGGAAGATTTCTGCTGATATGGAAGTGGCACCATTTTCTTACCTGTAGAGGGAGCTGCTACTGCTTTAAAAACAGCTGTTTGATCACTGTGACAACTATTAACGCTTTGTGTTGGTGTTTTTATCTGTGAGCCTGGCTGATAGTGGGACAAAAGAAGGTAAAGCCTGCATTTAAAAGTATGTTTAAAATAGAAATTCAAATAGAAATGCCCTGAAAGCTTGCCTCAAGTTTAGAATGTTTTCTCATGACTTTGTTTTGAAGTTTGAGCTTCACTGTGCAGAACAATTTCATGTTAGTTTTAGACAAGAAGGTCATTTTTACGAGTGTTTCTCTGTGATCATCTAGTCTGGAGCAGGATGTAGTAGTAGTAGTTTAGACACCAATCATGTTCCGGTATGCAGGCGATTGAACTGCTTCTTGTCACTGATCACTGCATCCTCTCGTTACTGATCACTGCATCCTCTCGTTACTGATCACTGCATCCTCTCGTTACTGATCACTGCATCCTCTCGTCACTGATCACTGCATCCTCTCGTTACTGATCACTGCATCCTCTCGTTACTGATCACTGCATCCTCTCGTCACTGATCACTGCATCCTCTCGTCACTGATCACTGCATCCTCTCGTCACTGATCACTGCATCCTCTCGTTACTGATCACTGCATCCTCTTTTTAAATGAATAACTGGTAATAAATCGATAAAAACAGAAAAAAAGATAAAAGGTTAGCAGCATACTCATTGGTAAACAATTATGCAGTGTGAGTCTATGCTGTACGTTGTCTTATATTGTATACATACACACATTATTTATATGATGTTTGAATAATCTAAGTATACCACAATGTTAAGATATTCGCTAAAAAAGAATAACAGGTCCAACAAAGAATTGTGATAAAAGCCTGTGTGTAAGTGAGATAGAGAGAACGTATTGTAAATCAAAAAGGGCAAATTAAGGCGGTTTGTGTTTATCTGCGTCAAAAGGATTAGTGATTATTCAGATGTGTGTCCCTCCCCGGCCTGGGAACTGTTACCCCGCCACTCTGTAGACACCAGCAGTCCCCGTTTCCCCCTACAGGGCCACAGAGGTGAGAGGGAGCAGACAGGCTGTAGGACGTGTGAATCTGAAGGGGTTCACATGGAACACCGCCTCCCCTCAAATAGACGTCTGGGACAGTCTGGGTTCTGCACTCCCAGACAGGGAGCCCTTCCATCCATCAGATGCTGCCCAACCCCGTCCCCCCTTCCCCTTGACCTTGACTCTCTGTCACCGTGGCCCTCCAGACAGTCTGGGGTCAAAGGGTAACACAGCAGGCACACATCAGACACGGTTCAAGTCCCCTGTGTCCATGTGAATGCCGAATGGTAAATCACCCTAAAAAAAATCAGCCTGTTGGAATGTGACTTTGAATTCCTGCAGCGATGTACGCAGACACCTCAAGGACACCGTTGTTGTGACAATGTGAAGCCCCTGGAAAACAAACGGTTACGTTTTTTTACATGCATGCATTCACGCTATCTCATCCTGCAGGAATATGGATTCCAACAAAAAATTGTATTTTAAAAAAGGCCAACTGGCAGAGTGTGAAGCTGTGATGAGCCACGTGTGAGCATGCGCAGAGCGCTGAAAGAGTCTCAAATGGGCTCGTCTCTCACATGCTGTCACTCTCTCTTTCCCCTCCATCTCTGAACTCTTTTAAACGTGCATCACTGTTTCTTTTACCAAAACGAATATCGTTATCGTCTAATTCAGAGCCGTCCTCATCTCCCCTCTAATCTGAATTAAATTTGTAAAACAGCGTATTTCTTTGGGAGATATTTGACATTCTGATAAGCTAATTTAAAGTCGGGACGCAAACCACAGTGTTGGTGTTTGTGGGCGCAGGACCAGTACAGGAGGACAAACAAAAACACTGTTTATGTCACATTGAGGGCTGTTCTCTCATTATAGACGTGGACGAGCAAAGTGACACACACACACACACACACACACACACACACACACAGCTTCCTCTCCTCACTCACACGTCAGGTTATTTATCAGTGGACAAACAAGTAGATCGCCTTTGTTGTTTGAGATACATTCGGGTTGCTGCTCAAAACCATCATCAGTTTTTCAATGAAGCCTCACACACACCCACTGATATAGATGGCGTTGTGAATGCAGTTATGTTAGCACTTTGAATTTGAAATACTTTTAGTAGATATAAAGTTAAAGCACAACCTTATATTGCATTCGTTAATACAATTGATAAATAAGAGATTGAGTACACTTATTTTAATTGCTAATGCGGTTATTGTGTTTTTTTATTCACCTGTGTTAATTTAATTCAGCTCGTCGTTTATATACCACTGAGAGTGTCATGGACAACATGTTGGTACAAGGCTACATCGGATTTAAGTTCGTTTCACGAAAAAAAAAATTCAGAAAATAAGTCAGTAAAAATAATTAGTTATTTTCTCTTTTTTAAAAACGGTTATAATTTCCGTTTGTAAACTACAAGCAGTACACTGTTGCTGTGTTATTCACGGAGGGAAATAATATCAAGTTCCTCTGCATTTTGCATCCTCGAAAGTCTCGTTATAAATCAAAATAAATCGATTGCTTTTCAATTAATAAGAATCGAACATCATCGCATGGCGAGCCGTCACAATATGAACAAAAATAAATAAATCGCCCCCCATCAGGACCCGAGCGGACAATCATTAAGGTGACGACAGATGAAATAAGCTCGTGCGCTGAGAGGAACACGGTGCGTCCCAGCGGTCCTCCAATAACTGCGTTACGGGCGGCGCTGATGGAGTTACGCACCAATCAGGGGGGAAGGGTGGGGGGGTCGTAAACACCAATCTGAAGTCGTAAATGATAAGGTGTAAAGGGTAAACGAATAACTAAAACAATAAGATGTTTTAATTGATCAATAGATATTGATAGATATTTAAATTTAACAAATGCACTTAAACAGGCTATATTGGATAATTTAAATATACTTTAAAAATACATGTAGCAAATGTAAATTATTGAATTTATAGGCAGGCTATTACTAAAGCTTTTTTTTAGGAAAGACTTTCAGGAATATCTTTCTAAAGCACATTTATTCGTTTCTTTTTGGACCAAGGCTTATACCCAAACCAGAAGATAACTACAACTTCAAATAGAATTATTGTAGGAATATTAACCTATTTTTAGACTTCACCATTAGTGGTAATTTCCCATAGGTATCATGCAGAGATGATGGTTTGTAAAATTTTAAAAAAGCATATTTAGCATATTGCTAGTGTGTGTGTGTGTGTGTGTGTGTGTGTGTGTGTGTGTGTGTGTGTGTGTGTGTGTGTGTGTGTGTGTGAGTGTGTGAGTGTGTGAAATTAATTTGTAATACAGTACCACTCAAAAGTTTGGACACATTTTTTTTCTCATTGAATTGAATAAAAAAATGTATCCAAACTTTCCACTGGAACAGTTCACAATTGAAATACACACATGCTCTAAAATGACATATTGTATTTTTTTATTTAATATAATCAATTAGCTAAACGGATCGTTGTTTTGTCTTCATCTTTACTGCATTTTATCCGGTCATTCTCCGGCAGACAGAAGCGCGCGTTCCCCTGGATCCCATTCTTTTCCGTTGCATATATTTCTTTCCTATTTCGGAAATCCAACATTTAGCATCAGCTCCCTGGGGGAGGAACCAATTGGTCATAAAGAGAGCCAGACTCTTTGGGAGGAGAAAAGGGCCCCCTGTTGTTTTTAAACCAGCTCCTCCAACGCTCCAAAATGCAGGGGCCCAGAGGCAGGGCTGCGAGGAGCGAGGGTGCCTCCGGTAAATGACGCAGAGCGACTCTTCTGAAGCGGCGGTGAGCCGGGTGGTGGGGAAGGACCTTGTAGGATGCATTAAATCAGCCTGATTAGGAGTTTTAGGCGAGGGCAGCGCTCGGGTCTGGCAGAAAGGCTGCCGGCAGCTCTTGAGTGATACTATTCACATCCCGGGAGAAAGGTCAGTGTCAGAGGAGTTCACAGGCCCCATCTCCATTCTCATGCTAAAGGATCATATACACATGGGCTTATTCAATGGCTGGAAAGGCATAAACAGTTTCTACTGACTTTCCCTCCAAAAGGTTTGAATTCTTTAACTTGAGGCCCCGTCTCTGTGTTCCTTTCCCTTCTTCTGAAATGGAAATTGGATTTAATTTGAGATTGTTGAACTTGACATCATCCATTAACATGAATTTGCATCTACACTTTTGTAAGAAAGTCTCAATCAAGGTATCAATCATACCAGAAGAGATATGGCATTGTTTTTTAAATATATAAACATAAACCCTAAGTAAGACATTTTTTCCTTCTTTAAAAAAAACCTTGGAGGTAAACCTGATGTTGTTACCCCTCACTCCTCCTCCCACTTTATATTTCCTGTTTTAGCGGTCACAAATTTGTTTTTGTGTTTTTATTAACTTCTTGAGGCGTTTTCCTGTCCGTCTCTGAGTCCAGTGGTCAATGGCCAAAAGCAGGAAGTAGCCACTTAATTAGCGGCCCTTGACCTTTGGCTCCGGCTCAGACAACTCCCGACCTCAGCATCTCTCCAGCCTGTTTAACGTCCTCTCGGGGACTGTCCAGATCATGACCTCTGACCCTGTGCTGCCATCCAGGGACTTCACCAACAGGTCCCCGACCAGCCGCCCCGCACCACAAGAAACTCATCAAAAAGCAATATTCATCCCAAGTAGCACATCAGCGATACTTTGGCAAGCGGCACGATAGAAATCCATTGAAAGCTCCCGGCTTTCATTCCATCCCCACAGAGGATGATTTCACTAGTTTCCAGAGGGGGAATTAATCACCCAAATCAGTCGGTGTACAACATTTGGATGGATTGAAAGCCTGCTGACTCGTGCTTGGCTCTCCATGAGAGAGAGAGAGAGCTGCTTGAGTGTGATTTTAGATTCAAGCACATGTGAAAACAGTGCACACGATTCCCCCCTCAGTTCTTTCATACAACTCCCATGTGTCCTCACTGGGTTTGTGACTATTTTTGTCTCTTTTACAGTTTATTGTATTCAATAGTTCACCGTTATTTTGGTTTGTAGATCCTCTCTTTGGTCTACAAATATAGTAGTAATAGTCTAGCTTTTTGTCTTTCTTAATGCAACAGCTCTTGTGCAATCTGTGACAGCAATGCTTTTTATTCTTTATTTAACATTTTAAAGTTTGTTGTAAACTTTAGTAAGATATTTTAAAACAAATTAAAATACATTTTCACACATTGAATAAAATGACATATATTAAATAAGAAATCCCAGTTAAATTGTTAAATTGTTGAAAAAGGAACATCAAACCTCTGAATCTAAGATAAGGCATCATTTCAATGGAGAGGAAATAATTTGTGTCCTAGAGACAGAGATAATCTCTCATAAGAAGCAGGAGCATCTGTTGTTTGACTGCCTGTAATCCCCGATACATCGTGCCTGCTGAGCAGTAAAAAGAAACCTTTCCAAATATAACACTCCTGTTATTTAGCCGTATCATTTTTCGCAGCCGATATGAACAGAGTGAATGTCTATTTCCGCAGTGTAGACAGTTCAGGCAGTGAATTTCTCTTTTCCCACACTGATCAACACACAACCCCCCGTCTGCTCCTCCTAATTAAACCTTAATGTGGGGTCACTCAAAGACCGCCTCGCACGATCCTCACAGAAATTACCATTTGAATCTAAAAACAGAAAGCCGGCAGAGAAAAGGTCCAGCCGGCTTGACTCCGTATACTGTCTGTTTTAGATCGATCCTTGTTCATTTTTTTATTGAAGATTAAAGACAAAGTGCTGTTGAAAACATTCAACATGAAAACACATTCTTTAGGATGTCCGCATTGTAATAATTTATTGTTTCCCTTCCTAATTTATCACTGAAATAATTGCTCAAAAGCACGATTGTAACACAGAGATGAAAATATTTTCATTATCGATTTAATTCAAAGAAGAAATACAATCAGCTTTTTCAGTAATGCACTCCAGTCTTATAAATTCCTATTTCAATTCAGACATATGAGAACAGCAGTTTCATAAATTATTAATTAAAACATGTAGATGCACTTTAGATATATCGGTGAGAACAAGTTTTCTGCAATTTTTAAAATAATGTATATGTATCACACACATTAATACAATATCATGAACATGGATAACAGGCACATTTCCAGCTTGTACAGTAGCTCTTTTCTTTCTACATGTCCTTTGCCACACAGGGCTGCTCTCCTCGTTTAGGTGACTGATGATCTCTGTTGAGACTTTCTGAAGACAGTATTTCGTTGAGTTTGGTCCATGTCCTCGCGCCCAAGCAGGTTCCTTCAGAGCGCAGAGAGGCCGATCCTGTTCCCCGTCCTGGGAATAAACGATAGAGGGAGTCATCAGCATGAGAATAAAACTTTGTTCCATAAACACTCGCCTCTGCAAATAATACCGATTCAAAAGAAAGAAGTACGTTTTTTCCCCCACTGCAATACATACTTTCTGGAGGATCATTGACATTCATACTGAGAATATAGCACCAGAGAACATTTGTCGAGAACTAGAAGATGAAGCATTCAAAATAAGTTTTATTATTTAAAAAAACCTTTTTATATCACACATGGCTTTGAACATTTGTTGTTTTAAAAAGATTAAACCCCCCCCCAACACATGAAGGTGCAGACATATCAAAGCGAGTGATATGTTTAAGGGGCACAATGATCCTGACACTGCCTAACACTCTGCAAACAAACAACTAAATCTGTTGTTGGGCATGAGGTTTAGTTCTGCACATCAGAAATTGTAGGCAGTGTTTCATAAAAACAAACTTTCCTTTCATGCCCTGTCAAAATAGGCCCCTGCGCTCTGCGTGTTGTTCTTCTCTCCCATTTTCAGGCTGTATGCATGGGGGGGATCTTAAGGCTTTTATCCCCACAGGGAACCAGCCCAAACTCTTTCTCTGTCAATTTTCACCCACTCCCCAATTCAGACAAGGCTTTTCTCCCACCAACACCACAATGAAGGATTTGTCCTCGTTCCCTTTGTCCACCTCTGATATCTTTTTTTGACTGCTCCCTCTCTGCAGACAGCATGCAGCGTATGCAAATATGTGCTCTTTTATTCCTGGGTGAATGCAACCTTAAATGAGGACACACTTGCACACGTTTACAGAGGGGGCATGGAAACATGCACATATTACAATCAGTAGATTTGCATGGCCTCTCTGACACCCAGCCACTTAAACATTGAACACAGGCGATTCTGAAACGAGCAGACAGAAATATATTCTCAACTGATGCCACAGATTATTTTATCTATATATTCCTATACAGGCAGTTTATCTAAATGGAAAAAATACAACACAAGAAATGGAGGCGTGTGTTGCAGCGAATGGACTCTTGATCGAAAACCTTGTGCTATCTTTGAGTTTTAGTTTGAAAGTCTTTTTTTATGGCTGATTTTATTTGTAGAACTTCTAAAAAAAAAAAGGAGACCAAGCTCTTTCTTTTCAATGTAAGAAGTTATTGTACTTCACCAAAGCTGTGGTATGTTTGCTGTTTTATAAGCCCATAAGTCCACAGCACACAACGGCTGTTCAGATGTGTAGGATGAGGCTGAAAAATGGGACACAAGTGGATCAACACAATAGCGGCTCTGAGGAAGAGGTGTAGACTGCTAATGCGTAACTCTAAAGGCTGGATGAATTATAATGGTGTCTGATGAACATAAAGCGTTCTCTCGCAGCTAACATTCCCAAGCTGGCCCGTGCCATCTGTGAGTATGCGTGAATGGGTTAGCGTTAACGTGCGTGTGTGTGCGTGTGTGTCTGTGTGTGTGTGGTGGGGGGTTGACGTCTGCTGGACAGCTCTGACAGTTCGGCCTTTTCACTCGTACATTACTGAGCCGGCCGGCCTCTTTCCCATAGCAACCCGAACAGAGGTCAAAGACCATGTACCCCCCATCCACCCAGTCAACCACCACCTCCACCTCCTCCTCCTCCCCCTGCACTGCAGGGTGGTCACAGACTCCCCAATCACTCCCCGACTGGCCGCAGACAGAGCGACTGCAGCCATGAACTTGAACTTGTGTGATGGAGTCGTATGTATCACGAGGATGAGCACACTCTTTTCAACCCTTAGCCTGGTATCAAATTCACATACTGTACCAGTAGAGTAGTAGAGTAACAAATAAATGAAAAATGAGGTCACATCAAGGATTCCCCTAATTCTCCTCACCCTAGAACCTCATCTCCTCCTGATATGATTACAAAGGGCCGCTGTATTAAAGGCTCAGTCACCTAATTCTCCTCTACTTTCATTGGAGCGTACGGGACCCCTACTCAGGACGCCGCGGCCAACAGACGTAATCTGAAAAGCCCGTGATGTAGGAACTTCTCTCCATCTTCTTCTAAGATACTTAATGTCAGGCTTTGTGCTAGATTAGTCTCGGCCAAAGTTACATTAAAAACCCCCAGATGATCCCCGCTTGACCCACATTGGACCTCATCCAAGACTATGGGCGGGCCCCCCGAGCCCCGGCTTTATAAATCACAGTCGAGCCGTTAAAACATTAATAGTGTCCACACACAGGGAGGAGAATCCAAAGAGGTAACCCAGGAGCTGTATGGTATTAACATTTTATCGCTACTATGGCTACGCCGCTTCACCCACACGAAATTGGAAGCGGGCGCCGGCTTCTGTCCCTTCATCATGTCACACATTATAATTTTCTTGCACTGAAATCCCAGATAGTTATAAATAAATAACAAAGGAAGACAAAAAGAAAGGAAGGTAATCATCTATACTTATGTCATTTTATGAAGGCGAGATCCATTTTTTAGTTTGGTTTTAAGGTAATTTACAAGAAGAAATTGAAGCATGAATATTTAAGCGACTGTGTCTACAGCGTGCAGAGGAATATTCAGGGACGTTCACATCCTAAATTCTCCTGACACGGCGTCCAGGAAGCTAAAACCCACTGTTCAGACGCTCTGGATTAAAACAGGTTAAAACCAATTGTTTTCCCTAACTCTCATTTTATGTCAAGCTGCATATTGCAATTAGTCAGAATAAGCAGTAGTAATCAACAGATAAATAAATAAATATGTTGTGTGTATTTTTTTTTACACCCTAGTAATATTGATCCCTCTGCTAACACGCATAGTAAGAACAAATACATTTTACTGCCAGATTTCCTTCAGTCCCCGGCCGTCTTTGACCACCCGGTCTCTGTTGACTGCTGCAGCCATCGCATGCGCTCGCAGATCCTTGCGGGGTTGCAAATTGCTTCAGCAGGGCACGGCACTAGCTAACGCGAGCTCAGCAGATGTGGCATTGACACGGGTGGCAAAAAAAAAAAAAACAGGCTTGCAACACCTGCCTCCGGCGCGCATACGTCTGTCTCCGTTGTCTTTAACCCTTTCTCGATGCGTCAGCAGTCTGACTTACAGAAGGCCACGTTTCACATGCCCGCCCTCTGCTCCTCTTTTACCATGGAGATCTGCAACAGACACGTAGCATTAAGCGAGCTACACTATCGCCATGATTCATTTCTCGCCTTCACCTTGCTTTCTTTCTTTTTTGCCTCTGTCAAATCTGCCCGGAGCAATGCGCATGCATACCACAGAGGAGCAGTGAGAATGCAATTACCGGTATGAAGGCAGCTCGGAGTCTTTTATATGAAGAGAGGGAATGATCTTTTGACATGTGGGGCTGCCTCGCATATTTTGGGGAAGCACATGTACATTACGAGGCTGATTAATAATCATTATCCGCAGGTTACATCATTCAGCTTGTTGGGCGCACCCGCCGCCTTAGCTTAGTCATTCCCGGTGAATCCCTGTTTCTGGCTGTCTTGTGATATTTCTGTGATGCCCGTCTGTCTGTTTCCCCGACTGAGTGTGACACAGACACGTGGATTGTGTTTGCAAGAAGGACAAAGCACATCCAGCTGGTAAAAGACAGGGTGCCGGCCCCCGAGCCTCTATATGCACGTCATGTCTGAATGCAGCAAGATCCTTCTCAAAACAGCATCTACATGCCTTCCAGACATGCAGAGGAGGCTGAAAGGACTAATGAATAGTCAGGTGGCACTCCAGGGCCCCTGAACCGCCGCCACCCCCCCCCCCCCCTCCCCGCCCCGCCATCACACATATCAAACGCACATACACTCGCTCACACATTAAAACTCAGCAGCTCGCCCGACCCCGGTGATCCGCACGACAGTCTAATGTCTCAGGCATCTGCTCATGTCTAGTCTGGAGGGTCTTTCCCACCCTGCCCCCCAGCCCGGGCCCGCCGCTGCACCAGCTCCCACAATGGTGGGAAAGCAGGCCTTTACTGAGGGCGGAGGGGTGGGGGATGGAGGAGGGTGTGGGGGACTAAACAGCTATTGAGAGGGGAGAGAGCGGGGCTGAATGATAATGTGAAAATGCACAGCGCTGTTCATTAACACACAGGCAGCGCTGCAGCTGCACATGTTGGCCCCGGACACACACACACACCCACATGCTCACGTGTCACTTTCTTATAGCGAGCAGCTCCGCTCCATGACGAGCAGCGGTTACAGGAGCTTTGTGTGTCCGCCCCCGTCTGTGTGTGAGAGGTTACAGGGATGGGAGAGGTAAAGATTTGGAGCTTTGATATGCGGCAGACCCCGAGTTGGTTTTGTCGGTTTGTTTGATCAGATTTGGGAAAGACGGGGTCTTTTTACATCACTGATTTGACATTTTCTGTGTCTGCCGTGCGTGCCGTTGCAGTAGCGGAGTTATACGAATGGAGTTGCAGTCATGAAACGTTTAGGAATAATTGCCGAGATGATTTGAGATACTAAATATATGCGGTAATTTAACTCCATCAAAAATGCCATTTAAAGCCCTCAAACTGTCCTGAAAATTGTCCGTCCTGACATCACTACAGCTGCTTTGTGAGCTAAAACACATTTGTTCATAAAGTAAACTAAATCTAAAACTGTAATGGTTCTACTAATAAAAAAATAAAAATGCAATTACCCAAATAGTTATTATCTCAGTGTCGCCTCCTCTACAGAATTCACCTGAGAACATTAAGACAAGATAATACTAAACACCATAATGTAAATCACACAATAAAAGCAGTTTTGCATGAATTCATCCACAAGGTTTGTCGGGTGGAAATAAAATGTACGCCATCGCCTGGCTTCCATCGCGGAGTAAAGAACCACCATGACAAGGGAGGATGGCAGGTTTCCTTCAACCAGTGCCAGCTCATTAATTTTGTTTGCTACCCAGCCCCCCAACCCCTCCACCCCCCTCTCCCAGCACCAACTACCACCACCCTTCCCTCACCCGCCTCCCTCGAATCACCCCGTAACTGCTAATTAGCAGAAGCAGAAGATGGAAGAGAAAAGGGGGAGGCCATGTGTGACTGGGGAGGAAAGAGGAAACTCATCTTATTTCCCTCGTCCTTCCTCCTGCCCCCATCCCCCATCAAACGCCCCCCCCGCACTCCCCGCTGCCCACCGCCATCCCCACTGGTACCCGGGCAGAAAACCGTGGTGCCGCTCACCTCGGTGTGCCAGCCTGCCATTTTAGGTGTCGCGGCAACATCTCCCCAAGATGGCTCCTCTGAGCGTGCCCGTGCTCCGGGGATCCGGAAGGGTCTTTGTCCGCGTCCTGGCACGGGCAGAATCCGCCCCCTCCCCTCCAACCCCCGTTGGCAGCACAGATGGCATTAGAGGCTCTTGGGCAAAAAGGACGACTAATGGGGGTGGAGGAGGAGGAGGAGGTAGCAATTCCGGACCGACCGTTTTCCCCTCAGCTCTCGCTTCCTTTTCTTTCAACGATGGCTCGAGCCTCTTTTCAGGGATCCACGATCATTCAATGTCGTATATTGGAAGCCTGTAAAAAGAGAGCGGACGGAAGGGAGAAAACCAAGGAGTGAAACAGGAGAAACACATTTGCACTTTCAGTCATCAGCATAGCTAAACACAGGCTAAATAGTAACTTTGCTTTCTTTAGACCTGTAACGCTTCACATTTGCACTGAGATGTGCTTGTAAAGTTATTAAAAACCTTTAAATCTCTGCCAGCTTTTCTCCATTAACGGCCAGTCCCCTTGTTAAGTTTTTGTGCGTGCATGAGTGTGTGTTTTTGCTTAAAGTCAAAGCACAAAAAACAATGCAGGTTGCAACAGGAACGCCCTGACTATCCCATAAATAAGGCCTCAAGTGTTGTTACTCCTCTTCACTGAGGAACGGCGGCGTGCTGGCACGCCCCGACAGCGGGAAGCTCGGGCAGAGACTTGGACTGACGGCTTTTTTCACATAAATCGCTGTGAAGCGAAGCAATTTGCCCGGTTCGACGGCGAGCTCTGCTGCGATAGGTTGAGAGGGTGAATGAAAACTCATCTCACTTTGGTGCCATTTAGGCTTTTGGTGGCATTCTGCGGGCCGAGCGTATGTGCGCCGCACTGAAGTGCCAAGTTCAAAAACTCAGATCCTGTCTGCAGGACGGCCCTGGCCCGTCTCATTCAGCCACGACACAATGTGTCCCAAAGGCCTTGAGATTAGCTACAGCTTTAAATGCAGACGCCAAGTGTCTTTTTTATCCCTGTGTGTGTGTGTGTGTGTGTGTGTGTGTGTGTGTGTGTGTGTGTGTGTGTGTAGGTTGCTCCAGCACTTGACTGCGTTAACAGGCGGAGACATTAGTGCCGCACGGACAAAGCGGTGGCGTCCCTTTTCTTTCTTCTACAAGCAACGTCGCACAGGTGAGATTTAAATATAGAATAAACAGAAATGAGTCTTCCAAACGATTAAAGTAATAAATACCACGTTAAATGCGAAGTATAAATCCAAAAGATAGTAAAAAAAAAATGGATGGCAGGACAGAGAGGAGCCCCCAGGGGTCCCAGAGAGAAGTCCTGAAGTCCTGTTTGTTTTTGTTTTTTTAACTTACTACAGGTGAGCAGGAACCCCCCACCGCCAGAAGACACATGTCCCCGTGGCCCAATTAAAGATGGCCGATTTAGCTGCACGACGGCTCACGGTCACATTGTCGTGACTTACATGGAAATAGAACAGAGCCTCTGTTAAGTGTTACTGGTGACACCTGTGCTTCCCCCTCTGTGACAAGTTAAATGTCTCCTGTGAGAAAAAAGACACACTATGACGTAATATGAACTCTGTGCATGCATTATTCAATTTGATCTTCTTCTTCCACGGGATGAAAACAAAACGGTCGGGGTCCGTGCTGTTCCCCTCCAGCGGAGCGACCCGTTTAACATGCAGCACCACGTTGCAGAGGGCCTGAATGGACAGCAAACACTGAGGGCCCCTTTGTACAAGGACCTCATGTACTGAATCCTTAAAATAAAGTGGATTGAGATAGAAAGACAAACAAACAACGTCTACTACTCTAAAGCCATTAATGACATCCTGGGATAACTTTTTTTTCTTCAAATTTCTCAACGGTATTTTTGTTTTCTTCAGACCAACATGACTGATATTGCTGAAGCTAAACATTTTGTTCTGCAAAAAGCTCTGGAAATGTGTGTATACTTATTAAAAAAAGAAAAAGAATATAGAAAAATTAACTGATGAAGCTATTTATAAAAGCGAATGTAATATACACAAGTTTTGTATCAATTTGGGATTATTTAATGCTAATTGTTTCATTTTATATTTTATCAAACTTAAAAAAACACACACACACAAAGCAAAACGATTTCCTCACCTTTTTCCCAGTTGGAAGCTCGAGGAGTCCCGCGTCTTTCGGGGATGAACACAACGTTCCGGGAGTCATTTCTACTTTCGGTTATCTAGCTTTATGACAGGCATTTAAAACTCATACAGCTAGATAACCAAAGACAGAAACAGACCCCCTCTCGCGCTCCGATGAAGCCCGACGCCATGCTGACGGGATCTAGAAGCAGGATGAAGAAGTAGGCCTTTAATATAAATTAAATTATTAAAAAAAACACACACACACACACACACACATTTCCAGCGTGTTTTATTGGACTTGCGGGCCACTGAGGATGACAGCAGCCGGACACCATGTGACAGGAGGAGACTGATCACGTGTGTTGCACTTTAACACATCTTGCGTTGTTTAAAGAAGATCCAAATACTCCCTGTCGTGATCAGGAGTCTGGCTAAAGGCCTACTGATCACTGCCTCGTTTTAATCCACATGTTAAAGTCTTCGAAAACATAAAATGATTATTTAAAGATTTAGTAATAATAGGAAATCAGTCTTTTGCATGTACGGGTGTGTGGGAGGCACGTTGCATCGGCACGCCTCGCGATTGACACTCGAGTATATTTAAATATCGGAACATAGTGTTACATCATTGACAGCGTGTGCAGTATTCATTCTGAATGTTTATTAATGCCGTTTAAACTGATGAGGGAAGCATCAGAAATGCAAGCAGCGAATCACGTGTTCAGTTGAATTGAGAGAAGAAAAAAAAAATATTTCAGATGTCACACTGTTCCTTTTTACTGCAGGCCTGTAAATGTGCAAAACTACCCGCTGGACCAACTAATCTCTTTTACAAGCAGATTCACTGCCGTAAAATCAGATACAAGCATTCGAACTTGTACATGTTCTGCGTTTTTGACGTCATTGGATGATCACGAAAGGTCGGTGTGACCAAACCGGGCGGCCTGAACACATGACATGTGAAGGAAGAGCAGATGTGGCGGTCTGAGATCAACAGCTGGCCCAGTTTTTCGTTTTGTTTAAAATCTACTAAATGTGAATTGAGCCGGGCTTTAAGATGCTTTAATTCGCCCCCGGCTCTCTTTTGCTCCCGAAGGGGCAACGGATCCCCGACTTTTAATGAGAGCTGCGATTGGCCTACTTCTGCTGGAACTAGACTATGTCACATCTCAACGATCATCCGCATGAGCTATTACAGGAGCCAATTTATTACTGATGATAATAATAGACCGAAGAGCGCGCTGAAATATTCTGGCGTTTTAAAGAACAAGGGGACCAAACACGTGCCCTCGTTTTAAATGATCGGTTCAAAAACACGTTACTTAACGAAAAACAAAAAGTGAATGTCTAAAAGTCAGACTTAACATGCATCCCGTGCACAGCCCTGCGTGTGCATCACATGGACGCGGCATGACAAGAGGTCCAAAAAGCAAACGCCGTGCGTCTCCACAGCATCTCTTACCTCTTCCGTAGGCAAAGCGGACTCTGGGGAGAAATGTCCTCCACTTAAAGGTCCCAACCAATTGTCCCACACGGCTCCTCCTCTGCGTGGACATCGGGCCCTTGTGAGAGAGACAGAGGGTCCGCGCGAGTCTGCTCTCAGGTGAGTCCGCTCGCATCCTCAGTCCTCCAGCTTCTGCCTCTCCTCCAGGCTGCGCGCTTCCTCTACTCGCTCCCGCACTGACGTCATACCCGGAGCCGGACCAATCACAGGGCCCGCCGCGCCGCAGAGTGCGCGAGAGACGTCTCACTCTGGCTTTTTGTGGTGTTTCTTCACCGCCGCGACTACACTCCGCTGCTTGGTTGATGGTGACACTTTTGGTTATCGACATGGCGTAGCAATGTTAGGGACAAACCGCCTTTTCTGGAGTTTATTGTCAAATATTCCCCGGTTTACCCAGTTCTCGTGAACATTTTAGAAGTTATGATGATGTTATATGTATATAGACTCCAATCAGACCACATTGTGATCTAATATTTTATAAAAGCAATCAAAAAGGTGGACCTATTTTTACAATTCAAGAACCCAGCTAATTGCCTCTGCAGCTCCTCAGAAAAACAATTTTATATACCTCCTGATTTATGTTTGAAAATGAATGGTCCCACTGCCGTGTTAGACGCACAAATTGAAAGAAGATCAGCAACGCCACGTGCAGCGGAGGCCAACATGGTTTTTGGTGCCGATAAATTGCTACGGATTCATATTTTCATAACAGAAGTTACTATGAAGTTACTTACCATGGCCTTTGTGTGGCGGTAAGCGTGCACAGAGAGTGCACGGCACATATACTTCCCGCCCTATAGTGTGTGTTTGCTGCGACAGGTTGTCGCAGACTAGAAACAGGAGTGAGTCCTCTTCATCAATAGAGGATCTTTGAGCTCCGATCCGTTTGTATGTGAAGGTCAGGGGCCACGGACAAGCAGACTGTGTGATCAGTTCCCTCCAAATCTGTACCGGCAAGATAAAATTGTTTTTCTAAAGGATTTTACTGTGTGTGTAAAACCGGCTGGAAGTAAATTAAAATGCATTTGAGTCGTTCCGTTATGCGTATTAGCCCATTTTAATAGCAAACCTTAGCAGAAAGTAAAATACAATACTGTTAATAGTTTCTCTAAATTGAGCAATAAAGGCAATTTGAACTTTTTCTCATAACGGGTAGTCTGAATACGTTTTTATTCCAGTTGAGGGTTGGACAGCAAAACCACCCATATTGTTTTTTAAATGTAATGGTCTGTCAATTAGGCAGAAATAATTAGTGGATGAGAATTGCATTGAACATGGTCAGTGTAAAACTATTTGGAAACACAAACTAACGACAGATTGTAATCTGCATTAGGTCCTGCACATAAATTAATCAATATTTAATTAAAGACAAACAAATAAAAAAAACGTTTTAAATCAACTGCACTCTAAGATTGTTTTATTCGTGCTTTCTATTCCTTTGTTGATTTTTTTAATCACGTGGTGCATTCAGGCGCACATCACAACACGCAGACCTAACAGTTCTCAACTGTCGATATTTACATCATTCATTCTTTTTTATATGCCTAAAATAAATGAGGTTCCACGGCATTCCTGGTGCAACTTTTGGAAGTAATGTGTTTTTTTTAACAGGTTTTGAAAAAACACTTTGGGGTCGTTGCATCAGACTTGACCTTGTGTTCTCTAAAGCAGAGCTTTGTTAAAAGCAGCACACGTAATTTACACCAAAAGCTGGAAACACAGCTTGTAGTATATGCTTAAAAATATACTGCTTCTGAATTATTTCATGTCAACTGTATTTGCAGATAAGTGGTGTTCAACCAATGACAGTAGGAACAAATACAAATGCGCTCGTTTCTTTATTGACATTGTAGGCAGACTGATTCATGGGCAACATGTGAAGTGAAGTCAGCAGCATGTGCTATATGCACCAGGCATGCAGCCATTTAAGTAAATGCAGTTTGTGGGAACTTTGGAGATCAGGCAGCTCTCATCGTTCTGCTTTTTTATTTCTCTCTCTCTCGCTCTCTCTTTCAGACTCACAGCAGCCTAGTGGCTGTAAACGAGGAGGTCATCTTCATAGTATTCCAAAGATGATGTCTGGCTGGAAGAGGACACATTACAAGTGAGTTTATATTCAGTTTTAATGAACTCTGACACGTTAACAGAACAGCGATGAAGGCTGCAGTCAGTCACTCACACGCTGCAGGAGGTGCTGCCCTGAGAAGGAGCGGATGTCTGCCGGCTGGCCGTCCTCTCCTACTGCCTTGCAGCGTAGGTAACCATAGAGATTAGCCACTTGGAGGGAAATACTCGCAACCACAAGGGACTGGGGAAGGCACACGGGTTATACATTTAAAGAGGGATGTTTTATAATCATAATGTGCTTGCACACGAGCAGCATGTGTCTCACCAGCCATTTAATCTTCAGGGAGAAAAGGGAGATGAAGAAGAACAATGTCCATATGAGAGGGCAGATGATGAGACCCAGCCAAAAAATCCTCGCCTCTGCCTCTGTCCCGATGTCCTTGCCCAATGAGGCCTGCACACACACATGGATGCACAAATGTTAATTACCTCCATCCCCCCCGCCGCCCACACACACACACACACACACACGCACTTCAATGCAGAAAGTCTTACTTTTTTGGCCTCAAACACCCAGAGGCTCTTTCCGTCTTCGTCAATCTGATTCCACCAACGCAGGCCGACCAGCAGCCTGCCAGTCACATTCTGAAACCCAGGACAAGACATTGGGAGCGATCAAAGGGGAAATAAGAAAAAGGTCCTGGAGTTCATAACAAGACGAGAAAGGCACGAGAGGCACAGTCGAATCAGCTGCTGACTTGGATGACATCTCACCTTGACGGACCAGAAATCGAAAGAGAGCAGAGTGAGGATCAGCACAAAACATGAGGAAAAGCTCTCGCTGATCCAGTCGCAGAGTAAATAGGCAACAATGGCGACCACCCGGAAGAACAGGTGAAAAAAGGAGACGAGTGGGTGTCTGCAATCAAAGGCAAAGGATTAGAAAGGATTTAAAGACTTAAAATGCCAATAAGGCCTCTATAATTAAAGCAAGAAGACAGTTGTGATATTTGCTACTGCATATCTACACATCTGAGCACATTAAGAGGCAACGAGACTCATTCTGAATCACAAACAAAAAATAGCCACTTGTAAACATCTGAGAGAGGGTCATTCCTAATGGAGGTTTTGAGTCATTTAAATGACACTGGTGGTGACGAGGTCGGAAGCCGTCCCTTAAATCACTGTTGATGCCATATTTACAAAAACAAAATGTTCTCTGCAACGCAAACACACAGCCCCCATAGTGCACCTTATGACCGCGCTTCTCCGCGCACTCTCCTGCTCGTCGGCAGCAAAGTCCAGCTGAACATCCTCCGTGTCGTCCGCCATAGTCTGAGGAGCAACGACAAAACACAGCCGGAGTGAATCAGCCTGCAGCATCTTGATGGGATACAGACAACCACGATACTGTATATAGACAGAAAGCCTTCGCTACCACGGTGATGCCCATCGGTGTCATCATCGCAGACGTGAAAAGCAACGCGAGGACCTGTTTTCGGGGAAAGGCGTAGCGTTAGCTGTATTGCAGGGATGGAATAAACCAGGTGTTGCAGTGAATTGAGACCGACGCCCAGCCTCCCTCCGCGGTCATTAAATGCTCCGTCGTGTCAAGAAGCTCGGGCTAAAATTATTTTAAGGTCAAGAGGACTCCCGTAATGATGACAATGCCATTTACAGGCGACGACATGACCGCCTCGATATTAGGGCTAAAATATTTTCAAATAACAAAACAAAACGCAATGTTGTAAAAGAGCGACCGCGGCAGGACTCGAACCTGCAATCTTCTGATCCGAAGTCAGACGCCTTATCCATTAGGCCACGCGGCCAGTCGATGTGAACAGCGCAACAAGAGTAATTATACGAGTGTGCCCTACCGTTGCTTCTTCAAAAACATATCTAGTTGTTAAATACTCGTACACATACTACATGTTCCTATTGAGCAAAAGACAACTAAACCGTGTTGTTCATGTTATCATTTCTTTGTATTCCTAGAAACGATTTAGTCATCCGGACCGCGTGGAGGCGCTAATGGTTCGTCTTGCCTTTGATTCACTTCCTCGTGGCTTGAACACGCTGAATTAATAGTTTGTTGTGAAGAAGGTTGTACACACATTGTCGGCGTTGTACAGAAAGACACCTATCGGGTAAGGTGGGTTTTTTTGTTGCTTTCAGCGACAGCATCTAACAAAATTAGCGAGTGCAGGATTAAACGGGAATATTATTTAGATTGGCTTGTCACGAAATAGTAACACTCCCCTTCAAATATGGCAAACATGCGTTAGTTGGTTAATCATAACGTTGGCTTAAATAAGCAAACCAAATAAGGCGTGTGTGCATCTTAACGCCACGTGACTCTACGCTAAATCAAGCTAACGTTCAGCCCTGCAACTTATTCCCTGCGTTGATGCTTAAGTTTAGACTAAGTTGACCGTATATGAGGGAAATATCTGACACTGTTCTTTGAACAAGAACATTTCCTCCATTGAACACTATTGCACTGGCCATTGCATTATCTGTATCTACATTATGTCTTCTAGATTATATTAATACAGTTGTAGTTTCTCTAATAATATATATTTGCATCTGATCCCAGTTTGTGCCTCTCGTTTAGTTTTGGAGCTTAACAGTACCACGTCCAAAAATATTGATCTCCATGTCTTCCAGCTCCAGTGTGAAGTCCCTCACCAGGTGATGCTGCGTGTGTTGCACAGTCCTCTGCGGAGGACCCTCGTCTCTACTCGATGGAGGTGTCCACGCTCGCTCTACTGCACCACACGGGACTCTCTTCGGGCCGAGGGCTCCGCGGAGACCCGCCTCAACCCTCTTCAAATTCAGATGCTGTCGAGGAACCTCCACGACCAGATATTTCGAGGGCTGCAACCAGAGTACATCGAGGATGACGTGCAGCGCGGCATTCTGCACCTGCAGAAACATCAGCTGTGGGGGAAGGAGATTTCCCTTTTGCCCGAAGTGGAGCTGAAGCTGCCCCAAATGCACGGAAAAGATATTGACGAGCACTTTCGCATCCTGGCCCAGAAGCAGAGTCTTCCCTACCTGGAGGCTGCCACCAAGCTGCAGCTGGCCGATCTCCCTCCCATGCCGCGCGAATGGCGCTGGGAGGTGGGATGGACGCGCTACGGGCCCGACGGGCAGAGTCAGAAGGTGGATTTCCCCGAGGAGGAGGCCCTGGTGTTTGACGTGGAGGTGTGCGTAACGGAGGGACGGTGTCCCACGTTGGCCGTCGCCGTGTCTCCCACTAACTGGTGAGAAATGAGCAAGGAATATAAAGAGAGTTAAACGGGCGGGATTTATTAGCCTCACTGCGTGTGTAATAGATGGATATGGGTGTATATAAGACCAAGAGTTGCGTCTTTTTTTTCTTCCATTCCAGGTACTCCTGGTGCAGCAAGCGCCTAATAGAAGAGAGGTACTCCTGGTCCAACCAGCTGACCCTGGCTGACCTCATCCCCTTAGAGACGCCTATCAACTCTGCCCGCCCGCCCGGGGGTCAGTGGAAGGAGAGGCTCATAGTCGGCCATAATGTCAGTTTTGACCGATCCTTCATTAAGGAGCAGTACTTACTGAAGGTCAGTTTTCAGGGGCTGGTGGAATTTGTCCTGTTTTCTAAATGTTATGATCCTTGTTGCATAAATCTCATGGAGCAATATACCTGCCTGTGTTCATGGATGTACAGTTCAGAGAAAAAGGGTTTTCTTCTCTAAAGGGTTCTAAGGTACGCTTCATGGACACAATGAGCCTCCACATGGCCATCTCTGGTCTGACCGGGTTCCAGCGCACACTGTGGATGGCCAACAAGATGGGCAAAAGGAGGGGTCTTCAGGAGGTCAAGAACCACATTAAGAAAGCTGGACAGAAAAGGGAGGGTCCGATGGTTGGTTTCCACCACATTTCAGCTAGAACATGCACTATTTCATTCTTTTTTTGAAAGTGTTTTTTGATGATGTTTATGTGTGCAGGTCGGCTCCTGGGACTGGGTTAATATTAGCAGCATTAATAACCTGGTTGATGTACATGCTCTGTACGTGGGAGGGCCGCCACTCAAGAAAGAGGCCAGAGAGACGTTCGTGAAGGGCAGCATGACGGATGTCAGGAACAACTTCCAGGTTAGATGCTCATGACAAATGTTGTGTCAAATTGTCTCTTCTAATAGGCCAAATGTATCCTAAATCGACTTGCCTTGAAGTACTGACACACACATGTGGCTTTGCTGACCCCTTCAGGAGTTAATGCAGTATTGCGCCATGGATGTCGAAGCCACACATCAAGTCTTCACAGAACAGCTTCCACTCTTCATGGAGAGGTCAGCACATTTTCTATTTCCTTTTGAAACCAATTGATTGTCCATCCAATGTGACATTTGTACACCGTGCTGCATAATGACTCCCGTCGCTTTTATCTTCAACGAGGTGCCCTCATCCAGTGACGTTTGCAGGAATGCTGGAGATGGGTGTGAGCTACCTTCCTGTCAATCAAAATTGGAGGCGTTACCTGGAAGATTCCCAGGACATTTACGAAGAGCTCCAGAGGGAGATGAAGAAGTCTCTGATGAGTCTGGCGGACGATGCCTGCCAGCTGCTGCAGGACGACCGGTGAGATCACCTATTTATCACCATGTTTTTGGCTTGAGCTCATTATTTAATTACGGCTTTACGTGTGATGAATGAAAAGGACTATAGATGCGTGCATAATCTGTAGTTCCACAATGTTCTTACAAGATACAAAGACGACCCCTGGCTCTGGGATCTTGAGTGGGATGTTCAGGAGTTTAAACTGAAAAAAGAGGTAGCCAGCAAGAAGAAAGGCTCCAAAAAAACAGGCGAAACCAAAGCTGCTGCTACTCCTCCTCCAGACTGGGATGAAGGTACGTTTTATTTTTAAGATGGATAATTGTGGCTGACATTTTGTTTTAGGATAACAGAGATAAAGGTTTGAGTTGTTGTGATATTAGACCCGGGCCCACCCTCTGAAGAGGAGATGGCAGGTCCTTGCCCGAGCACGCTGGCTTTGGAGAAGCTGAAGGAAACCGTGAGTCGACTCCCTAAGAGAAGGCAACATCTGCCTGGACATCCAGGGTGAGTTGGGTCACTTCCAAGCAAAGCCATACAAATAATCATCAGTCCCTCAACCTCCTTACTGTGGCCTTCTATTCAGGTGGTATCGTAAGCTGTGTGAGAAGATGTCTGAGGAGGACAGCTGGTCACCTGGAGCCAACCTCATCAGTCTACAGATGAGAGTCACCCCCAAGCTGATGGGTCTGACGTGGGACGGTTTCCCCCTGCATTACACAGACAAACACGGCTGGGGCTACCTGGTTCCTGGACGCAGGGACAACCTGGTAGCCGAGGAGGGAAGCTCGGGCCCCGTGTGCCCACACAGGTAGTTGATACACTTGTGCTTGCACCATCAAGGCAATAGGATGTGTGTGTGTGTTCATTGAGGAGGCGGCGGGGGGGTGTTGTCCCATTCCACAGAGCTATTGAGAGTTTTTACAGAGAATATTGTGAGCGGAACAGCAAAGTGCAGCCTGAATATCCTGACTGCAACCCTGCAGATGACCTCATGTGGACAGACGGCACACTGTGGGCAAAGGTGCGTACGCGTAGTCACTGTTTAGAAAAAACGAGGTTTCTCATAACTTCAGATTGTTCCTCATAACCATAAACCATTTAGATGATGTAAAGTATAGACTGGTGCCACGGCTAGTAGCTAGATGCTGCGTGACCTTTCATCTTAACGTTTAACGGTATAAAATAAATGTTGAATCCTCTGATTGTGCCGCATTGAGCAGGACCGAGGGCTCTGGAATGCTGACGTTTATCGCGACATTGTTGTGTGTTTCTTAACCCCACACACATCAAGGTGGAGGAGTTTGGGTCCTGGGAAAGTCTCACGGAGGAAAATGGAGTCAGAATGATGAGAAATGGGGATAGTAAGAAAAGCATGGTGAGTGAAATGATCGTTGTCATTTACTCTGACTTTGTAATATGAACACCTTTTTCTTTATTTTAATTCATATTATAGCCTTGTTAACACAGAACAGCACAAGCCGCTCTGAAATGGAGCCTTTTGTTCCCGAAATTGAACATTAGTGGAAGGGATTTGCATTCTGTATTAACCGCAGTCTCCGGAGCCACATCGTGCCCCAGAGGAGAGCCGCTGCCATTATCACCACGGAAACGGTCCCTACAACGATGTAGATATCCCAGGGTGCTGGTTTTTCAAATTACCTCACAAGGTGAAGTTTCACTGTTCTACCTACAGCGCCCTGATTGCTGACATCAGTGAATTGCCTTCATGGTCTCACTGGACGTGTGTGTGTGTGTGTGTGTGTGTGTGTGCGTTTCAGGACGGCAATAACAACAACGTTGGCAGTCCCTTTTCCAAAGACTTCCTATCCAAGATGGAGGACGGTACTCTCCGGGCCGGACACGGTGGAACCAACGCCACACGAGCTCTGGAGATCAACAAAATGGTGTCCTTCTGGAGGAACGCCCACAAACGTATTAGGTACCTCCTCCAGTTCCCCGCCGTAGTTGTTCATCTGCTTGTCATGAAGACGGCGCGTACAGGACCTCACCGTGTCTTTGTAGCTCTCAGATGGTGCTGTGGCTGAGGAAAGGAGAGCTTCCTCGCATCGTCAGCAGGTTTGTCGCGTGCGCACCGACGGCTGCACTCATTCGTCAGCCATAAAGTGGGGGGGGGGGGGGGGGGGGGTGGTAAGCCAGCGCTTTGTATTTAAATACCTTTTGGTCTCCCGAAGACACAAAGAGTTCGATGAAGAGGGCCGGTGTGGTGCCATATTACCTCAAGTCATCACTGCGGGAACGGTAACGCGGCGAGCCGTGGAGCCCACGTGGCTGACTGCCAGTAATGCACGGGTAAGAAGCCGAGCCGACTAATAGAAACGCCTCAGAGGAACAGTGTCTTTTTTGACGAACTGTTTTGTTTGTGTGTCCGTAAGCGGGACCGGGTCGGCAGTGAGCTGAAGGCCATGGTGCAGGTTCCACCTGGATATCACCTGGTGGGAGCAGATGTAGACTCCCAAGAGTTGTGGATTGCCGCTGTGCTCGGAGAGGCTCACTTTGCTGGAATGCACGGTGAGATTTGTCCCCCGTTCTTTGACACCACGATATTAACGTTGTAGAAGGAAACGCATACTTTAAAGACAACGGGTCACAGTTTGGGCAAAGAGGCGTGCAAGGTTAACGGTGCCCCCCCCCCCCCCCCCCCACGGGGGAGGTTGGACGGGGTTTGGCTGGAAGACCCTGCAGGGAAAAAAAAATCAGGGCACCGACCTGCACAGCCGCACCGCCGACACGGTGGGCATCAGCCGAGAGCACGCCAAGGTTTTCAACTACGGACGCATTTACGGCGCGGGTCAACCCTTTGCCGAGAGGCTGCTGATGCAGTTCAACCACCGCCTCGATCAGGCCGAGGCCGCCAGCAAGGCCAAGCAGATGTACGCGTTGACAAAGGGCACACGCAGGTACGCTCGGTAGTTGCGGCTTTGAGTTAAGATTTCATATTTTTTATCAGGTTCCATTTAAGTAGAGTACTGGTGCTACGTGTTTGATCAGATACCGGCTGTCGGAGGAGGGCGAGTGGCTGGTCAATGAACTGGGTATAGAGGTGGAGGCGGAGGACGATGGGAGCGTCACCCTGCAGGAGTTGCGGAGGATCACCCGTCTGGCTTCGCAGAGGTGAGGGGGGCGAGTAACTAAGCGCTTGGACTCGGGCGAGCTCTTTTACCGTCACTAGATGTCCCCCCTGTCGTCACCCCCATAGCTCGCGGCGGAAGAGGTGGGATATGGTCGGCAAACGGCTGTGGGCCGGCGGCACGGAGTCCGACATGTTCAACAAGCTGGAGACCATCGCGCACTCTGCCCAGCCGGCCACTCCGGTCCTGGGCTGCAGGATTAGCAGAGCGCTCGAGCCCGCGGCGGTCAAGGATGAGGTGAGGATGTTAATGGCCTTTTTATTGATTTCTTTTAGAGAAAATATGACCATCAAAACAAACGCCCCAGCAGGATAAGGTCTAAATTAAGACGATGCCATATTCTGTTTTAGTTTATAACAAGCAGAGTGAACTGGGTGGTCCAGAGCTCTGCGGTGGACTACCTGCACCTCATGCTGGTGGCCATGAAGTGGCTCTTTGAGGAGCACGACGTCGATGGCCGTTTCTGCATCAGCATCCACGACGAGGTGCGGTACCTCGTCCGCAGTGAAGACCGCTACCGAGCGGCGCTGGCGCTTCAAATCACAAACCTGCTTACGAGGTCTGCTATTTTATTTATTACCCCGTTGGAATTTTCAACTTTTTTTTATTATGGACTAGGCAATAAAAGCTTGTGTCCCCTGCAGGAGTGTGTTTGCCCATGCGTTAGGCCTGCAGGACCTTCCCCAGTCAGTAGCTTTCTTCAGTGCAGTGGACATTGACCAGTGTCTGCGGAAGGAGGTCACCATGGACTGTGTGACCCCCTCCAACCCCACGGGTCTGGAAAGGAGATACAACCTACCACCCGGTAAGTCCTGCACGCCGTCATCAGCCGGGAGTTAAACGTGTCTTTTAACGGGTTGTAATATGTATTTTTCCAAATATATGATATGAAGAATGTGCTTTAAAAACAGCAGGGTATGTTACGGATAAAATACTTGCAGGTATCAAAGCAATATTTCTGTAAATTAATCAATTTGTTACCTTACAGAGCTGTAAGTGACATGGCAGAAAAGAGTGAAATGACATACAATGTAGCTTATCATTTAAGGGAATTAATCAAACATATCTGATACCGGTCAGTGGTGGTAACATTCCATGCAAGATGTGACATTAAAAAGAAAAAAAACACTTATTAATAAATTGAACTGTAAGAAAACCAAGTTCAACAAACTTTGTGCAAACTTTCCACAGGTGAGGCATTGGACATTTACCAAATCCTCAACGCTACCAAAGGCTCTCTAAACAAAGGGAGATAGGACCCAACTGCCGGGACAAGATCCGGGAGGAAGCCGCAGGTGTGCGATCCAAACCGAGTTGAGCCTCGGCTCACTGCTTTCTCTTCTTCTGACGGGGTTCTTGTGTCTCCTCGGCCTCCTGTGACACGTTGGCCTGAAAATAATCCAAAGAAAAGACTTGACGAATTGATCTGAGCCAGCGGAGTGTGTGTTAAAAAAGGCACAACAGAGGGATTCAAAACCTCCCACGTGGGGAGAGACGGAGGACAAGTCCGCTTCAGTGACTCGTGTGATCAAGTAAAAGAAGCCCGCACTTACCTCCTGACTGGTGTCCTGCTCTTGTAGCGCTGCGTCCAGAGTGGCAGAGTTGATGCGGAAATCCCTCGAGGTGCTCAGCTTCATGTACTGCATCAGGTTTACCTGGACAGGCGTGCACTCGTCAAGCGTTTTGTTCCGTGGTGTGTTGTACGACTCTCTTCATAGCATTCGGTTAAGCACCACAGGCAACGTAGTTCACACAAACCTTTGATTTCTTTGAGAGTGTGATGAGGTATTTTTCATACTGCTCAATACTGAAGATCACGTTCGGGATGGCCTTTGTCTCACGGAGAAGCTTTGCCTAACGCGCAGAAAAAAAAAAAGAGATTTTGAATGAATCTATTGAAAATGTAGATTTGTTTGAGGTCCACATGTTACAGTATATCGTTAATCACATTATAGGAGGGAGATCCTTACAGAGGGAGCAGCGTTCACTTCATTTCTTTTCTTTTTCTTCTTGTCATCTGCTCCTCCACCACCGAATTCTCCGTTCTAATAAAGAAAACAGTTTTTTAAAAATCAACCGTCCCCTGTGGAAAAACTACTACCAACGTAAGGGAGATTAGGGTTTGGTGTAACCCTAAAGTACCTGTGCATACGTGATGAAGGAGTAGCACTGCGGAGTGAGGTGGGAGCCCGACAGTTTGACCTGGAGAAGAAGAAAAGAAAACATGCTTAGCGAGACTAATTGAAGTATTAGAAGAGCCAAGCGAGAGGAAGGACACCTCCGACTCACCAGCTTCTCAAACCGCGCCGGCAGTGCACTGTGCTGGCTGGCACACGCCTGGATGTACTACAATGACATGTGGGGGCGAGAAAAAAAAAAATCAATGTCACCCCAGATGACAAACTTTACATTCAGCCGGCGATGACGGAGGGGGAGGCATGGCATACGTATTTGACCAGGGTGGTGAGGGTGGTGTATGTGCGACTCAGTTCCCGCAGCAGGGTGATGGTGCAGGTCCCGGGCAGCAGGGCCGTCTGGACCAGCTCATTTAAAGCAGTCAAAAGGGTCCCGAGCTGCAGCGTCACGGCTTTCTCTGTTGGGTCCTGCTGGCCTGCGGTCTGGGTGGCCTCGCCTACACGTCGGGAACGCAACGCAAGTTTTATTACCTCGTCCCCCCCCCCCTTTTTAACGCTCCCCATTAATCCCAATTTAGCAGCCGCGTCAAAAGGTGTTGTACCAGCAGCAGATTTGTCAGAGGACGTCCGGCTTTTCTTTCTGGCAATCAGCCAGTCCACTTCATCCAGCACTCTGTCCACCTGAGACAGGACCAGCAGCTGGGGACGAGGGATTCAAAATGATGAAGCGCGATGGGCACACTGCGCGAAAACGGATTGTGATGTCATCGGAAGCTTCCGCTTGTCGAGCAAACACTCACCACTCCCGCCGTTGCAGTCTTCATGTTGATGATGGCAAAGTGAGACTGTTTTTCCACCTCAACATTCTGGCCACAGACAAAGAAAGGTATAAGAATGACATGCTCATTTTGACCCCCAGCACCAGAAGGTTCCCACACAGTATTATTGCAGAATGTAAATCAATGATGTGTGTAATAGCAAAAACAGTGATTTTAGATGCGCCAATTGGCCACATTTTGAATCCCTGCAAAAATGCCAAATCGCTTGTACTCTGTAATTTTGTGTACCTCATCAATATCTCCAAGTTGGCTGTGGATGTCTTGGCACAATTCCAGCAGCAGGCTTACAGGACTCTTGTAGAGGACATGCAGGTTGAAGAGCAGGGTGAGCAGCCCCTTGGAGAAAGCCGAATCCTCTGTACGAGACAAGCAGACGGATCTCAGCACACCCGGCGCTGCACGTGCACGCAAATAAGTAAACGGTCACTCACCAAAACTGGTCTCCTTGCAGATCTTCACGGTCCAAGTGATCATCTGTACAAACTGTAGATGGAGGTGCGTGTTAGGGGGGCGGGGGGTGGGGCAGGTGGTACGGAGGATGCTGTGTGAGGTGCAATTAGGAGTACAGCTACCTGCTGGGAGGAGGGCTTCAGCTGGCGTGAAAGCACACACAAGATGCTGACCAGCAGCTGAGCCTCTTTGCTGTTAAATTCTTCCTCCCCTCGGCTTAACTGTGTGAAGAGCGCCCTCTGTTGGCAGGCAAAGAAAACCCACTTGTGAAATAACGTTTAAAGCCCGGCTTCTGAAATGACCATCTTTTGAAATAAGTAGAGGGGAGAAACCAAATTCGTTCTCTGTGGGTGTACCTGAAACTGTCTGATGTAAAAGAAGTTCATCTCTGTAACGTTGCTTTCGTCCGGCTCGGCGGCGTCCTCAGACATTTCTGTGGGGGGGGGGGGAGAGAAACAAAAAACAATGACTTCCTGCGTGCCGTTTGGACGTGCGGCGTTTGCTTTTTGAGAGCGGTGGGTTTCGAACCCATGGAGGAGAGAAGCTGGGCCATCCTGTCCGGGTAGCGCTGCTGACAAGCAGTGAAGATCCTGAGCAGACCTTCCAGACACACCAGGGACAAGCTGGAGCGCTTCTCCTTCTTCCCTGCGTCCTCCACACCGCTGGGGATGTTGGTGTAACGCCACAGCAGCACGCTGGATTGCGCAATGACAGACCTCTCGTTGGACAAAGGCAACAAACGCATAAACGGGGTTTAACCAGGAGCTGTCGTTTTAGGCGGGAGTGAGTTCTACCTCGTTGTGTCACAGAGGAAGCGGAAAGTTCTTTCTGCGTTCTGTCCATCTGGCCCGTCCGTGTGTCCCGTCTCCTCCAGCTGCTGGATCTTCTGTACGGCCACATTCACGGCGTAACGCACAAACTCTCCACTTGAGCGGAGCACCGAGAGGGCCTCCTCTCTGCTCTGAGTACTGTCCCTGAAGAAGAAAACAACGAGAAAACCCACCATCCATTTCATTCTAGCAATTATTATTGTGTGTTTTGGTGTTGCCAACTCTACCCCTGATTCAGTGCACGTTCAATAAAATGCTATTTGTATATTTCAAGCACTTCAAGTTGGTTTGTTTACTTTTCATTTAGATCAATGCTATACAAGATGTGCTGTGTACATTGTGGTTTCACTCAATACAATCTGATCTATAGATTCAGACAGCGCCTGTGTGCGAACATCATTACCGGAATAGCCCAGTGAGGAGAGTTGATACGAAGCCCAACGAGAGTAAACTGCGAGGAATCTTGTTTGAGAGCACTCGAGCCTTCCCAGATTTCTCCTTCAGGATCTCGGCCAGTTTGTGGTAGCGGTTGAACAGCTCCATGAGCTCCTCAAAGCGGCTCTTGCTGCGACACACAGAGGTGGAGGCACGCAGACCATCACGTTAACAGCTGCTACGCAGCGAGGAGCGTAATCGTACCAGGAGAAGGGGGTTGTTACCTGTAGTTGGCTTTGATGAAGTTGTGCTCCATGAGGACCTCGTACACTCCCATCACCAGCACCGCATAGATATTGTTTTTAACCCCAACACTGTTTGCCGTGGAGAACTCGGCCGACTTGTCCTGACACACAGACATTAAATGACTCAAGACGGTGCTTTTAGTGGAACAACATCATCTGGCACGGTGAGGGACAAGAGCGAAAGCTGTGCGTGAGAAACACTGGTAGTAGAGATCAACTAATAGACAATTCAAGAAAGAAAAATGGCCAATTCATTCTTAAGGAGAAGTGATTATTTGCCCCTTGCTTTTAAATCTAAATCAAATTTTTGATAGTCTAGTTGAACCTTTTGAAGCCCTTACATCTGCTGTCGATTGCAATGTAAGCTGTGTACTTTTCTCGAATGCATACCAGCTCAAAGTCCTCTAGTTCACACTTGATCATGCGTCTCGTCATGCTCTCTAGGACTGCCTGTATTTCACACTGGTATCCCTCCCCTTCCTCTTCCTCCTCCTCCCCGTCGTCAGCGTTGGTGTTGGCCGATTGGCTGTTCTGCAGCCACAGTAGGCAATGCACAGTGCAGCTCAACAGGTGGGCCTGAAATGGAACAAAAGCGTATTTATATAAAAAAAAAAAAAAGGTACCGACGTGGCACAAACAGGCAGTAAAGTGTAAACAGAGGCAGAGTACCAGCGGCTCCTGCAGGTAGACCTGGTCTCCGATTGCCGTGATGCACGGCTCCAGTTTCACCGGGGGCAGGAGGTCTTGTTCGGGCTCGTAGTACCGCCTCAGCTAGAGAGACAAAGACGTGACATACAGAGAACGCGACAAACATGGCCGTCGTACCGAACGCGGTTTACGAGCACATACCTGCGAGAGGAGGGTCTGCATGACGGAGCTCCCGAGCTGAGAGTTGCGACGGAGGACGTCGTAGAAACCCTGAAAACGGTTGATGATTCGCCTTCTTAGTAGATTTCTTTACAAGCACGAGCGCGCATGCAATTGGCTCACGGTGGCGTAAAACAGGTTAAGCGCATCAAAGCAGCACGGGAGACGTCTAACCTCGTAGAGCATGAGGCGAACGTCGGCCTGCTGGCCGAGGCAGCGGCGCAGGCTGCTGAGGATCTCCAGACAGAACGCCTCGTTGGCAGCCGAGTTGTAGCGAGCGTGGACGTCCACTTGGATCTATTCAGGGTTTCAGGCAGACATACTGTCCCTGGATGTCTGTGTTTTGTCCATCGTCCTCAGAGATATTGACACAACTGTACCTGACTAGAGGAGACGGCCTGGCTACACTGGCTCGAGGCCAAGCTGCCCAACACTTTGAAGTTCTTTAGCAGCAACAAGAAGCCGGTCACTGCAGACTTCCTGCCATCCAGTTGGCTTGCAGAGAGTAATATGGAGGAAAGAAGCGGGTAAGAAGGCGATCGAATTTGCTTACGAAAGGAGGACGATTCATTGAATTGTACTGATGAGTCTCATCTGACTCAAAGAAGCTTCGCCCACCTGGAAAACATGGCCTTGCGGAGAACTAGAATCAAAGCATCTTTCAAAGACATGCTGACCTTGAGCAAAGGCTGCAAAGTAAACAGAGAAAGATTATCAAACTAAATCAACCACTACAATGTGTGTGTGTGTGTCAGTTTATTTACCTGGATGGCTTTTAGTAGACCCTGAACAGTGGTCAAAGGCAGGTATGATAGGTGGTCAAATGTCTCGGTCACCTTAGAAGATGACTCCAGGAGGATCATGGGAGCAGAAACCACAATGTCAGAAAAAAGATCTAAATGATGCAGAAACAAAGACGAGAATAAGTCAGAATGTAATCTCTAACCAGACAGACACTGGTGTACACCAGAACACTCCTGTACGCCTATATCTAAAGATGGTCTTACCTAAGTAATTATTGACAGGCGAGGCCGTCTTTGAGACCAATCGATTCAGGACCTGGTCCAGTATCTCGCCTCTGATGGGCTCGTGCACCTGTTGGAGAAGAAACGCACATCCTTCAGCGAGAAAACCATATAATGAGGTAGTCAATTATGAAAAGTTGACCTGGTTTATTCTATAACATCAAATAAACAAATACCTTAAAGCCCTGCAGAAGCACTTGTCCTCCCAGCTTGCATGCCTGCTGATTAGGGGTCCGGGCTATGCTAGCAGACCCTTCAGTGGTCTTGCCAAACGGTCCAGGTTTGGGTCCAAATGCATCCATAAGGAAGAAGCCCAGCTGAACCAGACCTTGGGTCACATGATCCCAACCAAACACACTGCAGAGGCGGAAGTATAGAATTTGTGTGTTGATGCTGAAGTGGTGAATATCACATATTTGTATAGAAAATTGTAAGACGTGCAGTTCTTCTGTTAAAAGGACTGAAGTTGGCTTTTGAAGCGCTGACCTGTTCTTGACTGTGTCAAGTATCATCTGAGCCACACTGCAGTGACCAGGCAGGAGGTCCTGCAGGAACTTTGACCCCTGCTGCAGTTGCTCATCCTTGAAGCTCTTGATGATCGCCCCTTTCAAAAGGTCAAACACCTAAACAAACCAGAGAAAGGACAAATGTACGGAGAAGATCAAATAAAGAAATACTCCAATGAGTATCGGGAAGCATGTATAGGATTCTCACCTGCTCTCCATAACGCTGGACGCGTGCCACTGAGAGCAACAGGGCAACGCTGAAAGGGCATAGATCCCCGTATGATGTCTGCAGACAAAGATGCATGGCATTAAAATAGAGTTATGCATTTTTCAGAAATAACTTAATCTACAGATGAGCCATTACAAACCTTAAAGCTTTTAAGGAATTCTCTGCCGAGTTCATGGTCGAGTCGTATAGCAAAGACTATGTGGAGGATAGCAGTGCCCTCCACATGCCTCAACTGGTCCAGTGGAATGGACTGAACCTCCAGGTCCAGGCTCCTGAGGAAGGAACGGTGAAAAGGAACGATCAGCAGTGAAAAGTGGGCAGTAAGATTCAGAGTGAACGCGGTGTGTTCCACTTGCAGTGTACGAGTCACTCACTCTCCAAGTTTCTGCTCCTCCTCCTGGCAGACATCTTGTTCCTTAAAATAACAGATGATTCCATCCAGGACCTGTTTCTTACAACCCTACGAGACAAAGGTGCAGTGCAGGTCTTTAGATCATTAATGCAAGCAGGAAAGATGATCCCCTATTGTTTCGTTTTACACACACGCACACCAACCTTTGCAGATAAAAGCAGCAGTTGATAAACCAGTGGTGGGATCTCCTGCAGATCCAGCTTGGTGAACATCCGCAGTACTTTCTCCACCACAAACTGCAGCTCCTCTGATGACAAGGGCACATCCCTGAAAATTAGAGAGGGCCAAAACAAAACTACGGTCAACATTGCTATATGCTCTAAAAAATATTGAAAGCATTAAGAAAAAGTTGTATTGCTCTGTGGGAGATGGAATAGAATGTGGTGGTTCGATAGTCAAAAGGTCTTACCTGAACATGGTCGTCAGGTGGATCACACATTGCGGGTCCCATCTGCATGAAAACAAACACGTCACTCTTACAACTACTTGTTAAAGATCCATACGGATCTCAAATATTTCATCCAAGAGAGGTGATTGGACGCAGCGTATAGGCTCAATACCTCTTCAGTTTGAAATACGAGACGTGCTCACCTGCTTGAGCAGAGGCTGTTGATCAGCTGCTTCTTGTATTCTCCGCCACTGAGTTCGCCTAACGGTACCATAAAACAAAAAGCAACCACAACAGACGGAAAAATCATCACATTCCGATACGCATCTTGTAGCTTTCTTTCGGATGCAACATCTAACAATAAAGTTACCGGCGTGTGTATTTTGCACTCACCTTTGCCATAAGACAAGGCTTCACATGCCGAAAGGGCGGTGAGCACAGTAGGAAATAGCTCCAGGGATTTCCCACTGCCCATTTTCCCCGCCTTAATGGCTTCAACATAAAGAGTCGCCAGTTTTGCAAGAGACGTTCCGGGCAGCGTGTGAGTCTGCGTATAACAATTATGAGGGGAAATGGCGATTAGACGGATGACGTGAAAGGGCATGTGTGCAATCCTTAATTGGACTGATCGGGCAGCAAGTACAGGATGTTGTATGTCGTGTATGTTGTATGCTGTAGCAAATGAGCGGTTAGCTCTTGACTGGGTATATAAAATTCTCATTCAAAAGACACTTTTGGAGCCAAGTACAATCACAATTGCAAGAAATGTTTCGCTTTTATACATGCAATTAATCAATAATTATTAACAGATCGTACCTCCAGCATCAGCAGTCCAATGATATCAGCGGCCACCTCAGTCTGAAGATCCCCAGACTCACACAGAGGGATGCAGTGCTGATAAACAAGGAGTCTGCGGTTTGACCCTTCAGGGGAACCTGGCGCGGAGCCTAAAATAGAGCAGAAAATGTAATCATATATATATATATATATATATATATATATATAAAATCACAGGATTCTGAAAATACATGTGTACATTAGACTGTTGTGATCTGCAATGCTACTTACCTTTGAATATGCCTTTAATCATGGCACCGACCTTCTTACTCTTCAGTGCGCCGTTGTTAATCACAGTGGTCAGCTAGAAAGCAGAACAAGTTTGTTTTTAGTAATTACAGCATTTGGTGGGTTGATGAAGTAGGTCAGCGTTCGTTACCTGGTCATCTGTGAGCGTGGACAGGTACTTCTGGAGTTCAGTACTGTCCCCGTCTGACAGCGCGAGGATTTTATCCATTTCGGCTGGTTAAAACGTAACGCGAGAGAAGGGACTTGAACTCCCTCGCTGTTACTGAGTTACTCAGTGCGAACCAACGAAACGCACAAATTAAACGCTAGGACGTTAGTTCACGAGTGTTTAGCTCATTTGCACGAATGGGATCGATTGAATTAAGTGAACTGCGTCATCAAAGTTCAAATCGAGAAATAGGCAAAGTCAAGCACCTCAGTAACGTCGGTGACGCTTGCGTAATATCAAAGATGCAGTAATAAAACGAAACTCCCGCCAGCGCAAACTTCCTGATAGGCTTTTTGGTTGCCAGGTTTGGCTCAAAATATGCCCCAACGCCGTGAGCATAATATTCCATTAGACCGTATCATAACGACAGTGAAAAAATATATAATATAATAAATTATACTTATATATAATAAAATAAACAAATGTAAAGCTAGAATCCAAAATGTCGAATGAAATTAGGAATATAAACATTTTGTAAAAAAACGGTATTTTTGCAAACCTGCCAACCTGGTTTACAAGACACGCCCATATCCGCAATGTTCGTGGTGTGGTGACGCTTACCCACTCTATTATATATTTTTATTTTTTGACTCAATAATATAAAACCAGATTTGTAAAGTACTGGAACACATTACTTAATAGCTTGATGGTGCAAAAATCAGGAATCTCAAAAATCTCATTCACAAATTGGTTTTACGACCGAATGTCCTTTGACAATATTTATCAATAGCCGTGCATTAATATGTATATGTTATGAATATATGATTAATTTATACATACATATATATGTAACGGAGTAAATTGTCAGTATTGTAGCTGTTTAATGTAATTTAAGTAGTTATAACCGTGTTGTAATATCAGGCCCATGCCTTAAATAGCAGAAGATTATCTATCTGATTATCTTAAAATAAGCAAAAAATATGCAAACAAAAGGAGAACTGTTTCATCTATAGAACGCTGCCATGTTTTCACGTTATTCCAGGTGTGTCACGTGTCTTTTGTATATCAAATGTACTGAAACGCCATCTTGATTACACGGGGTACCCTCACTGATAACTCCAGAACTACCGCTCCACTCGATGTGGATTTAGTCATATACACATATATATGCATACTGTAAACCACACGACACAGCATTTGAATTTGAATTTAAGTACTTTCTACTATTAATACTTTAACAGGACGGGCTAGTGGCGCAATGGATAACGCGTCTGACTACGGATCAGAAGATTCCAGGTTCGACTCCTGGCTAGCTCGAAGTTTTTCTTGCCAAATATATTATGCTATTGATAAAATATATGAAGTAGAACCTACATGTAATTAATATTTTAGTATAATAAGACGACCATAGACCACTTCTTACACACAGATAGTGCTGGAATGTTGGAATCACATTGCTGGCGCAATTCCAACAAGAAAGAGCCAATCAGGTTGTATTAATGCGTCCCATCACCCTGTGTGACTCCCCCGTCACTATTGTGGATTCCTTCCGTTTCCTGGGCTCCATCATCACCCAGGACCTCAAGTGGGAGCTGAACATCAGCTCCATCACCAAGAAGGCTCAGCAGAGGCTGTTCTTCCTGAGGCAGCTGAAGAAACTCAACCTGCCAAAGGCGATGATGGTCCACTTCTACACGGCCATCATCGAGTCCATCCTCTGCTCCTCCATCACCGTCTGGTACGCTGCAGCCACAGCCAAGGACAAGGGCAGGCTGCAGCGTGTCATCCGCTCTGCAGAGAGGGTGATCGGCTGCAATCTGCCGTCCCTGGAGGACTTGTTCGCTTCCAGGTCTCTGAAGCGAGCTAAAAAGATCGCGGCCGACCCCTCCCACCCCGGACATAAACTGTTTGTGCCCCTTCCATCTGGCAGGAGGCTGAGGTCCATCAGGACTACGACCTCCCGCCACACGAACAGTTTCTTCCCGTCGGCAGTCGGGCTCATCAACAGAGCCCGGTCCCCCACTGCCTGACTATAACACTCCACCGGTCACTCCCCCTCACACTGCACATGCCACTTTAACTGCAATTCATCACTTTGTCACTTGTCACTTTGTCTCTTGTCTGTTACTTGTTTGTTAGTGCACTTTATGCTTAATACTTTTCTTTTTAACTTTTTAATATTTAAAATTTGTTTAACTTTATTCCCTTGTTTTTTTACTAACCCATAGCCTGAGCCTTATTCTTACTAACCCATTGCATTAGCATTTCATTCCACTTTATTTTATTACCTGTGCACTGTTGTCTTGTCTGTCTACTGTCGCGCACTAACCGCCAAGACAAATTCCTTGTATGTTTGACATATTTTGGCCAATAAATGTTTCCTGATTCCTGATTCCTGATTCAGATCCGTGCGCCTGTCAACAAAGGGGACTCTTGTTAGTAACCAAAATTCCACCCAATGTATTTTTTTGGGCAAATCAGCGCATTTATCGTTGCCAGGCTTCGCCCAAATAACGTCAAATAAGAATTGACCTTTCCAATGCTTCGAAAATAATGTGGTTTCTCTTTATTTTATAATCATTTTAGTATGTTGCTTGAGTTAAGATGAAAAATTTCCATTGTATTCTGCAAATCGCCGTTTTTTACTGTACTCTTAGTCACTATGTTAGCCTCATGAAAATTATATTTTTTCATATTTAACTGGATGATTCTTTACTCGATTCTTGCCGTGATATTAGTAATTCTAGTATACTAAAATATACATAACCCCACTGCTGGTCTCAGATGTGACACGTGTTATAGTACTTGGAATACATTTTTCATCGCTTGTGTAACTTATTTGCAATGCTGGATGTCAAGAATGATTCCTACGTAATGATAGCAACACACCGCCATGAGTCCTGGGAAGACCAGCGGAGGGGGATAAAAAGTCGCTACGCTGTTTACGTGCGCTGACGTGACGTCATCGGGGCGGTTTCTGCCCATGCTCACCGAGCGGCAGGGAGATCGGCCCGACTGCAGCCGATTAGATGCCTCGCAGTGATGTAACGTCGCCTGCTCGGTGACTACGGATGGCTGTCTGTGCCAGGCTCTGCGGAGTGGGTCAGTCGCGGAGATGCCGGAGGCGACAGCGGCATAACCAGCAGGACCAGGGCAGCGATTCGGACATGGAGGAGGAAGAAGAGGAGCAGATCGTTGGGCCGACGCAAGGCGACGGAGGCGCAGCAGGCGCCGCCGCTGCTGCAGGGCCGAGTGTTGCTCGTGAAGATGGCAGCTGTCATGTCAACAGAGCAGGCGCTCTGGATCGCGGCGGCACGGGACCTCCGCGCCCGCAGTCGTTAGCGGATTTACCGCCGGAGCTCCTGGTGGAGATATTCTCCCTGCTGCCCGGAACAGCGCTACCGAGTGTCGCCCTCGTAGGCAAGAAATTCCGACAAATCCTCAACACAGAAACCATCTGGAGAAGGCGGTGCATGGCAGGTAATTATAGCGACGGCTGCACGTACAGATAGTGGAGACGCTCACGCACACCGTTTGAATGCGCGCGCCCCCCCCAAACATGAGGCAATATATCTGTGCACCAGACCGGGGAGATTCCTTTCTGTGAACAGGTTATTCGTGCCGCGGTTACTCCGAAGTGTGTTTGCTTAAAAGCATTTTTATAGATCCGGACGGGAAGCGTAGAATACATTAAGGTTAACCCAGTCACTGCTGTGCACACGGGCCAAGGTCTCTCTCTGTTATGAGGCCTGTGTCAGCCATTCCGTGCAGCTGATAAGATGTTTCCGCGGGTGGGACATGACCTTTTGGGGGCCTCGAACATTAGTTTTGAACGGTTTTGTTCTGACATATGTATGAGACTGCCCTACTTGGGACAAATGTGTCTAATAATCTGTACATAATACAACACAAATACTGTGAAATAATATTTGTAATAATTTTAACAATCAGTTCATGAAAATATGATAACATGTTTTTATCTGGGAAATGCAATTTTGTGTGATGATATACTTTTCTGATATATCGAATGAGAAGTTGTTAATACCAAACAAAGCAGTTCTGCAACATTGTCCACAATAGTAAATTAAGAAATCAATCACACCGACGACAGCTAGCAAAGTCAGCTGATTCAGAGTTACATGAACCACATTAACATAGACCTCAATAGCAGTCAAATAGATCCTACTGCCGGCATAAACATTTACAGTCAACCACTAATGCACGATTAAAAGCTGTAAATATTGCAGCATTAGAACTCCGTCAACAATCTACTGATCTACTGATCAATCTACAATCCGTTTAGTGCATTTGAATTAATAATGATAAAAAGGGACAAAACAACAATAACCTCTCCTAGTGACCGTACTTTCAAAACGTTCTTCTTTGGCTTCTTATAATCACTTATGCTTCAGGCCGGCTGTGGGATCAGGTCACGTCTGTGTCTGATGACTGTATTTCAAGCTCGTCCTGTCCATCTTGCTGGCTGCTGTGCAAATTTCCTGCTCTGCTGCTCTCGCTTTAGACAACGCTATTCAGCATTGAACCCACTCACAATTCCTGAGTCGATTGACCATAATATGTAAACCCCCTCAATCAACATTATGTCATATTTTGCATGAATTTGAAGTAAATTTAATGTTGAACTCATTTCTCTCTTGTTTTTTCTCTCTGCAGAGTTTGATATGAAAGAGGATCTGAGGAGGATGGAAGTTGGAGGAGTATCCAGCCGGGACCTCTATGTTAAACGTAAGTTACACTGCAGCTTGTGAAGGTCTGATGTCACCCACCAATAAAGTATTTGGTGCAGTCGTCCACCATTGGTTCATTCGGGATTTGCACCCTCATGTTTTTTTTGAGTATAGTTGTGTAGATCACCCAAATGACTTTGATTTGCAAAAGACAGGAAACCGTCCCAGCAACTGGAATACTACAATTTTAATTTCATCTGCTCCACTAATCCGTTCCTCATCTGTTGCTGGGCTTAGTCCTAGTCTGCTCCACACTTGCCTGTGTTGTGCCTGTCCAGGTGTCAATCCCCGGGTGAAGTCCGGGCGCTTTAAGAAGCTTCTCCCGGACTACGAGCACATGGACTATAAAGACGTGTACAAACGCTGTGTGTACACGGGCCTCAACGCGGATGGCGGCTGCACGAGGGGTTGTGCGAGAGGGACTCATTGATTTAATTTGCAGGCAAACAGCTGCGGCAGTGTTACGCATTCCCTTTTTGAACGATGTTCTCAATTGTCCTCAGTGCTGTTTGCTTGCATATTAAGTATGAAATGGGAAACCCGATTACTTGGTGTGCTGTGTATTCAGTTTGGACTGGTGGACAGGACGCGTCCGTTTACGCTTTCTTACCTTTGAAAGTGGTGTTTGTGGGTATTAACAACTCTTCTTGTGTTTGTAACCATGCACAGTTTTAGCCCATAGTAAAGCTGTTACAGATACTGATTGTATGGTGTGATATTGTGCTGTTGTGTTGCAGTGCTACACCCGTTCAGACATATCTTGGGCTTATGGCAGCCTGACATAGGGCCTTACGGGGGATTGCTCAATGTTGTGGTAAGAAGTGTTTCTCCATCAAGGCATTTGCAAAACGATGAAGATGATGACAATAGTGTGCAGTTTGCCGACTGCCCACTGTTTTTAATTCAGCTGATAATCCGGAAGTTAGCATATTTTTAGAATCATTTCAATGGTTCGTGAATTATTCAAAGTATTTTTCATTCAGGTGGATGGGCTGTTCATCATCGGCTGGATGTATTTGCCACCTCACGACCCCCGTGTGGAGGATCCCATGAGAAGACGGCCGCTCTTTCGTATCCACATGTTGGAGAGCAATGAGGCCACCGTGGAGTGTATGTACGGACACAAGGGGCCACACAAAGGAGACATCCAGGTGAGAGCCTGCACAGCCCAAATAAAGCACCTGCTCTGGATCATCTGGATATTTCTGACACATTTTAGAAGAACATTCCACTTGATTGTAAGATTAGAAATTAATAAAGTATGTTACGTTTTAATATGTGTGCCGTGATTCTGTTATTGTAAGACTGGCAAGAAGGATGAGTTTTCAACAAAGTGCAACCAGACTGATCATCACCGCATGCCAGGAGGCAGACAGGAGGTGAGGCAGTGGTTGATACCGGAACTATTCCCTTGTCTTGTGTATCTTTTTAAAAGCCCATGTGCTTTGATGATGTTGGAAAGGCTGTGAGCAGCATTCTACTGATTTCTCTAACTTGTGTGTGTGTAGGAGTTCAGGACGTGGTTGGAGGAAGAATGGGGCCGGACACTTGAAGAAATCTTCCACGAGCACATGCAGGAGCTCATTCTGATGAAGTTTATTTACACTAGTCAATATGAGTACGAGTCTTTTTCTTACATCACACTTTCTCTAACGCTGACTTAAAGATTGTGTGCCTACGAATCTGTTACTGTTAAAAAAGTATTGCATGAATGGCTTGATATATTTGTGGATAGCTCTGATTTTCACTTGTGAGTGAATGTAAAACTGGGCTATGAAGCTCCGATGCCCTTTGCGGAGGCCACCATCTCCATATTTATGTAGTTTATAATGTAAATCGTTTGTTGCATATATTGCAGATATTTGGTGAAATAAAAATACTCAACAATGGCAAAAGTCAATTTTGACCATTATTGTTTGCTTTGATTTGACAGTAACTGCTTGACATACCGGAGGATCTACCTGCCACCTTTGATGCCCTCTGACCTTTTCCATCCGGGCCTCTTCAAAGGCACCTACGGCAGTCATGGCTTGGAGATCGTCATGCTCAGTTTCCACGGGATCTATCTGAGAGCCACCAAGCTCACTGTAAGCTGATGAACAATCCACATCAGAGGCTGTGCTTCTGTTAAAAAAATAAGCTGTACCTGTTTTCAATTCATTTCCAAACAGTAAATGAATAGTGCATGTTGATTTTCTTGCAGGGAGACCCCAATGTTCCTGCAGGGCAACTCACTTTAGATGTTGACCTGAGCCGGCCTGTCGTCCTGCCAGACTTGGAGCACCAGCGCAACATAGAGGAACTGTCCCGCCTGGTACTGGGGGTCCACGCAGAGGTCCAGAGAGAAGAGCAGGAACAGGCCAAGGACGCTCCTGCCGCAGGCCGAGGGGCAGCAGAGGGGGCCTGCGGTAACGCCAGTGCAGCTGATTGGGTGGAGGAGGGCCGTGTTGCCTGTTCAGACAGTTGCCAGCCCGGCCCCAGCACCAGCACCAGTCCTCCCGAAGCCCAGCCCTTTGTCCTGCCCCTGGGAGTTATGGCACGCAATGAGGTCTACCCGCGCACCTGTAGAAAATGGTAAGAACTCGCCTGTAAGGAAAAAGCATGAAGTATACATTTTGCAGAGTGTAGGGGGCATTGGATTGGTTGGAGCTGGCTTTGCTCCAGTAACAGTGGTGTTAGACACAGTGCGCTGATTGTTCCTGAGCTGTAAGCTTGTACGCTGTTTAAAGTCCAAAAGGCTGAAAGCAGCCGCTAATCAACGCTTGTCAGTAAAGTTGATGTTTTATGGATAAGGATGGTTAATTAACAAAATCCCAAAATTATCATGGGGATTTTGGCTTCCCTAATTAATTGCAATCTGCAGGAGGAGCGGAACTGCAGATTGCAGTTTTTTTTTAATGTATTTGCATGCTGTGGTGGCACCCTCAAAGAAAAGACACTAATTTCGAATATGACTGTGGATAATTGTAAAACAACATTGCTTTTATCACATATTCCCAATTTATTCATCTGCATAAATCCACAAAAAGGTCTGTGCTGAAGACTTAACAACCCATTGCTAGCATGGTTTACAAGATATTCCAAATAAGTAATAACAGAATAAACCGAAAGAAACTGAGCAACTAACTCTCTGGTTAAGTTACACTCTTACCCATTGAAACTGATATCAAAAGAGTATTGATTGGGTGATTTATGAATTGATGTGCCTCCATTTCAGCTTCTATGGTACAGGCCTGATCGCTGGTCACGGCTTTACGAGTCCCGAGCGCACCCCGGGGCTCTTTGTGCTGTTCGACGAGGACCATTTTGGCTTCATCTGGCTGGAGTTGAAGTCGTTCAGTTTGTACAGCCGGCTGACGGACCAACTAGCTCACGCTCATGCCCCAAATATGGAGAGATTTGAGGCCATGCTGTTCAACATGCAGTCCTGGACATCCTGATGCACCACGTTCTAAGCTTCACCCCACAACACAATGCATAAAAGCAACCATTTTACACAAATCATCTCCTGCCGCCCTTTGAGTCGTGACCTATGACTCACCGCGATAGCTCATGGCCGCAATTGTCCCCGTGTTATTGGTATGTTTCTCAAACATTTGGTTTTATTGTTTGGTTGTATCACCCTGATCTAGCGCTCTTATGCTCCTGTTCCCATGCAAGCACTTGAAAAGGCCTCCCCAAGTCACCGTTTATCAGCCCACCTCAGAATGACCTTTTTTCCTCTACTGCAGCATGAAAACGGGTCACAGTAATCCTTTTTTAAATGTATTTATTTATTTCCCCTAAGGCGAAAAGGAATGATGTTTCTTATTTCTTATATTATGAATCAAACTGTACGTGCCTCCGATTCTAAAACCATGTCTGTAACTTGATAGCGCTTGAAGACGATAAAAGTGTCCAATGTATTCTACTATAAAGCATTACTCGGAGTTAAGTGCCCAACATGTTGAAATGCATGCTGCATTTGGTCTTATCTCATCACACCCTTATCTGAATCTTTTTCTTTTGTGTATTTTGCTTAAAAAAAACTTCTTCTCGGATGTTTTTCTCTTCATCACAAATCAGTGAAAAGTTAATTATTTATGTGAAGTTCAAAATCTTTTTGGTAATTTGTCCAGTAAAATACGGAGTGAGTTTCACAATGGGGTAATTTTGTCCCCTTTGACAAGTGAGGGTGTGCTGTCTTATCAAAACACAGTAGATACAACAATCAGCCAGTTTTGGCCCTTTTGAACTTCATAGATTGTGATAGGACCTGGCTCATTGTACTACATCACACACACACCTTTCATGTCATCCCGCCTGACATAACATTATGTAAGTGGGAATGATGTGTAGTACTGCAATAGAGTGACATGACCTTTACATAAGCTGGTCTGATATTATACAGTTATACAGTTTATGTGCTTGTATAATTATCTGAAACTTTTCTTGAAATGTGTTTGTTGTGTTTAAATGGCTGACCTATCATTTGCCCGGCTTTCCAACTGCAAAGTTGTTCCCTCCAGTTTTCCAAATAATTTCCAACTTGAGACCAGGCTATTTGAACATTATACAAAATAACAGCTCAAAGTACTAAGTAAGTGTCTATTTGTCTCCTTACAGCCGATGATGATGGGGTTGCTCAGTAGCTTCCTTACTCCAAGTGCACTTTCCTGGGCAGTATAGTGAATCATTCAGCCAGCACTTTTATATCGGACTGCTGCTTTACTAACATTTGCAAAATAAAAGTGTCTGCTTATCAATTTTTCTTTTTTTTATTATTTCCTCTTAATTTATTTGACATTCGCATATATATCCTAAGCCCTCTGTAGCTTGCTATTGGAGTGATTTGCCTTCAGAAAAAAAAAGAAATGTTACTTTCTATTTACAATGCCACACGCTTGTGGGGAAGTTTGACCTATTTAACAGCTCACGTCACACTTCAGGGAGCTTTTCAGCTTGAGCGCTCTTCTCAGTAATAAAAAATACAAAACTGATCAAATCTGTAGTCTCCCTTTTCCTCTCAACTATCACCTCATCCCATTCTCTCCTTCCAGTGTCACAGTTGAATTTTGATAATAATGCAATTAGATGTTGCATCCCCTCACACACCAGCCTTAGCTGGCCTCAGCCCAGTGTGCTGTTGTTCTTTAAAGTATAATGTTCACCTCACATAGCACATTATTAAACTGATGAAGGACCCTCCATCTAATTCAAGCCTAACAACCAATGTGTGCAGTTGTCTTGCTCTGTAATAAGAGTGAATGACGTTGTTGCGCAGCATAGTATCACATTCAATTAAATAGTACAACATTATTCCACACAATTCCAGAAGATTCATATTATTTATTTTAATTTACATTGAAATCCAGATACTAAATATATGGCCAAACACAGAGGTATCTTACGACATATTTCCTCTTGGGCTTTTAGTAGAGCTCGAATTCCAACTGATGTTCGATAAACACAGGTCAAAAGTATTCTCCCAACTAAGTTTAATGCTCCCTGTCATGAAAGTTCACATGGAATTTGAAAAACAACCAAAGATGCATTTTGAAAAGGGAGTCCTCTCCTAAATACAATTATCACATTAATGTATCACGTTATTTCTATATTTTTCTAATTAAATCAATTGATAAAGAAGGGCGGCACAGAGAAAGGAGAGGCTACTGCTCTACAGCTCGTTGCGCTCCAGCTTCTCTTTGTATTCTCGGCTCTTCTCCGGGAGAGTCTGAGTCAGGAAGACAAACTGGTCTTTCTTCAGCTGATGACCAGTTGCCTGCTCCTTTGCATCAATTGATAAGTATCCTTCTTCTGCTCCGTACTTTGGCCAGTGGACGAGGCCGTCACCATTGGGACACCTACGTGCGTGCACGTGCACAAGTTAAAAATAGTCTTATCTCCACGTGTGTTATTGCTCGTAATAAGATGAATTCTCACCCAGTGCGAGCAAAGTTTCCCCAGTAGCTCATCATGATTCTGCTCAGCTGTTCCTCCACTTCATCGCATGCCACTAAAATGATGATCATTGTGTAAGACACTTCGAACTCAGGAAACACAGATCTTTGGTGGTCTATTGATAAAGCAATTTATTTTATATGTGCTTACCGCTTATTTTGACGTGGGTGGTTGTGAAGCACAATCCAAATACTGTAAAGATCTCATCTGCATGGTCACTGCCAACAAAGCTTGGCCTCATAGCCTGCAGGAATGTGGGAGCATGCTTGTACTCATACAGATACACGGGAGCACCAGCATCTAGTCGTGGAGGAATGGCGGTCATATACTGTATCTTGTCTGAGAACGTGTGTGACAGTACAATATCTTGAGTAAATAAAATACCTCTATGGGCATTAGCAGTCTTGATGGCTGGAATGATGAATATCATGTCTCCAATAATCTTAGTGAACCCATCTCTATTTTTCAGACGATCTTCCCCTCTTCCAGTGTATTCATCTGTGATCAAATCTCTGAAGAACATATCTTTGGGCTTGAGGAAAAGAGCCACACGTCTATTAGAAATGTTTGACCATGATAGAGCGAAACAATTTTGTAATGTTGAGCACTTTTCGCCTTACATCAGGGTAGAACATGAATAGCAAGTTCTCAACGTGCTCCCGATCCATTCCCTCGGTCCAGTTTGGAGGAGCAAAGAACTAAAGGAAGACAACCAACATTTCAGACGTGCACCATTGCAGCACAAAACCAAGTTTCCAGGGGCTCATCTGTAAGCTTGTCAGTCACACAAATTTCAGTAGCATTCAGGCTTACGCTAGAAATTGACCAGCCCCCTTCATCGCTATTGACGCCGGTCATGAATGGTATGGTGAGGAGTTCATGTGTGTGGTACAGCTCATCCACCGGTTTTGTCAGGAAGACTCCATCAACATTCAATGGAATCCTCAGTGCCACATCCTTTAAAGAATAAAATGTGCAAAAGTTGGGATCAATATGTCTAAGCAAAATAAATGCATAAATAGGCAGATTCCATTAAGTCAGTCAATATGAGTTTTGCATATGATAGCTCACCTGCACAGTCGACAGAATTGTGTCAAGATCGAGGTTTCTGATGCAATCAGCGATCTTCTCTGTGCTTTCGAGACTACAGCCAGTTTTATTTGCTACCACCTGAGGGCCGATGAGAGATCCATCTCACAAATATAACACAAATGGTCAAATATGCAATGAATAATGTTTTACATGACAAAAGATAGATAAGGATAGTTAACCTGCATCGCAGGGACAGGATCATTTGCGAGGAGTAGTCCGATTGCAGCAGTTCCACTCTCAGCAATGGCATGGTGGAACAGGCCATCAGACAATGGTGATAAAAGCTGTTGATTTATGCAGAAAAAAAAGTACTGCTGACAGTAGAGATTGTGTTGTGACATAACTATGAAATATTTGCAAAAGAAGCAAGTTGAGTTTCATCATCTGCAGATATATGCTTACCAGGAGGGACACACTCACTCCACCAGCAGACTCTCCAAATATGGTGACCAAATCTGGGTTTCCTCCAAAGTTATGAATGTGCTGCTGGACCCACCTCAGAGCTTCTACTTGGTCCAGCATTCCAAAGTTCCCCGACATGTGCTCATCTCCGGTGCTTGATAGAGCATAAAATTATGTTCAACACCGGCTGATAAGAGCAACCCAGTTATGAATTATTATTAACTTCAAATACAAATACAAAAAATAGCAACCCTCCTCTGCTTAGTAATTTAAATACTTTTACCTGAGAAAGCCCAGAAATCCCAAGCGGTACTGGATAACAACCACAACCACGTCCTGATAGGCAGCCAGGGCAGAGCCGTCATACAGTGAAGCGGCCCCAAAGATAAACCCTCCACCATGAATCCAGACCATGACCTCGTAAGGCAATGAAAGACCTTTATATTTTCCACACAACATTAACCACATTTGTACCTTTTTTTGTCTCTGAGCTCACAAAAATCTTGATCAAACTAACTCAAACTCAAAATGTGACAAAAAACAAGACTGATGGAAAAGAAAAACAGAGCATCAGTCTCTTTGCAGTCGGGTTCCAAATATGGGCATCGCTACTCATATTACCATTATGGATTCTATGGACCACCAATAGTTATGCATCACTCAAAAACCTGCAGCAACTTACTGGCATCTTGGTACCGGGAGCTTTCTTTGCAGGAGTGTAAATGTTGAGGTAAAGGCAGTCCTCTGAAATGTCTTGGACATCAACTGACACGGCACCATACTTAGCAATGACATCTATAGATAACTGCTTCACTTGAATACACCTGAGGGAAAAAAAATTCACAGTGAAAACTGGATGTAAATCTACAAGTGTGTTATCAAGCGACAGAAGCCGATGAAGGCCCTACATGGGTGGCTGCTGGGTGGCATCTCTCACTCCTTCCCATCCCTCTGCAGGCTGGGGGGCAGCCAGTCTCAGAGCAGGGCCTATGGGTGGCTTGGCAAATGGGACTCCCAGGTAGGCGTGGACCCCGGTTTCCTTTCCCTTTACACTCACATACTGACCTCTAAGGGCCCCCAACTTTGTGTGGACTTCCGGAGCTGTCGGGATATTAGGAATTATTCAAAATCATAATGCGCAGCAATATTTCAGTTTAAGTTTCAAGAAAAATGCGTCAAAGAAAATCATCCATGTATTGTATGTCTGGTTTCAGTTACTTTAAGCTTTTGCAACTGACAAGTGGACAAGTTTGATTTGTATTGTCACGGACATAATTTTCAAACATGTATCTCGAAATTAAATGTGGAGAGTGCTGGGCATTCCTTTTTTTCATTGTGTAGATCTAAGCTCAAAAATAACCTACTAAGAAAATACAGACCATAGAAATAAAACATCTATTTGAGCAGTTTTAAAGCATTGTGTAATACTTTTGTATCAAAAGCCACTGTCATTCCTATTCAGGTCCCAACATTAGTCTGTTTCCAAACATGGGCTTTGCTACTGAGATAGCAGAAGATAAGACCTCATTGCGAGTTTCACATTTATTAGACACTTGCATAGCACATATAAGGTCAAAGTCGACTTCACTTCCATCGAGGCGCAATGCAATCCAAACAGAAATGCAAACAGATTGAAATGATTTCCAATTAGAAATACATCCAGAGACGATATGATGTTCTAATACTCGAGCGGATCTCTGTTATTCACATATAAAGTGCAATCAGATCTCCATACAGCAGCGTAATACGTGGGTCATTGTCCCCATAGTTATTGTGCAAATAAAGGACTTTTCTCCTTCTTACCATGAAGGTCTGCAGCAACATCGAGAAACAACGCCGACGTCAGAAAGACGAAAATTTGTTTTGCACGGAAGTTCATGGTCGTCGTCTCGGTGGGTGGATTACGACACTGCTGGCTTTGAAATGAAAAGATCAGTCTTCCTATCTCGCTCCTCTCCTGTTTTAGGTGTGCGAACACAACACGTGACTCCTTGAGTCTTTTACTGTAGCGAAAGGTCACGCCGACAGAAAGCAGACCGCCTCATTTTACGCCTCACTATTAGTATGATCACTGTACATGTTGCATCTTGATTAGTTCGGTAACCACGTTTTGCCGGTGAGCGATTGAACCGGGAGTCCGATGCTGTGAATATTTTGCCAATTTAACTAAACTCTATTGACTAATCCTCCCAATAACAACTATTCTGCACTATCTAAGTAGATCTCTCAATAATTACTGATTTACTACAACTGCCGGCCGGGAGGTTCAACAATGAATTCGAATCAACTATTAAATATTATTCACAATAAAAGTCCACCATAATTAATCAGAAGCCCATTTTATCAAAATAACAGCTATAGTACAACATTACTGAGCTCGCTATTGTATGAAATGATTGTGGTCATGCTACCAATCATCAATAGTGAAGTTAATGAATATTTTGGTATTTTAACCTCTTAACTTCGTTTTGGTCAGCAACGTCTGAGTTGCACTTGTATATTAACATTAGCATGAATGCAGGGATATGATGTAAATCTTCGTCTCGGTGTTTTCATGCGGGCTAGTGGCGCAATGGATAACGCGTCTGACTACGGATCAGAAGATTCTAGGTTCGACTCCTGGCTAGCTCGTCTTTTTTACCCGTTCGCTCAGGCAGAGGCAGCTAAAAACTGATTTTTGTGCAAAACATATATATTTTTTCCCCCTAAAAAATGTCATTTCGGGCGTTGACATTTACAATGTATTCCCAGGGTGCCTGTATGATCAGAATGACACAACGTAATAAAATAAACTGTGAAATTATTTAAATGTATTTAATTATTACCTTTTGTTCCATACCACCCACCATGACAATTCCCTCACATGTCTAACATACTATGCAAATAAATGTTTCTGATTCTGATTCTTAAATCAAACACAACATGATGGTTTCAGTTAAAGCCGTTTTGAGACAAACTAACAATTAACAAGCTTAAACCATTAAACTACTACAAAATAAAGTAATTGTCAACAAATCGATAAGAAAAGTTGTTATTAACGTTAAGTCATCGGATCAGCTGTACTGTAGTTGTACTGTTACGTTCTGTGTGCTGCTTTTTGGGTTCCCCCTAAATGAGCGAGGAACCGGCCTGCGCGAGGAACAAACCAAGGCGAGGTCTCATCTCTCGCGAGGAACGACGCCGTTATCGGAATCCCTACAAACAACACGAGAATTCAACATTCACACGGTAATATAACCCAATCTTACATGGTCAGTAGTGGGGGGAAAGAAGCGGATTCAAAACAGCAGTTAATTGTTATTTCTTAGATCGGTTTACGTTGGTTGCTTTACACTTCGGCGGCCTTTAGGCCCCACTTAGCATGCTAACTGCAACGCTAGCTTAGAGACCAACTCAATTCCGTCGCCTCGGTTTTAACGTTAGCATGCGAGCTGGCAAATCCGATTTTGGAGTCGTGCTAACTTAGCTACATTAGCTAATATGTTTCCGCCCATGCTACATTGCTAGCGGGAGTGCAACATTGAACGTTTATGACTAAATGCACTGATATAAACGTTAGCTAGGATTCACCTAATGGTATTCTATACATTTCCATCCAGCTAACGCGTGAATATGGACTGTTCATATCCTTGTTTTACCTTAATGTTACCGATAGCGAACTTCATTTAGACTGTCAATAGACCCCCGCCCAGTTAGCTAGCTAGCCACTGCGGTAGTTATGTTCGCTAACGCTGAAAGTGGAGTAATGTTAGCGATGTAAATGCAGTTACGGTTTACTCAATATAGAGCCAGCAATACTTTGTCGGTGTGCTTTAATTACGCAACGCCGATTAGCTATTTGTAGATGAGCCTAATTTAGTAAAAAAAGACTTGTAACCCAACTGCTATAGCTTAACGTCATCTCAAGAAGATGACATTGACAGTCGGACAACTTCATAAAGTGCTTGGGGTTCTGCAGTTTTAAGTTTTCTTCATTTGTTCTCGTTGATAATTTCATTACGTTGAAATCTACGTTGTCATGCTTGAAATACGCAACGTGAAGAGGAATTGACCTAACGTGGTAACAGACGAGGACATAATGTTTTAATACTTGTCGTTAATATTACTCTCCCTTTCCCCAAAAAACACACATGGCTGTCCCTCCTGTGACTGCCTGGATCATATACATGCTGTACACCTACACAATAAACAGATCCCTCCCCTTAAGTGATTGATAAAGTCAAAATCCATCTTTAAATATGTATCCTAGATTTACAGTGAAGGGTTGTTGAGAGTGGTTATAAGGATACTATTGAAGCATGCTGTAGTATTTTTTTTTTTCCATCAACCACAACTATATTTTTTTACAGTCTACAAATAATACATTTTAGAAGCTGTACATGTGACTGTTACTCAAGATTTGATAAGATACTTATGTGCCCCAATAGAAGCTCAAATAAGTCATTAGAGATGTAGTGATAATTGTGAGATGCATGTACTGGTAAAATATAAAACTTGAAGATATTTAGCATTACATATAGTTTGCATACATTTACAGAGACGGCAGAAATATATGCTCAGTGTAGGTATGAAATGGTGAGCAAGAGGAAATAACTAATAACGATTTATATATAGTTTTGAAAGTTATTAAGTGCATATTCACCATAATGCAAACAACATAAATATATCCTTTCTTATGGTAGGATGTATGTAAATGCATATTTGCTCTCTTGTTAGAGGCTAAAGTTTTGCTATCATCTTATTTCAGTTGTGAACAATGTCTGAACAAGAGTTGGATGAAATAGTGCAAATAACCGTGGAGGACTTTAACCCGGATGACCGGACAGGTATGAGTCTTGTGATGCAACATGAAAACCATCTGTTTTTTATATGTGTATATATATATATATATATATATATATTCTTATCAGTGTGTAGCACATTTCTTGGTAGTGAATATTTGCACTCCCTGCCCGCTTGATGAGTCAAGAGGTATATATTGGATGCGGCACCATCAAAATATACATTTAATATGCATTTAATACGATGCTAGGTGTGTTCTGTAAATGTGAATTATTAGGAATTCTTGTCTCCATATTTGATTCGTGCCAGACATGTTGGACAATCATGAAGACGATGATGAAAGGCTTCAGAAGAAGAAAAGAAAATTAAGCATCAGCCAAGAGAATAACAACAACAACAATAACCAAGACATATCTTTTATTAAGGTAACAGCTCATTATACCAGGACTCTGTCTAAAGCTCATATGTTTTTATGTATTTAAAATATGAGATTACTTCAATTATACTGACAAAATTGTATTTTTGTCTGCAGAATCTGTTGGTCTCATTTACCGCATCAATCAGCCAGCGACTGGAAGGAATTGAATCAAAGTTATATTCTCTCGATGCTACATGCAAAGCCCTTGGACGCAAACTAGACAGCATGTTGCCATGTGCAAAGAGTCCCATCCAGGTTCCTATGGTGGCAGGGTCTCCTCAGGGGGCCACTCAAACTTGGAACAAAGTGCGATGGTAAGATGCACGTTTTTCCCTTTGTTTCATTTTGCACCATTAGCAATTAGTCTCCACTGAGACTTGTGCAGTAAAATGCAGTTTAATGAGTCTTCATGAAATAATTTCATGATGCAGAAAACGGTCCGTTAAGCATACACGCATGTGCCCGTTAACCAATGTGTGTGTTACTTCTTGTTTAGTGTGGTTCCACAAACAAACGTGATAGTGAGCAGTGAACACCCGAAAGGCACGAACCATGAAGACAACCCTCTGGAAAATCTGCTAAGCAAGTGAGTGGTTCACATTCACACTATTTGCTCAGTGTGCCAAAATGATGCCTAATGACGTCAGACATGGGAACGTCTCCATTAGGTTATTATTGTAAAACACCAGTGTGGAAACGTGTGACCTTTCTGCCAAATTAGCTGTTTTCAATATAAAATAGGTCTCATAAGATATCTGTTCATCTGCATTCTACATGCACCTGTAATGTCAGTATCAGTTAAGTAATCCTGTGTGCGGGCTTACTGTCAATTTCCCCTGTAGCCTAGCGTATGTTGTCGAATTGGTAAATGTTTAGTGTGCTATATTGACTATATGACACGTTCTCCGCTATATTTTACAGAAATATCCTTGTTTCCCTTTAGATAGTCATAGTGTTTTTTATCAAAACCTAAACAAAGCCACGGCAGCCAGGTGAGATTAGAGAAACGCACACTCATCCTTAAATAATTGATAGTCTTTTACATTTAATTCTGGAGTTACTTTAAATTGTTTTTCTTGTGTTTTGAGTAGAATTCCTTGTGTTGCGGATTTCCGAAAACTGCCCCTGCATGGCATGATTAAAAATGATGTTTGATTTGTTTTGTACCACGAGACTACTTCATTTAGACAATTCTCAAAAATGGACCTATATTACTTATGATGTAGTGAAACACATCATAGTGCTTTATATAGTAGCCCAATTACACCCCTTATGACGATGGCAAATGCCAAGCTCGGTTAAAATGTCCTTTTCGTTCTAGTGGTTGTAAAATCTATTTATGAATATTCTATCAGAGTCCTGTCTTTTAATTGCCCAAACAGCAGTTGCTGTAATTGTGAAGGGCGAAAAACAAACCATTTTATCAGCGTGTTGGACGAAATCCCCTCGGTCTCACCAGTAGAAACTGGACTCTTGCTTTGCCCGAAACCACAATTGAGACCTTCTAAAGCGTATTGTCTGAATATACCTTTAATGCCCCGTATGTAGCGTTCTATAATATCGGTCAAGATGAACACCTAATTCCTTAAAACAGGTTGCCGGTGCCATGATCCGTCTCACATACTGTGGTCAAATATGTCTTTCTTTTCAGTACGATGACAAGGAAGCGTCAAAACACAATCATGGTGAAGGTGCCGGCCCCCGACGAGAGTCAGGAGGAGCAAGACAGCGGCTCAGATGCCAGTGACACCGTTTCTAATGGGGGCCAGTCCAGCAACGCACAAAATGGTCAAAATGTTACACTCATCACACTCAATTCAGAAGGTATGACTTAACACTGCTCATTAGACACAAACACACACAGCCGCCGCGCTTTACCGGCCAACACGGCAATATAGCGCGTTGGCCTTGATTCACAAGGTTGGCTCCTCCCCTCAAGTACTTTTCACACAACTCCTGGCTCGGTCCTTCTTCATGAGGCCGATCGAGGGAGGCTCGGTGCTCAACACAACATGCAGAGCTCTTCAGAGATCCCCCCCCTTTCTGAGGCCGGTGGGGCGTTTCGGTTGAGAAGAAACGACGTCTCCTACACTCCCGACTACTGGTCAAACGTTTTTCTAGGCTCTGAGGAGCAGCTTGTGACCCTCAATGCGCCGGCACTCCTCCTCCAGGGTGTCCAGCTCCTGACCTACAAATTCAGCGTCCATGTCAGCTCGCGGCTTTGATCGTCGGTGACTCCACCATCGGGAACGTCCAAACAAGTTCAACAGTAACTTGATGTTTCCCCAGTGTCGCTGATCTTGTTGTTTTGAAAGCCATTGTTTAGCATGTAAATGTTTTTATTAAGTACTCTATTGGTATTTATTGTTGGAAAGTAGGAGAATGTGAGTACTTTTACTAGAAATAGTTTGTGGTCCGACCATCCATGACCATGAGCCACCGCTGCCTTAAATAATTGCCCCAATAGTTTTGTTCATGTTGAATTTGTTCAACATGGCCAACGGGCCTCGTTCAGGTGGTGTCCTTGTTGAAGGAAACTTTGCTGATGCGTCAGTTCTATGCCCTCGGCACCTCCGCATTGATAAATGCTCTAATTAATCCTTCATGTTTTCAGTTGCTTCACTCTGTGGTTTTCTGCTGAGCTGGAGAGCGAATAGTTGGCAGAGACATGTGCTAAATCTAAATCAGGTCCATGTTGTTGTAACTGTGTTGCTATTTACTGTGATTATTTGTGTGTTTTGTTTTTGATTTAAAGACGTTTTTTGGTCAACTTCAAATGCAAACTATTAATCTGTTTTTCGCAGCTGTGGGTCACTGAACTGTGATAAAACCATTCGTCATTATTAGCTAGATGGTATCTAGAACTGTGCCTCATGATTGGTTAGTTTGTGTGGTGTGTTTAACAGAGAACATTCGCGTGAGCAAACTGCCAAGGCACGCATTACGCTTTGATACATCGGCGATAACACATTTTTGCCCACACTTCAACTAACTCTCATTCTCCGCCACAAGGCTGCGCTGTTGTATTACACATGTAAATCAGTGGCTCTATGCCAGTGTAGTATTTGTCCACCTGTGAATGGAAGTGTGATAGAATTTACATACTGCCCCAGATCTCTGTGTTAATACAGGCTTGCTGACAGAGATCTGTGTTTGAAAGACTGTCCCCGTCTCCCGTCTCCTCTAGACGATTACCCCGTGGGCACCTGGTTGGGAGACGAGAACAACCCCGAGATGCGAGTTCGTTGCCCAGTCTCTGCGGCGGACATGCTCCACATCACCACAAACTGCCGCACAGCGGAGAAGATGGCGCTGACTCTGTTAGACTACCTGTTCCACCGAGAGGTCCAGGCCTTGTCCAACCTCTCTGGTCAGGGCAAACACGGCAAGAAGCAGCTGGACCCGCTCATGATTTATGGCATTCGCTGTGAGTCCTCTTGTGTTGTTGTCGTTGTAACCAGCTGGCACGGACAGGCTATCGATTTCCTTCCAGCCGCTTTACTTTGGGAGACCCGGTAGTTAACATTATTTCACGATAACCAAGTTTACAGAGACAAGTGTGTTTAAAAAAAGCAACACAGTGGAGGGACAAGTGCCCTGCCGGTCTGTGCCGGACCCGTCCGGTGTGAAAGCGCTTCATTGATCTCCCTAACCAAAGCCCCCCTCTTCTTTCCGGCTTCATTGATTAATTTGTGTGGAAATGAGCTTCCAAGCGGCTCACCCCACTTCATAAACCAGAGGTAGACCGCCACTAAATACAGCTGCACCCAGGCGCACCTGCCACTTTCTTTGCTGAGGGAGGAATGAGGCACTGCACACAGACCTGTGCTCATCAAAGGGTGAGGGGTAACCAGAACCTGCACACATATTTGTCCCTAGTTTTTACACACTTGTGCATTGATTGCAGATGGATTGTTCTGCCTTGCATGCCGGACTGCTGTGCTTAATGTGCTAACAAGCAGCCCAGCTGCAGCGATAACCGACGTGCAAACAGCTGTCTGTCGGAAAGGAAATGATGAAAAATATTGTCTTTTAGGAGGAGTTCCGATTCGAATCTTTTGGATTGATAAAAGCGTGTTGTTCGAATGGATGAAATACCTATGCATAACCAAGCCAGCCATATCTCCTCATTCACACCGCACGTGATGACACTTGACCTCTCTGTGTCCCAACAGGCCACTTGTTCCACAAATTTGGCATCACTGAGTCAGACTGGTACCGCATCAAGCAAAGCATTGACTCGAAGTGTCGCACAGCCTGGAGACGCAAGCAGCGCGGCCAAAGTCTGGCTGTCAAGAGCTTCTCCAAACGAACGCCTCGTGGTACATCCGGAGGTACAGGCTGCAAAGCATGTATTTGTGTTACTTTCTGTGCATCAAGACCATCGATGGGACTAAATGGGACGTCTCCTCCGATTGCCAAATAAAAAGAGTAACAGTGAGCGAGATATTGAATCTGTTTAGAGAATGATGTGTGGTTCTCTAATCAAAGACCACCTCCCTCATTTACTTTAGGCTGATTTCTAAAACGTTAATGACATGAAGATTTTTCTTTTGAAGTGAACCTTTTTTAAATGAGGAAAAAACATCTTTACAACCATCTGCCACATTTCTTGTGAAATGCTTTGGGAGGGAGAACATTTATCTATGTTCTGAGAAAACTAATTCCTACCTGGCTCCGCTCGCTTTAAGTCTTTATCTGCTGTTAAGGTTGCTACGTTTTTTCTGTGTGTTGTCTTGTCAAACAAGGTCCACAGTGTTAAATTAACCAAAAAGAGACATCTGCTGCGGTTTCTATTTCTCCGCCAATGCGCCAATGATGCCATCACTGGTTCTTCGTTTTAAGTAGTTTCTTTAGTTACTGGTTTTCGTGGATTTGCATGTTGATCAGTCGGTTCGTATTTACGGAAGACTGTTTTTTTTTTTTTATTTGAATTGGTGCTCAACCAATTTGAAAGTAATGGAGGGAAATATTTATGGAGTCAGTCTCTTTAACTTTATCATCTTGCTCGCTATGGCTTTCCAACAGTTTCCTATAAAATGTGTCTGGTTTGTCCACCTAAAAGCTTTCTGTATTAGCATTATGCTGGGCAAAAATGGTTTTGGTGCTATCAATTTAAGTAAACTACCGAGGTACATATTTTATGTGCACCCTTTTCTTACTCATTGGCCATTTGCACCCTATAAATGTATTCACAGTTCCCTGTTTTTATGGGTTTTTGATTTAGGAAATTGTTAAATAATCCACAAAACGTCCTACACGGTCAGCTCATACAGGACCTATTTTAGCAGCTATAAAGAAGATATTTTAAGACCTCAACCCAAATGCAGATGCAGTGTGTTTTGCTGCAGATGGTTGTAATCTGCACACCATGCATGCTGTCCTTCCCTCCCTGTGAGCCTTGACCTCTGACAGAGGAAAAGCAAGACTGCAGGGGAAACCCAAATATCCTGCGAGTGCTCAAGATAGTCAGGCCACACACGCCCTTACAGTGCACAACACAAGTGCTAGATGGTGCAGGCACAAATGTGGATAGAGACACTCCAGACAATCATTCCTCCCTTAATTTGATTATGTGTTAATGGGCCAGAAAGAGTCAATTTGTCTGCTTTTAAAACCATTATTTCTTGGTAAACCAACAAGGAGAGCTTTAGTCACAAACCACTTGGCTCTTACCTCCTCATCTGGCAAACAAAAGTCCTGAGCATTATTTAATAATGTACATAGCAGTAATAACCAAAGATAGCCTTACTTTCTAAAGCAGCTTACCACAAAACAGAGGGTAACCAATATGTGCTGAGTTACTGTTCCCTTTTTAAAGCTGCATTCCTTTTTTGTGATGAAGAATGTAGTCTGACCGCCTTTCTCAGCCCCGGTTCAAGTTCTGATTCACAGAAATGACAAAATCCTCTCAAGTCTTCACAAATCTTTTAGTTTTTTTGTCATTTTGACATCTTACAGATGTCTTTAGATGCCGTTTGTCTTTCTGGCATTTAATCCGAGCTCTGCTGTCAGTGAGCACTTTGCCTTCACAGACCGCTGAAAGGCATCTGTGTTTTAGCCGTAAGGTCTATGCGGCGGTGTCAAGACTGGTGACCAGCTGGAGAGCTCTTCTTGTGTATTTAGGCGTTTGATAAAGTATAAACAAGACATCATCCAACAGATGGCCTCGGAATTAGCTCTTTTTTTCACAAGATGTTGCTACAGCCCTTTGATATGCGGGTATTTGTTGGTTTGTGTGTCTGTCTCGGCCCCATCCATATTTCCTGTGTGTGCTGGAATCCTTTGCAATGTCACTCTGACCTATTCGTTGGCCCTGCGGTTTGTCTCCTAACCAGAGGGAGGCACGGCAGAAGAAACGGGCCACATCGAGGCCGCCACCCAGCAGACATTGCACTACACGCTGGCCAATCAACAGGTCCAGTTCCACCGTATCGGGGAAGATGGACAAGTTCAGGTGGTGAGTGTCAGACTTTTTTTTTTTTCCCCCTTTTTTAATAATTTTCTGAATCCATCCATAAAAAAACAACATATTTTCTCTTGACGGCTGGAGTACGAGTGTAGCTGTCGTCATAGGCGACAGGTTCATAGTGCGGAAGGAAAGATCTTTTCACCCACTAGAGTGACGCGTGAAGAAATACTGTGCATCAATTGCGGGCTGACAGGAAGGAAGTGACCTGCCTTTCGTATCTTTGTTCTGAAATCACCAAAAAATACCTCCAACGAGCAATAAGTCCAAGGCTTAACGTTGAGTTTACAGTAATTCATTGTGGGAGAGCCTCTTCGGCTGGTCTTGTTTAATGTTGTGTAATCAAACAACCGGTGACCGACACACACAAGCTGTGAGACAAAGTTTGTCAGGGGTTTGTGTGTGCAAGTTGCAAAGTCAGTGTTTCTAACAAAGCAAAAATATGATGATAATAACTAAACATGGTCTGACGATACCACATGAACCTTCTGCTGTGAGGCTCCATATCTGCTGATTGGCACACAAACTGTTATGACAGGAATACAAAGTCCCTCGTAATTAAGTTGTTGGAATTTCCAACAACTCTGAATTCACTTGATTTGTTTAAGTTTGACTAAACAAAAGTCTTCTATATTTCATTTTACTCAACACAACTGGGTATATTAAAACAGTTTAGACATTGATTTCTTAATGGCCAGTATGTAGAGACGGGATGATTACAACAAGCAAAGTACCTTTTAAACTGTCTATTGGTGCCTATTTGTAAATGTATGATAATCATTCACAGGCTTCTTTTCCATTTAAATAACATTTAGAATTAAAGGGAAAAAAATGATAAGAAGTAGTAGTAGTAGTAGCAAATAGTTTGATCACATATCTGCAACTTCCTTCTTCGCCGTGTCTCCCAGATTCCTCAGGGTCAGCTGCACATCGCCCAGGTGCCACAAGGAGAGGAGGTGCAGATCACACAGGACAGCGAGGCAAGTGTCTGTGTGTGTTTAGGGGACAATCAGCCACTCCTTTGCTTTTAGCCTCGCCTCTGGCATACTACTTCTCAGAGCAAACACGTCGGTCTCGATAATTTGTCTCCTGACAGAACAAAGCTGTGACGTGGATACAATGCAATTCCAGTAATAAAGTTACTCTACAAAATTACACTTTTCCTGTAATCCAAAGGAGGCATAATGCACCCGAGTAATATCTGACAACAATTAAGTCATTAGTGAATTTTAACGAAAGCAGATGTCACGTAATGTATATATATCCGCTTGCGTTTGCGCGGGGTTATGACTTTAGTTTCCACATAATGCCTAGATGTCTCATGTCCCCCACGAGACATGCACTCTGCGTGCACACACAGCCTGGCTGTTAAAATCAAAATCACAATCTAATTCCAAACCACACCAGCTGCTCGACAGAAACCTCCACATCAGCATCATTGTTAGTGATATTTTTTGAAGATTTGGAAGAGGGATTTATGACATGAAGTGTAAACACATACACATCTTATCACAAACTGCATGATACGTGCCACACATGCAGCGCAGCTTGACGTTCATTCAAAAGCAATTGACACCTTGACAAGTGTTTTTCTCATTTCCTGTTCGGTGGTGCTAAAGGACACTCGGAGGGAAGAATACGGAGACGGAGTGAATTGAAAGCAGAAATGCTCTAAAGCCTTTCCTGCTCTTTGTGGCTGAGCCCAGTTCTTTTCTTTTTTATTTCTCCCTCCTTTTCCGTGATACTGTTTGTTTTTTTGGAGTTCAAAGCTTAGCAACAATATCCCTATTCTCCCAACTGCCACTCTTTAGAATATGTTTTCATTTGGAACAGGCTAAATTCGTCAAATTCATTGGTTTTAGCGTCCTTGAAAAGGCAATTCACTGCATTAGATGCGATTGACAAAGAGAAAACAACCCAAAGTTTGGCGTTTCTAAATTTGGCTTTGACGACGTTCTCTCTAATGTGGTCTTGTAAACTTCACCGTGGGTGTTCAAAGACTTTACGATGGTCGTTGCATCTTGATACGGCTGCGATAGGCTTGTGCCTTTTGTGAATGGAATTCCCTTGTTGTTTACAAGTGAGAAATGACGCAACGTTGGCGTATGAAGAAAGACGTCCTCTCACTCTTATGTCATTGCGTTTTTTTTTTTTAAAACCCCTCGGCCAAACCGCGGATGCTCAGAAACCCGTGAAAAAGGTCTTGATTCTTCTCAGACTTTCACGTTTCTCCTTGTTCAGTTTACCACCCTTTTTAGAACCGGATTCACCTCGAGGCAGGTTTTAGTAATCCGTTGTCAACGTACGTTGGTTCAAATAAGAAATGTGCGAGAGTTATCATTTCCGTGACTCGATGTTTGGTGGTTAAAATAGCGAAATGATTATGTGTATTTAATATGGCATCAGACCTTTGACGGGACACGTCACTCCTCTTTTTCAGGGAAATCTCCAGATCCACCAGGTACACGTTGGTCAGGATGGACAGGTAAGAACGTTTACATGAAACTAATCAAGAGGTACGATACACTAATGAATTCATGCTGTGGGTGATAAGCCACATATCTGCATCACTTGTTACATTTGTGCTTTACGTACAGTGAAGTAGATCCTTCAAACGCAAAGGCAGGCAAATTTGTGTGGTTTCACCTTGAAAATATCTGACGGAGAATATCGGCCAATTATTGGTACTTATCATACAATTACATTACATGTCATTTAGCGGACACTTTTATCCAAAGCGACGTACAATAAGTGCATTCAACCATAGGGTACAAACTCAGGAGAACAAGAAACAAGAAAGTGCAATTTCCTCAAATAAGCCAATTTACAATTTGCTATAGATGAGTGACGTTACAAGTACAATTTAAGTGCTACAATTTGTTAGTCTTTAGTCGAGGTAGAGTCTGAAGAGGTGTGTCTTTAGTTTGCGGCGGAAGATGTGAAGGCTCTCTGCGGTCCTGGTGTCTTCAGAGAGCTCGTTCCACCATTTCGGCGCAAGGACCGCAAAGAGTCGAGATCTAGTCGAGTGTTTTGCTCTCAGTGAGGTAGTTTTGCAGATGCAGAGCGGAGAGTGCGGGTTGGGATGTAGGGTTTGACCATGTCCTGGATGTAAGCTGGACCCGATCCATTCACAGCATGGTACGTGAGCACCAATGTTTTGAACTGGATGCGGGCGGCCACCGGTAGCCAGTGAAGAGAGTGGAGGAGTGGAGTAGTGTGGGAGAATTTCGGAAGATTGAAGACCAGTCGAGCTACTGCATTCTGAATGAGCTGCAGAGGTCGAATGGCGGTGGCAGGGAGACCAGCCAGGAGGGAGTTGCAGTAGTCCAGGCGGGAGATGACAAGATGATGACAAGAGAGTTGGCTGTCGAGTGTGACGCCGAGGTTCTTAGCGGTCAAAGTGGGCGTTAGTACGGAGTTTCCAAAGTTGACTGTCAGGTCCTGGGTAAGCAAATCTTTTCCGGGAAAGAGAAGTAGTTCAGTCTTGTCGGGGTTTTCATTTTCAGATGGTGGGCGGACATCCACTGAGAGATGTCAGTTAGACAGGCAGAGATCCGAGCCGCAACCTGGGTGTCCGAGTGAGGGAAGGAGAGAATTAGTTGGGTGTCATCGGCATAGCTGTGGTAAGAGAAGCCATGCGAGCGAATGACCGCGCCAAGAGAGTTGGTGTAAAGCGAAAACAGGAGGGGACCCAGCACGGAACCCTGAGGAACTCCAGTAGTAAGAGGACAAGGTTCCGACACAGATCCTCGCCAGGTTACCCGGTAGGTGCGGCCGTCGAGGTAGGACGAGAGAAGGGAGAGAGCAGAGCCTGTGTCACAAAGTTCCCGACGGGAGGAAATAAGGATCTGGTGGTTGACCGTGTCAAATGCAGCAGAGAGGTCCAAAGCATGAGGACAGAGGAGAGAGAGGCGGCTCTAGCAGTGTGGAGTTGCTCAGAGACAGCAAGGAGAGCAGTCTCTGTGGAGTGGCCTGCCTTGAAACCTGACTGGTGGGGGTCAAGGAGGTTGTTACAGTGGAGATAAGAGGAGAGTTTAAAAAGAAGATTTAAGATAGCACGTTCAAGGGTTTTAGACAAAAAGGGAAGAAGAGAGACCGGTCTGTAGTTGTTTTCGGTTGAGGGTAGGTTTCTTCAGGAGGGGGTTGACTCTTGCCTCCTTCAGAGAAGGACATACAACTCTCCTCACTAACGGTCTTTGCCTGTCTTCATACCCAACAACTGTCAGCTGTGGTTCTGAAAAACACAAAAACCCACATGACTTTACTGCCAGATCTGTGGGCAGAGTGACTGGTCGATGCTGAATGCTCATCTGATTAGCAGTGTTTAATTAATCACTATGTGCTAGTGAATCAGGCTTTACTTTTATTCAAACTTAATACAGCAAATAAATACATAGAAATACATTCATTGAATTGTTATTTATTATTCAAATGATCAATTTTTCATTCAGACATTGTAGATTGTATCTTCTTTTAATGCAGCAACAAACTAGTAGAAACTTAAACAGGAATGAAAATGACTTGTTTTGTAGTATATGCACAGAATTGACTCATCATTCAATCAGCCGCGGGGTTCCAATGTTACACAAGTACCTTTGAGCGCCAGCAAATGTGCTGAATGCATCATCGTACTCATAAAACATTTACAAAGCAGATTTAGTTGTGTGTTTAATCGAGAATTGTTTCGATCCATGTTTACTCGCTGGCCGTCTTCTTCTTGCCACATTTCTTACCACCACCTGTGAATCAGAATATTGTGAAACCATTGGCAGCACCAGTGTGTGCGTGTTTTATGTCAGAAACCCACTCGATGAAGAAGATCCCCCCCCCCCCCCGCTGCCTCCATTCAAAAGCATCACAAACTACCACAGACTTTTATGTAATAATGCCCCTCTAATTAAAAACACACTCACCGCCCGTGTCTTTGTGTCCTCCGAGTGTCTTGTTTGTCTGTCCATCCCTCTTCCCTCCCTCATCCCCCGTCTCGGACATCCTGGCCCTTCCTGTTCCTCTGTTCTTTCTGCTGATATCTGAGCGGGTGTCGATCTAAGCCGAGCTGGCCCGTGTCTGACCAGCGCAGGGCACATATGGACGCTTCATTCCACTTTCATGAATTCATCATGTTTGTCAAGCAGCAAGACTTTAGGGAAGGAAGTTATTTCTCACGCTGCCCATCTGTCGGTTAAACCGCTTTGTGTGGTTTTGTTGCAACAGGTGTTTTTATGCAACAGCCTGTCCAGTTTTTTTCCCCTTCCTAAAAGTTGAATGGGGGATACACATATTCATTTTTGGGGTTGTTATGACAAAATGTTTAAAGTGAATTTATTACACATGCCCCTCTTATAAAAGTGACCTACCATTTTTATTATGTTAATTTGGCATCGTGCCCTTAAACAATTGTGGCGTGGCAAACACCATTACACCATTCCAGCCTTCCAACCACCATGCGCTCTGTGCCACGAAAAGCGCCATACATAAAATGACTGTTGGTCCGATTCTTTTGCACAGTAAAAAATCCTCCCCTTAATGATATTACCTACTATACAGTGTTTTGTCATGTAATAGGCATGGAAACTAATGGCATCAAACCAGATTTTTATCAAAACATCTGCCAAAAATAAGTGCACTGCCTTAAATTCAGACTTTCAAACAATAGATAAAACAGACGTACAAGGATCTGTCCTTCGTTGTGCTAGCCAGGTGTCAGCGATGGCATTAGTTGGCAAAGCTATATAAAAATAGTCAACCCTCTCGCTGATGGTCTTCATCACTCATGTGGGTCGGATGTGCACGCCTGCCTTGTGTACTTGTTCACAGGCGGGTTATGTGTCTGCTGCATAACATTACATTACATTAACAGATTAAGGTGAGATGAAGCATCGGTAATCTGTCGGTACCCAGAGCCACATTGTGATTTGATGGGATTGTGATTTGATCCGATTTAACGTGCTTTTCATTAGCGCACCCGGCCCTTCTGGGAACTGACAGATTATTTTTAAAGCTTCCTCCTACCTGATGCCCATGACTGCCACCTCTCACCAGATCCCCCAATCATGTGCTTTCTACCTCAGCGCTATATTTCATCGTGTGATTACCATTGCATTCAATTTGCTCGTTGGTCCAAAGCGCCTGAGGCCTGTGCGTGTGCCCACACGTTGGAGATGTGTGAATGCATCTGCTTTATATGAGTGTTTTTTATGTGCTTTATCTGCTGTCCTGCTGCGTGTTTTCACTCGATTGAGGTAGTCCTCTGCATAAAAACACATCTGCTTGCGTCCTCGAATGTCCCCAATAGCAGCATTCCTCTCCTTCTCGAGGATTTGGGCCAGAGTTTGGTTTTAGATTTTGCACCACGATTTGGTGCACCACATGTTCATATCAGTGCAGAGGACATAAGAATACGTTCAGTGTTTGCAGGTTCTCTTCAAGCGGTTTTGTATGGTGTGGACTTTGCATTGGCATTAGCTTCTCGTAAAATGGAGAGCAAAGGATGCAAAAACAAGAGGCAGCACAACGGCCTCTATTTCCTCGTCGGTGTCTGGGAGTCGGGTCCAATAAAAAGCTATTTTATTTTCCTTCTTTCTTTGCAGTTTATACTTTGATTGGTTCTGCAAAATGATCGGAGGTCATGGCCAAAACAAACACAGCGACTTATTCTTTCAACTTCAGGTTGCAGGTCAAGCTTTACACACACACACACACACACACACACACACAGTGAAGCACTACAGTGGCAGCGTCTCCTCGTTTGTATGTTTTCATATTGTCATGAAGCAGCTCTTAAATCCAACAAACCTGGGAACTTACTCACAAGACACTCGAGGGAAGCAGGGCCCAAACAAGTATGATGTTAGTGATTCGCACTTAATCACAAAGATAAATCACATGGACCAGATATGGTTTCACACAAGTGACATACTATGTCTTTATCCTGATTGGTGTTGTGTATCTTGGACCAGCATTTCTTAGGAGCATTAGATAAAGACATAACAGTTCAGACATGAACCTGATGTGTGTTTTCTTAAACATCTAATTTTGTAATCCGGCATTTATTTTGTGATCTCTCCAGGAATTTGTTTTCCTTCGTATTCTGAATGAACTTGAGTCTACGTAGTGAGACTTTGTTGCATGATACTAAGTGACCCCTCTGTCTACCCTATCATGCTCATCGTGTCGTCCCCAGAGATTCACTGCATGCAGTGGACAGAACAGTGGGCCTCACATCTTACATCAAATCTGAGTTGTTCAGCTGCATATGTTTCTGTGTTCGCTTCTACGTCTGTGCTCTTCTTCTTCTGTGTCGGCATCCTGACTAAAAGAAGGATTGGAAGATGAAAGTGAGGTGTCCGATGAGGAGGGGGGGGGGACACGTGTTCTCCCATTGAGTGATAACCGAGGCTGGTTGGGCAGTGAAGTGTAAAAAAACGCAAGGTACCGCATGTCACATAAAACAACTGGAAGGTGGCGGTGTCCTCCACAAGCTGA